CAATGCGACTTGGCATGGAAAACATAAAAAATGCGGAATATAGTTATGTTAAAACAGGTTGATGGATTCTACAGACGATAAGGCGAAAATTACTCATTATGACGCGATTTTCAAGAGAAACTGAAATTCTTTTGCATAATTGGCATAAACGGTTGGAGAATATGTAAAAATAATGAGTCAGGCAGTTCCAATAACTTTTCTAGTCATATAGCATATAGGCATAGAGTCACATTTAAATCCTAGGTATATAAATGTCGCGATCATATTTGCCATCTAATGTTAGATTATAAAAAATAATTAATATTAATGAAGAATTCTCGACAATGTCTTTCAGTAATATTTTTTCTTTTCGCTGTGCATTTTATTTCTTCACTGCCTTTTTCATTGCCCATTTTCACTTTGCCTGAAGCGGTAGACAATATACAGTTTTTCATAATTCATTAAGAGAACACGTACTGCTGCTGAACGGTTCTGAAAAAAATAGTTGAATATCAAATAAAACAATTGCAAGTCGTTAATAAAACGTCTGGAATCCTATAGTCAACAGAACCAAACATTTTTAAGGAGTAAATTTTTGCTTCTTAAGGGTGAGAATTATTTATCGATACTAACTGGTACATCAAACATTTCTTGATTTAGAAACGCATGTGTGCGCAATTGTTTATAATACGAATGTAACATGACTTGCAGTGTTCGTTCTGTTATCAGTGAATTTGAAATAACGAAGCATTTTGAACATCAGTATTTTTGAAAGGTTCCAAAGTCAACAGGGTACGTCAAAATGTCCGTTAGATTATCGAGTAATTCAATAACTCTTGATGATGCAACAGATAAAATATTACACCATTTTTTGGAAAACTTAAATTGGTTATGAGTCAAATTCTGTCCAAAGTTGAACAACCCGAAACTTCAAGCAGGAATTTTCAAAATTTCGGTAATTATATTCAACAAGTTCTATCAAAAAATATGAGCATGTACCGGGGAAAGAAAATGGAAAAAAACGAACCTAGAAAGACAAACCCGGTCTCAAATCGGTTGGAGTCGAGCCAATGCGTTTGGCTTTTAAAAATTTTTGCTTATATTTTCATTATGACTAACGTTCTATAAATACGGCTTAATATAGAGACAAGCCTATCTAAATTTAATTTTTGCCTACGTAACACTATTCTCCCGATCCTGAGGAACATTTTACCTCACCATCGGTATAATTTATAAATGGCTACAACTTGATAAAACAAAATTCACAATACATTCAACAAATTGGCGAAATTTAAATAACCCCAATAATCTACATATGTATGACCAGCATGACCACCATGTAATGCAAATAACCCTTCTATGATTCACTTGTTTGGATTGGCGGGATTATTCACGTCACAGACATTGACTATTTGGAACTTAACCTTTCCAAAAAGATTCCATTGAAATTCTTCTGACGAGACGTTTGAACGAATTATATTTTCGCGTTTTCATTTAACCGTGAATTATAAATTTTAAATGGTGAACCAATACGTAATACGCATTTACTTGTAATTAATATTTTTAAAAAAAATTTCAGCTTTCCACAAAAACCGTTCCCAACGGCAAACGGTACAACTTGTGTGAGGCTTTTTGGTATCATTGGTTAACGGAAAGATCAAGGTATATAACGTAGAGATTTCAATTTCTCACAGTTTGAAATAAGCCATATATAAATCATAAATTATTGACCACAGATTTTTGAGCTGGTATTTCGGCCCAAAATGGAATTGCGATGTTATTTTCCAAAAGTGGATAAAATTCTGCATATATTTTTTGATAAACTATCGACTGACGCCCTTCCTTCATACCAAATTTTAGTCGGATAGGTTAATATAGACCGCGATCCAAAATTATCATGATTCGTGATTTTTCCCAAAAAGTTACGTTTTTAATTTTTTAAAATGCCTACGATATCCGGGGAAGGTTGAAATTTTTATTGAAGGTGCAGGTCAATGAGAATTTTTGGCCTTAAAACATTTAAAGTTTCAGCCAAAAAAAAAGAGCAGATTTCAGTTTAAAATATATATCTAACACTTTTGTTTTGTTTTAATTGAATATAACACCGTGACAGAAATACAGAAGTGGAATAACATCCTGTATAAAATGTTCCGCAAATTTTAATCGGATGATATCATGTCTACTATGCTATGACGAAGCTATATTAAAACGCTTCACATTTTTAAAAGGCAACTACGTTTTTTTATAATCCTTGTTTCGCGATGTGCAAATAAATTGAGTGTTAATTCAAAGCAACTAATTCTTGCAGCATTCCCTGCGAAATTTTAAAAATTTCATGTTGTGAACGATAGCGCATTCCTTCATATTTTTGGTCTATTTGGCGTGAAAACAATAAAAGGAAGAAAACGTAACTCGTGGACAATCGACCTTATAGTGTAATTGTTGATTTGATTGTACTGAAAAATGCAGGTTTTACGTCAATGTAGTTTTTTGGCTAAAAGTTCATTGAATTCAGAGTTTTTATCCCACAAAATAATCGTAATTGTTGAACTGAGGTGGCTTTTACTTGATGAAAATCCATTTATCAAAATAAATAAGAACTAAGAACTAAACTATAAAGACACGGTGTTGTTGAAACAATATATAATTTCGTGAAAATCTGAACTTTTAGTTCTTATTTATTTTGAATCATAATTGTTTTGAAAGAAATGGCGCGGTAAACTTGTATTACCTATAAAAGAGACGTTTCTATGACAGTTGGTTTAGAATATGTATTATTACAGATATCACATGATGTCTCTTGCACAAAAGGCTAACCACACCTCGTAATCGTCTACATATTTGAGCTTAAAACTAAGAATATTGAGTCAAAGAACTGTATTTCTCTGAAGCTCTGGACGTATACAAACACGCGACACATTTCGAATGTAAAAATGTTAATTAATTCAATTAAAAGTTTTTTTTTGCAAAAAATAGTTATTACACCACAGAATAATCGTATTTGTTTTAAAAGAAATCTTTCGGATCTTAGCGTACTGAACTTGTATTAATTTATTTTGTCTCTACCTAGAAAAGAGATGTTTCTATGACAATTGATTCAGAATATGTATTATTACAGATATCACATGATGACTCTTGCACAAAAGGCTAACCACATCTCGTAATCGTCTACATATTTGAAGCCAAAGCAAAGAACATTGAGTCAAAGAACTGTTTTTCTCTGAAGATCTGGACATAGACAAAAACGCGACGCATTTTCAATGTAAAAGTGTAAATTAATTTAATTAAAAGTTTTTTTGCAGAAAATAGTTATTACACCAGAATAGAATACTAGAGTCAAAGACAAATTAAAATTGATGAAAATTCAGCCACGATATGGTAAGTTTCAGTTTTTTTATTCGGAAATTTTTTGTGGCGACCCTGTATATCGGTCATTTTAAAGTCATACGCCCGTTTGCAAATATTGTATTAAAGATGACGTGAGTCTAAATAAACATTTAAAACATACATCAAACGAGAACCATATACGTCTTAATGAGACTGATATTCTTGGTAAATAACATGTAATCGATGACCAATGAAAACTAAACGCAATTCGCCCAATGAAACCTTGCTCGGCGTGGGATTTTTAATTTCTCCGTATAAAAACCGCCCAGAAATAAACTCGTATTCTCTGTTGAGATCACGACACAACAACAAAATTACCAGATATTAGTCACTATGGAAATCCTTGTTACGGGTCGACAACATTTTTTCCTCGCATTCTTTTATTGTTCACTAGACGGCTAGTGCGTCATGTTTGTTTACATCCCTAAGCGAGATTTATGCGCCACCTTTAAAAGTCGACCTGAAGTCGCAATCACAGTCGTCTGGGTCGTTTTTTTCGAAGCAAATTACTTATTTGAGAAAGCGCGGTAATTTAAAATAAAACTAAAAAACCATTTCGCTTTATATTTTTGGATTTTTTTCAGTTTTGAAAATAAACTTGAAACTTGAAAATACGAAAAAATAAAAAAAATAATCAAAGAAAAGGGCAGTACTTTTTAAATTTCGTTTTTTTTTTTGCAATAATGAATATGAATTAGCTCGAAATTTAAACGAAAAGCCTTTCGTCTAATTCAAAAAAGTCTAGTATACCCATTACACCAATTAATTAATATATAAAAGTCTAATATAAACTGCAGTAATTTTTCAACCCAAGACAAGGAAAAAATTGTGTTCGCAAAAAATTAAGCGAAATAGCTCTCGAAACTTGAGAATATGAGAAAAAAGTCATTGGAGAAATCTATAAATCTTATTTATAATTGATTAATTATATAACATATTTCGCTTCTTAACGAAAAGCTGACAAAACTTCGGAAAACGATTCTAAAACCTTTCGTGTAATTCTGAAAGCGAAGATACTATTATAAATATTTTGCCTTAAACTATTTTTGGAATTCTTATTTTCGCAAATCACGCTAATTTTTAAAACGAATTATATAAAAAATAAATAGCGTTAGCATGTTTTCGATTTTTTTTGCAAAAAAGAATTAGCTTGACAAATTTGAGAATATCATAAAATAAAGCTTTTCCAGAATCTGATAGAAACTGTCGTAATTTAATTTTATAATTTTAATTAATTTAAATTTAATTAATTTTTAATTCTATAAAATAGTTCGCGGAACATTATTTTGCGCACTAAAAACGGCCAAAACTTGAAAATACGACATGAAAGGCTTTTTGAAAACGGAAAATGACTCGTGTTATAGTTCATATACCTGTTATAAATAATTGTTTATAGTTTGTAAACGGTAACGCGCAAATATTCGATGAGCAAGGATTTTTGCACAAAGTCATCCATTCACCATGCCTGCCATGAACCTTATGACGAGCAGCTCTTAAAACATTTAGAATGAGACAACACGTATAAATAAACACAACGCCCACGGAAAATGGTAATCCCACGCGTGACATCTACGTTTTCAAAAATCTTTCAAGCCTTGCAACAACGCAAAAACATAAAAATAACATCCACTTACCGATCAACAAGGATGGCTCTTTATGGTCCTCTACTAAAGATACTAGAACTAACAACAAAGGGTGTCCGACAGTTATTCTGTCCTTCTCACTCGTTGAATCGTCGTAAATGATAACTTCGCGAAAAGACCGTTTTTTAAGAACTTCCTTGCCCTCTCTGGTCGTCGCCAAGTCAGCTAAACTAGCTTTCCCCAATTGAAGTCTTCGCCTGTTGAATCTGTCGGAGCAGTTAACGTTAATGGCCCCATTGATATGGTTCATATTGTAGCTCATGAACGGACGACAATCGATCAGTATAAAATTTCTGCCACTTCTAGGGTCTTCCATCTTAGCTTTCAAAGCTTCCGGTTCCATGGTTTTGACATTATTCAATACCCAATTCCTCTGCAGAGTGGCACTTTCTGCGCAAGGGCTGGTCGGTAAACTTATACTCCCCTGGGTCTCCAGTTTGAATCGTTTAGGCGGACTTAACTGATTTGGACTGTGACTAGGGTTAGTTGTGGGCGGTCCCGGTTCACTGTAGCTGCGATTAAGAGGCAACTTCAGTCCGTTTCGCGAACGACTACTTTCGAGGCAAACGGACATCACGATGACGTTTAAGTACAGCGTCACAGGCTAAATCTGGAAGAGCTGCGGATAAAAAACCGCGATGTTAATGCCAATAGCCACGCGCTTTCATATAGGGTGAATTAGGAAGGGGATTTTTTAAACGCCAGGCGGTATGTTCACCTTAATAAACATGAATCACTGCAATATTTCTTTAATTTTAAAACATCGCGGTGATTCATTATCGTCCACATTTATGGAACTGAGACTGTAACATTTATTTCTTAAGGATTTGTCATTGTCACGCACGTGAAAGATCGGAATTTCTGTTGTAACTTTCAGCAGTTCCTTAGAGCCTTTTTTGGCTTTTTTTAATTTTAACTTTCATTAGTTATATAAACACCACCGTGTTGTTTCAAAGGTAAAAACACACAATCAAAAAAAAAACAGAAAAAATATATCTTGCAAAATTAGGCATTTACTGAAAATTCCAAAACTTCAGTACTTATGTTTGAATCCTATATTACTTTATATATAGGCTGCGGAAATATAACGAATTTAGTAAAGTAATCGCATTCAATTGAGTAGTTCTTATCAGATTTTAATTTTATTTTGTTCATATAATATGCTCTTACGTGTCTCAATTTTTAATGTTTTATTTTTAAAATGCTGCTAAGCTTTTAATATTTTAACCTAAATGTTGCTTTTCTAAAAGTTGTAAAAATTATTAGAACATTCAATAAAAACTAATTGCCCTTGTTACTACTAAAAAGACCCATTATAATTATTTTAGAGTCTTGACTAGTTAGTACCGTCATTGAGACGTATACTTCATTAAAAGACATTGTAGTCTTCAACGACAATGTAAATACGTACATATATAAGCACTTTCCATTTCAACTAAAATGATATTTACTATTTTCCATAAAATTTTATAGTCATAATAAAACGGAAACAAAAACGTACTAGCAGTAACGCATAATGTTGTTGCAGCTATAAAAATATTTAATTTAATTTTGATTTGATAATAAACAAACTGGGCATATTATACTTATTAATATTTCTGTTTTATTTACCTATAGCACCTATTCCGATAGCATTCCAACTTCTATAAAATGAGGCACCTACAAATTTGGTGGCCAAAAAAGAACACCAAATAGCAACGATTAGAATTGTAAGAATCAGATCATGATAATTAGTAGGTCGGTTGCCCACACGCAAATGTATAAATATGTAAGTATACCTTCTATTTAAACGCAAAACCAAACAGGTGTAAGAATACCTTGATACGTCACCTTTGATAATATTTTTTTTCTACGCTGCTACAATTCTGTCGTTACTACCAGACAAGACAACTTGTGTATGTATCGTAAGCCACCAGCATACATACAGAGTACCTTCTACACAAATAATGAACTTCTAATAAGACAGCAATCGATTGATATTATATTTTTACAAATATAAGAATGTTGAGCAACATAAAGTCACGCTCCATTGTATCATTCACAAAACAATTTTTGCTGTCGCAAGTATTAATTTGTTTATTAAACGCTGTGTGTTTGATGTCATCAAATGTTTTATTAATACGCAACAAAATGGTCAATTGGCGGCAAGCAATCGCGGCGACTGATTTGGTTTTACTCAAATTCGATATTCCTATTTATTAAATTAATAAGATGTTGTTCACAAATAAAGGGGTACAAAAATAGAAATGATTACTTTATTGTACGTGAATACGATAAGAATGCTGATAAAACAAAATCACGCAAAAAATAATCAAGGGATGCCCAAAGCTGTAGAACCACTACAGGTTTGGTGTTGTTCTCGGAATACAGCTTATTTTCAAATAACAGATAACAGAGTGTGTTTTTTTTATCAACAAACACTTGATCAGCTGCTACTCTCTAGTGTGAGTATGCGCTATATATTTATGTGGAAACCAATATATTTTTGTGCTAAGTCAAACCAAAAATAATCCCAGGAAAGAAAAAGTTAAAATTTAAATCGGGTACAAATTAGATAAGCATAGTAAATATGAAGGCATTTATATTACCCTAAATAATGTAAACAAGCACGTGGATTAAAAGCAATAAGAGATTCTTACCGAGTCTTGTGGATATGATTTAAGTGTTGAAACTCTCCAAACTGACGACACTCCAAGAAGACATCAGGTGAATTTTCAAACTTTTCAAAAACGACGATATTAAAGGGCACAAGCAAAAGTTACACCGGCACGACAGCGCAAAACAAACAAATTACCATTTTAAAAAAATTGCCACTGTATTGTTCACATATGTTATTTATTATTGAAACAGGTTCGTACTTTTTCAAGACAGCATATTCACGAAAAGAAATCCTCAAATGCGATTGGCATGCGGATAGCTCGCTACGAGGGAATGAAAATGAGTCATCCAAACAGAAAACCATTCATTTCATGCCTGCATCCTATTCTCGACCGTCATTGGCTGATTCGGGAGGTTATATAAAGGTTATGCGCAGGTCCGTTCACTCAAGAAATTGTGGCTCGATGACTAATCCCACCGATTGTCCCCATAAACACATATGCTAAAAAGTTATGATTCATTACCAAAATTATTCGGCTCTTGGTCTTATGTCCAAAACGTTTTTTTGTATTTTGGACATGCCCATGATGGTTTTTGACCTTATCAGCCTCATAAGAATAAACTTCAGTGTTTTTGACATACAATATGCTGCAAAGCTCATACAAATATCGTGATCGTTTGGTTTAAACGTTTCCTTTAGTGTTTGAAAACCATTTTGTGTTTGTTCCTACGTTTTTCGGATTATCAAATACTTGTTTGGTCGATGCGTTTAACACACATGCGCTGCCCCATCTCTTATCCAATTTATGACACAAGGTCTGCATTTCTATTCCCATCCGGCGTTGAAGTATTGCTATCGGAGTATAGATGGCACTGCATGAAGATGTATTGATATCTACTTTTTGTTCTGTACATACATGGTGGATGGGTCACTGAATTGACCTCAGAAGATTGCAGCGGTGTTAATCGTCGGTAGAGGGTGTAATGCAATTCGTGAATGATACCTAATCAAATATCTATACACCTTTGTCTTTGGAGTTAGTCCACTTCCTTCAGCCTTTATCCTAAAGTTAATTCGATTTTTTAATTCTTTAAACATGTTCTGTAAAATTTACATCAATCGATCAAGTATAGTAAAGTAATAGTCGTGTTTATCAATCATTTACAAAAAGACTTTTAGTGAGCCATCGATATATATAAAAATAATAACAAAAAAATAATACAAAAATAAAAATATATGCATAAAAACACTCAAGGTGTAATATAAATATTTCTTGGAGGAATGGTAAAACGGAAAAATATTTAGGGTGTTTCAATGAAAACAATAATTTTTGTATTGAATCATCCTGTATAACTGAAAATATTTTTAAATATTTGCCTACTGAATTTATGTAACATCTATTAAATCATTTTCGAAAAGAGTGCTGAACAAGGGAGATATATTCTTTTGCAACATATCAACTTGGAAAAATGATTGGATGGCTATAGATATTCATAAGACTTCTTAAAATGGAAATTGGATATTTGATCTATGAAATTGGGACTGTTAATCCTGAATTGTTGCGTTTTATTGATAGGCTAAAAAATCTACCTCATCTGAGAATTTTTTTTATTAATATTTGTATCACTTGGCAGTAACACTTCTTTTAGTTTAATGATGGCGGATGCGCCAGGCAACTAAAACATTCAACAACTTCTATAACATGAAAAAAATATTTTAAAACTAAAGAAAGTACTCAGAGTTGGTTAAAACTTAATGAACAAAAACTTGAACATTTTCAGCGAATATTAATTGCTCTCTCGTTAATGTGACTAAATATTCGGTGGTAAAAGGAAGTGTTCTAAATATTTGCTGATTAATTTTTACGGTTCCAATTACTGCAAATGTAAACAATTTTTAATAGCGAAATAAATATACGATGTATTTAAATTTGACCTGAAAACCTCCAGTAAATTTTAATCATGCCCGCTGCGATTTTTTGGATAAAAATTCTGTTAGCGTTTTTTATGATCTAAGAAGGTTCTAATTTTTATAATAAAAGTAAATAAGATAAAGAAACTGCGACATTAAGCATTTTATAGTTATAAAAAAATCATTTGAAGTCTGTAGGATACAGAAATAAAGACATTTTCAAAAAAAATTGCTAATGCAGTATTTATTACAAATACATTTATGTAGTTCATGAACAAAAAATTAATAGTGGTTTTCAGGTGAAATTTAATCCAAGTATAAGAATAAAAAAAGGGAATTAATGTTTTCAAACTGGGATTTGGAGTTTGGTCTGTAAATTTTTAGTCTCACTTTTATTAATCAATTCAAGGTTGATTCTATCGCAATCGCATTGCAAACTTGTAATGTTTGTTTCTTATCAGATGATTCAGATTCGTTACGCAATGTGCGTTTTTTCCAGAAATGACTTTACCAATAGCACTGCCAAAATTTAATCTTTGTTTGCTTAACATTTCCAGGGCAGTGATATGTCAATAATCTCAATAATCATCAACGTCATTTTGGAATATTAAAAATACAAACTAAATAAAACAGGGTGTTGGAAAAAACAAATAACTTTATTTAAATAAGAAAACTCTAAAAAAATCCATTAACAGTAATAACAATACACTGAAACAATAGGAATACAGAGAATATTGGCGGAATTATACTAGCATTTTCTACAAGTGCGTCATAACAATTCTCTAAACTGCGCAATATACAAAAATACTTTAATAAAAGTACAATTTAACTAAATGAAGGCATTGTTCGATTGGAAAACTATTTGGTAGCCAATCAAGTAAATATATTTATCTACAATGTTATAATACAAATATACATAGTGCACTTTTATCACATTGTTTACATATGGGAATTCAATTAAAAAATCATTAAAATTTATTTAGTAAGATGAAAATTCGTGGTTAAATTCGTTATGATTTTTACTGACCTTAAACATATTATTTGGAATTGGACACAAAACGCAATATGAAAATGAATGGAAATAGCACTTGTGAATGATAATAAATATATACTGATGTTAAATGTTAAGTCAACGCTTTGATGGCGGTACTAAATGTGGCGGCAACTGCGGCGGCAAGTCGTTACCGTCTATCTTGATATTGATCAAATGCATTGCCAAAGCAAATTCTTCTTGATCCAACATCCCATCTTGATCCACATCTGCCAATTTCCATACTTTGCTCAAAACTGAATTTGGCAGTTTGGACTTGACCATTTCCGATTTGGCCGCTAAAATAAATTTAAATTCGTTTTAGAAACTTAAAAATAATTAAATTTGCATATATCTTCCACCAATGATTTTAAAAAATATCCGATTATACTTTCGCATTATATTTTTATTTGTGATGGTAGCAGTGTTCTATTGCGCTACAACCCACGTAAAAGCTTTATTTGCGATGGAACATTTAAAACAACGACCCATGTCTTACAGAATGATGGTAAAAATACAATCTGCTTCCTTGATGAGCAAAACGAAATTGCTACCCAAAACACTGGTCAAGGTCGGATGAATAAAAATCTGGGTTAATTTATGACATTACATCAATGTGATTTTATTGTCAAGTTTAGATTTTTTTGCAACGCAAACAAAAACTATACACGCAGATAAGCAACTGGTACCAGCTAGGACATAATTAAACCCATTGTCAAAAATACAGTAAGCAAAAAACCCGGGCGGCATTGTATTGTTTTAGCTTACATTTTCTTAAGGACCAAAATTTTTTTCTTTGGCTCCAGAATCCTAGCAAAGAGGCTGGGGAATTCAAAACGGCTAAAAAACAAGGAAGCAGACTTTAATTTATTACCGACCTTATTTCGAAAAATTATTTTCAAATCAAGTTCTTTATCTCACTGTGTTTAATGCACCAATTGATACTGAATAATTCGTGTATGGCAGCACCTACTTGTAATGACTACAAATGAAACGGACAATGGTTATTTAACAATGATGTCCCGTAACAAATGCAGAAATTGCTGTTTTCGTATGTAAATTATGTAATCACATTAGAGAGGAAATAGAGAATAACTCTGAAATTAGTGCAGTTTTAAAAATAGGGATAACTTCTCGTTTTTATATTTGTTTAAATATGAACTTATCAACCATTTGATACTAAACAAATATTATGTGTAATATTTTATTGCATGCACATGTGCAAAAGCCAGTTCTTAAATAAACTCATTGAAAATGGCACAGTTTACATATCAGATAAACGCTATGTATGTCGCGACGAAGTAAACTAACAAATTATTCTTAAGTCGTTAAAACAAAGTAATTTCGGGAATATAAAGTTACACACGAAATGTTTTAACAAATACATATGTTGTGCCTTCCAAAACCTTAAGTCAACTAATATTTCAACTCTTAAAAAGCCGGATAAAGGTCACTTAGCTAAACATAATGCTTTTTTCTTGAAATTTTAATTGAAGTCATACAAAATTAATTCACGTTAACAACCACTGTCAATGAAATGCATCCATTATTCAAAATTGTTTTACATTAGTACCACCGAATATACCGCAGTCTGCTACCATATATTGCTTTTTTGAGGCAGAACACAAAATTAAATGATATATGAATTGAATGTTGTGTAACGCCAGTATTATTTTTAGATTACCTATTTAATCCCTTAATACGATGGTCGCGAATTTAAACATGTGGCTGATAAAAATTCATTAACATATCTATATTTTATAAGAGATCATTTACTCAGCTTTGTTTAATATAATGACAGACAAATTTATAAAAATGCAATAATTGAAACAAAAATTGGTTAATTGAAATTATATAGCTTACCCATCCCTGTAACTTTGCCGTCAACAGGATTTAACTGATTGAAAATTTCATCATAGCGTGGTTTGTCTCTATTAACTATCCAGTCATGTTCTCCAGCACCAGCATCTATCCCTTCTCCGCGCTTATAGCCAAATGGAGATGCCGTGTCTTCAACATTATTAAATGCACCACCCTGTATGTGACCATCTGTATGATTCGCTGTTACTTCTTCCAGTGGAATCATTGCCATTAGCTTAGAAATATCTTCTGCCAACATGCGATCAACAATATCCAACAACTTGGGTTTTAGGGGATTAAATTTGCTAAAATCACAACTTGCTAGGCCTTCCTGTAATTTTTTGATATCGGGGAAATCACCAGGTGAAATCTGATGCTCCCTTTGTAGTTTTTCGTATATATTTCCTAAATTTTTTATTAAGTCCTTTTTCTTAGAATCTTTGCCAAAAACTGAAGGCATTTCTTTGCGAAGTTCAGAGATAATATACGCATGAACTTTGGCAAGTCTTGCCCTTTTTATTAAATCATTCAACTTTCTTAACGCAGCGTTTCTAGGTAAAGACTGTAAGTCTCTGAAGAGATCTTGCTCTTCATCTTCAAAAAGTCTCCTGTTAACATCGTACCTCAAGGGTTGGTCCCAAAATGAACCAATGTATACTCTAGCTACTTCAGGAGTTTGAAGAACTTTACCCAAAGACCACATAAGGGCGCCATAAACACGCATCAACTGTTGATGGTCTACCATATCAGCCTTATTTAATACAATTCGAATTTTGTCATCATGCCCTCTTAAAGCTTCTATTGAGCGTCTAAATTCATCAGAAATATCCAGTTTATGAGCATCAAAGAGCAATATTATCCTATCCACTCTCTCAGCAAACCATTCAAGCACGCCAGTGAAATCATACCCCCTATCTACTCTCTGTTTCTCTCCAGATAGAATTCCTGGAGTATCAACTATTGAAATATTTTGCAAAACAGGTGAATTTACTAAAGAACATTGAAGACGGTTCAAGAAAGCATTTCCAAATTTCGAAAGAGGTCTGAATTGTCTTTTCGGATCTACTACCAAAGCATTTCCTGGTATAATTCCCTCTTTTTCATCATACATAACCGCTATAAATCTATCAGTTGTGGGCTCTGGACCAATACGAATTCCAGGAAATTCTCTTTCTAATAGGTATTTTATAAAAGTTGTTTTACCTGTAGAGTATTGACCAACGAGTAAAATCATAGGCTTAGCATCGAAGTCGGAATCTTCCAGCTTTGGGCTGTGGAAATCATGGAACTGATAATGTTCTTCTAATGGGAGAAGTTTATGTCTGTATTTGTCCTTAAGGCCTTCGACTACACTGTTGTAGATCTCTTGTTTGTTATTGTCTCTTGTCAACCAGCTGAACATTTTCACTTTTTTTTTGCACTCGTTACGAGCTTACTAACCACACAAACTTATTACAACGACCGTAATATTGTAACTAAACGCGAACTGACAACTGACATTTATTTAAGTGGGAGGAGTGGGTTTGACGTGGACTTTAAGCGGGGCACAGACCACTAAAAACAATAGATTGGAGAATACATTCGCTCAACATCAATTTTATGACAGATGATCGCTTAGGATAACTTTTTGTTACATATTTATTAAAAGTTCTGTTATTACAATTTGCCAGTTTGATAGTTCAGGCAAGACATTAACTTGGATTTAAATCAAGTTATCTCTCTCTATCCACTAGCAAAAATTATCAGACGTTAGAAATATTTACGTTTAGGAATAATTCAAATGGTTTAATCATTATTTCAAGTTGATGACAATTATACATAGATATGTTTCAATCCAAACTAGTTTGTCCTAGCTCAAATGAGTTTATAAGAGACCAGGAAGAGAGCAAATATCGATCGAATACTACTCTGTCCTGACATCTGTTTTGGCCTGTGATACATACAAATAAAAAAAAAAGAAGTTTTCTGAATTCATGGTGAATTGCTGTACTAAAATAAGCAAGCTTGAGTGTGTCTTCGATTACTGTAGCCTAGATTTGCACTCCACGTGTAACGCGGGAAGCGAACAGGACCCTATATTAAAAAATGTAAAATTTACTTACATAGATGGCGCGGAGCATAATTAGAAGCTTTCGAATTTTCTACTTGCCTACGGTTTTGCTATTTACTAATTTCGGATATCCAGAAATTAACACATTCATTCTTTGTAATATTATTTGAATATGCCGCTAAGGTTTATTCAAACAACTGTTCTAGAGAATAGACATTTAAGAATAATGATAAACCTATCAGTTTGATTAGTAATTTAGTTAAGATTTTTGAAAAGCGTCTCAAGGACAGATTTATGAATTTTTTAAATACTAAATCGATAATTTCTCCCAATCAATCTGGTTTTCTGGAAGGGCGGAATACTGGTGATGCCATGTTCACCCTAGTATCAACTATTGTTAAAAACTTAAATTTAGGTAGCAAGTGTATGGCCTCCTTTATTGATCTGGCAAAAGCATTTGATACGGTTCCTCACGCAAAGCTTATTGAAGTATTAGATCATTATGGTATCAGAGGAATAGTCTTAAAATGAGTAAATAATTTTCTAGCAGATAGGTATCAGATTGTGAAAGTAAATGGCTACACAAGTAACAAGTTCAAAATAAAAATTGGTGTCCCGCAAGGTAAGGTCTGAGGACTTATACTTTATATTACATATATAAACCCTTTATTGCCAAGCGTCATACGCAGAAGACACTGTTCTTGTTTTCAGTGGTGATAACAAACTAACATTGAAAATAACTAAAACAAAATAAATAGCCTTTTCTCTAACAGCAGCAAGTAGGTCTGAATAAGTGTTTGTTTGAATGGTTATGATATAGAGGAAGTTTCTTGTTTAAAATAACTGGGTATTATGATAGATAAGCATCTCAAAGGGGGATCACATATTGATTATTTAAGGAATAAAATTGGTAAATTCATACACAAATTTTATCTTCTAAGAGAATTTTTAAATAAAAAACTTGTGATTGTCTATAAAGCGTTTGTTTAATCACTAATTAGGTACGGGATTCTTGTTTCTTTTATAAGCTCAATATCATACAGAAATGTATTCTCAAAATTATTTTTAAACAAAAGAAACGTCATCCTTAATAATAAAATATTACTAATTCTAGAAAATATATTCAAGCTTGTAAATCATTTTTATGGCACTACTTTGTTTCTCTCATATTCAGGCCGGGAAGTTTTGGCGCTGTGATGATATTGTACTTGTTGCCTTTTATTTGGTTTCATGTAAATACTGTGGGTAAATTAATAAATAAATAAATAAACCGAAAATATTCTTGGTCCGGAAATACTTTCATTATTGAGCGGATGGAATGTTGATTAAAAAAACAATGAACAAAAAAACTATATTAACTTTGTTACCCGGAATATAATATTCCTCATTCAACTGGTGGGAAAAAGGAGAAATACACACGGATATAATAATATAAAAGAATTTTTTATTTGGCACACATTTAATAATACAGCACTTTTAAACTAACCCTGAAAAATACAAAAAAATCTACAATGTATTTAAACACAGCCATATCAAGGCATAAAAGCTAATTTAAAACGTTAAATATAATATTAACAAAATATTGTTTTGTTAATGTTTAAAATTAATTGGTAGATTCAAGTTCCTAATAAAAATTGCTGACCTTGACTGATTTTGAGAATTTCTTAGGCCTGGAACTGAAAGCAGAATGTTTAATTTGTCATTTAATTTTTTTTTTAAAAAGGCCATCTGCTTTTTGGTTTAAGCGGAAGGTCGTGAAAATATCTTGCACTAGCAAACATTTTATCCGGATTTATTGATGGTCTCGGTAAGGATTCCGGGTTAATAACTTGTTCATAGTGAGTAATTTGTTGATCGTCACATTCTGTCGCTTCTGTCACTTCATTTAGGTCACTAGGGGTGCTATCCGATGTGCTCGCTACACTAGGCACAGCGAGTGTTGGCTCAGCTTGGGAGGGTTTTGTGACGGCAGTTTCGATTGACGCACTGTCAGCATCTTCAGGAGGTTTTTTCTGTTTTATTTTTTGTCGCTGCGCCATTTTAGGATTCCTTAAAAGATATACACCGTTTAATAATGGAAACATCATCGTCATCGTCGTTCCAGGACGACGATGGACTTAAAGCACCGTCGGTTTGTATTATAGAAGGATTGACACCCATGTTAATATTAATAACGCTTGTTGATTGTTGGTGTTTGAGAAACGCATTGTTGACTTCATCTTGTAAGTACGCAGTTGCTGCTGGTATTGGTAAATTCATAGTGGCACTTATTATCGGCCCTGTTAAGATCGACTTTAAGTGATGACCTGAGGAAAATAAATATTATATTTGAATTAACTGTCCTTCATGTTGCGGGGTATAGTTTTATTAGCTACCATTCCAATTTAATATAGAAGCATTAAAAATGTTAGACTGTTCTTATTTGCGGATATAGGAATCATATAAAAAGGGAAAAACATTTCTCAACTTTTCTGATACTGACTGGAAGCAATCGTCATGATTTAATTATAAAATTAATAACACTACTGCAAGTATTTTCTGAAAATGTTTTTATATAAATAAATGCTTTTATAGAAAAACACGAATTAATTAAAATTATTTTTAAGAATCGTTAATATAATATATAGCTTCTATGTTATTTTATGTTGTGTTTCGTGGAACTAATATTTTTCATTACCCAGGCTAAATATTACAAAAAAAAACGGAATTTGAAAGTGTCTTCAATATGAAACTAATATTTTTAAAGTTTGATAACATCTTGATTTTTTATAATAATAACAAAATAAAATAAACATTTTCGTACTGAATCACAATTTACAATTCACATTTCACGAAGGCTATCAGCACAATTAAGCTACACCATCTGATGGGTCATACTTAAATATTTTTTAGTAGACAAGAATGCAATATCAGGCACAGAAATTTTTCGGATAAATAATTTCCATGCCAAAGCGACCGTTACCAAGATAACCACCAACCAACCACCGACCACCAACACCAACAAGCAATCTTATCTAATAAATACCAATATTTTTACCTTGCAAGAACACTTCAGGCACCTCAATAGCCAAAATCCTTGAATCCTCGTTCGATCCAGGCGCTGAGGGTATGGTTAGCTGTACTGGTACGCGTCGCCACTCAGGAAATGCGATCGCCTGAGGTAACTGAGTGTTGGTTTGCTTGATTTGCTTTTGGCGACTTTGTTGTTGATGGATTTGGCTGATGTAGTTCTGCTGTTGTTGCTGCTGCTGCAATTTTGCAGCATTCGAACTAGCACCTTTGAGAAAAAAAATAATTTTCAGCACCTAGTGATTACTGTTGTTTGGTTTGGAGATGTGATATGCGTTTGAAATAGAACACCGCTAACATTATTATTATTGTACGACCAAAATTATAGTGCATTTATTAGTTTGGCGTTTTAAGTATTTTACAGTTCCTTAACCGTAGATCTTTCGCAGGACCGTGGTAAAACTCATCCCAACAGATGTTTATTCTGCATTAAGTAGGTCTTCAATGAGATGGACCGTAACGAATATTTGTTGAAACTTGACATTTTTATTTGAAACGTAAATGCGATGTATTTCGAATAAGTTGAAGCGTTTATTTTAACATCAGGTGATATGCGTCGTTCTTAAGTAAGTACGTATTTATGTACCTGATTCTGGAGCTTTGCCCTGCGAGGCTATTTTCACTGGATAGTTCGAAGAGTAAAGGTAAGTACCTGTACTCTATTTATCTTACAGGTAATTTTGAAAATAATCATGTTTGTCTTGTGTGTCTGTCGATTAACAACATTTGTCTATTCTTGAATTTTTGTGTCTACATAGTTCTTCGATTTCTAAACAAGAACAGTGTTTTTTAAGACTATAGATTCTATTCGCGGCAATTAAATATTTTTTGAAGGTTCCTGTTTTTCAACACTTTAAAATGTGGAGATTGTGGAATGAAGCAGATGTTCCCCTGTTAGAAGAAGATATGCAAAATAACGCAGAATTTGAAGACGAAGTGGAGATGGTAGTCGAACCTAATGATAATTTAGAAGACGAACTACCTCAGCAAATAAAAAAACGGATTGTTTTGAACGTTTACAATTTTATAAGAAATTCAGAAGGGAAAGTAGGAGCAGCAATAAAAACAAGTGACATAGAAAGTTAATCACGGGGTCGGTTGTAAAAGCACTATAATTCTGGTCGAAGTATAATAGTGTCGCTTAAACCGAAGAACTTTATCTAGGACAAAGCAACACTACTTCCAGTAAAATCGAAAGGTTCTTTGCTAAATTAAAGAAATTATATTACAAACAGAATCTGATAGTTCAATTTTCAGTATCTTTGACATCGTCTACTTGTGTGCCTTGTTTTGTAAAGTGAATTCTGTCTTTGTCTATCTGCTTGATGTTTGTTCAAATGCCGAAAACTAACTTCATATGTCGGGAATTCACTTGGGATGAAACATATTTGTGTTGGTACGGCTTGTTCGAAAATTGTAAATATAAACCATATTTTCGCATTTTTTTTCCAATATAGACTAAAAAAAAATATATATGTTTTTTGGTGTAATAGAAAATTTTGGGTTTTATAGGTTATGTATTCAAGCTCGTAGTTAATGTTAACAATTTTAATGTGTTTTCAAATTTTTTTTATTCAAATATTTTATTTGGTTTTTTTGACGAATGCAGGTTGACCCCCCTTGGCTTGTAAAAAGACGTATTATTTTTCTGCACATTTGTAATATTTTGATGCTGTCTGATTAAAAAAAAGGAAAATCTAAAGCACATAACAGTTTTAAAAAAATAATTATTATGTTATATTTTGGTATTCATTTACTACATAAATAAAAATCGATGAACAGTGAACTGGATCTAAACTCATACAATGCATCTGGTATCGATCTTGTGAGGTAAATTTAATTTAGAGGGAGAGCTAGTAATCGGGATTCATTTCTAATTGTCTTAAAATATCGAATTAGTAAAAAGTAGCCGGAAACATAAAATTCAATGCCGAATTAAAAATGCTAACAGCAGTGTTGTCAGATTTCGCGATGATATTGATAATTCTGATAAACTTTCCCCCACTTCTAAACTTTGCAATGTTCAGAAACCTCCAAAATTCTTTTTTAGTAACAGTTGTAAATCTGACAACACTGTTGTTAGCATTTTTCAATAATTCCCAGGTATTGAATTTTATCGTTCCAGCTTCGGCAGTTTTGCAGTAATAACGAACAATAACCAATGTGTAAAATAGGCTTCTATGTATAAAAAATAGGCCTACTTTCATTGAATTTAAACCCAAAATCAAAAATTTTCTTCCTTTTTAATCACAATATCTTGCATGAATATTATTATTATTGTGAACGTTCAACCTATAATATTCCACCCATGACATAATTTAAAAAAAAGGATTGTACTCCCAAATTTTCCTAGAAGTTTTGGCAACTGTCCTAGCACTTTAAGGATAATATCCTAGCAAATTGTTAGCAATGCGAGTAATACATTTTCTCTGCATTTTGAGGTCATATTATTGTAAATTTTTTGTTTGCAATAGTAAAAAAGTAAACCAGAAAATATCAAAGATTGATTCCGTAGATGAATATGAACATTCAAAATCATCTAAAACGGACGACTCCGATTTTAGAAAAAATTATGAGAAATGTTACACTTTTATTAAAGTTCAGTTAAAGCATATTGGGAATATATATGTAAGATTAGTCTATACAACTCATTGTACTAGTACATGGATTAGAAACAAGTTTCGGATTTCTGTGAAACTTGCCAGGCATACAAGAATATATTAATTATGTATTACTGATATTTATTTATTTGTTTGTTACTTCATTTTTATAATAAAAATAGGTTAAAAACTACCACTGCTATCAAAAATTAACAAGATAGAAAAAATTATGCAAAGTAAAGGGCAAATTAAACGCAATACGTTTGAAAGGCATACTGCTAGTATGCCGTCCGAATATTCTGTCATTAACGGGTCAACCCATTTTTTCGATTCACACTGTATAATAACCTATTCCCATGTAATAACGAAACATAAATCAGTTGTTTCATGTTCTTTACCTATTGATTTAGATGTGCCAAAAATATAAAAAGAAAATTTAAAAATTTTCGCGTTCCCAATAAATAAATTACAGTGGTTTAACGCACATATACACCTAAATACGCGTGTATTTTTTGCTTTTTTTAATAACACACCTAAAAACCTACTACAATAATTTTTTAAAAAACGTTAGAAAATATTTTTTCCCAACTATTTAAAAATATATATTGTTGGATCGTCAAATATTAATCATTTCAGTAGGCATATATCGGTATCTTCTAATTTATATAAATCAGGTTAGATAGAAGTCACTGGTAGTGAGCACCCCGAAAATATTAAAATTTCGTTGAAACAGCTTAAGTCGTGTGTTTGTTGACGATAGTTATAGTTATGTTTATAGTGGATGGTTAATATCAAGTTGTGCAGTTGCCTAATAAGATAATATCAGATCGGTCGTGCTACATAGTTTTTTTTAATGAAAAAGATTGGAAGGAAAATAATCACAACTCACCGATATTTTTCTCTACGTCAGCGGTCTCCTGCGAAAGTTGAGTCGCCGCTTTTGTAGCAGCCAGTTTCGTTTCCCATAAACTTTTCAACTCTTGTATCACAGTTTCGTCCACACCATCCTCGATAAATTGCTCCCTGATGTGTGTTATAACATCGGATATGACTTCTTGATAGGTCTTCAACTGCAACGGAGAGCAATTTGCACAAAACTAAACAGATAGAGCGCGGCGATCGATTTGAGGATCGATTCAAGTTGCTAACGGTTCTCGCGGAAACTTATCGCACGTTCCTTCGTTCATTTTGGGGAGGTGGTGCAATCAACCAATAACAAAAAAGCGGGAACTGGAATTCGGTTAGTTACAATAGTGCATTTTTTCGATGTCAAATGTGGCTGTACTCTTTGCTTTAGGAATGTAACGATTTTTTAAATTGGTTTTGACTATTATTTCAAACTAATATCAACAAAAACTTTTTAAATCCGACATTTGTTTTCGATTATTATTTAAAAAAAGCAGTGTTATTTGTGTTGTATAACCACAAGCAAGACGTAAAATGCGCGTAAATCATTTTCCCGGCGTTTTGAGGTTATATTGTTATAAATACAAACAGTAAAAAATTAAAGCGGTCTTCAAAAATATCAAAAAAGGAAATATGAATATTCAATCTCAATTTTCATTCAAAAATTTATGAGAAATTAAATACATACTAATGAATGTCATGAAATTTGTAATAAGTTCAAAATAATTAGAATACGTATAGTTCCTAAGCCTCTGCTGATAAATACGCGAAAGCATAATAATTATATGAAAAACTGAAATATTCCAAAATTTCCAAGGATTCCTTCCGTTGGCTATTTTACAATTAGCTCATTATTTAACAAAAACAAAGTTGGAATAAGTAAATTAAAAGTTATACCATTGACTTATTTAGTTTTGATATAAATTGTTCTTTTTCTTCATTTAGTTTAATCACTAAACACGGGAAATAGCTGGTACCCACTTAATTTTTAAAAATTTTAATTCATATACAATTTTAATTTTAATAAGAAAAAATATTAGAAATTATTTGGTCCAACTTTACGTGTATGCTGAGAGAGTTAGTGAGTGAGGAGATGTAAATAAATCGTAGTGTTAATTAATAAAGTAAAATAAGAACTAAAAAATTACTTAAGGTTTTCAAAATAAAGTAATAAATCTGTTTTGATTTCTTAGGCTTAGATATTCAAATAAGAAATTGAAAAATACGTATTTTAATATATTTCATTTAATTTTGTGCTAAATAAACCCAAAAGGGAGAAGTTAATTTTAAATCATTTATTTTTAGATTTTCTATTTTATTTTAATATTCAGTTTTTCATATTGCTTTCTTACAACTGTTTAAGCTTCATGGTGATGATTGATAGAAGACATTAAGCTGTACATGTGCAGCATAAGAGCTAAGATTTCCACATTTTTTATAGAATAAAATTGATATTACATTCTGATTGATTTGTAGCATCGTCCTGCTAAATTTGTGGCTTAAATTCCTAATAATCGCAAAACTTCGCTGAACCATTAGCATTCCTTCTACATAAATAATGTGATAATTTGTTCCAACCTTTCAGTAAATATAAACAAACAGCGACAATGCGAATAAAATTATTTCTTTTTAGATAACACTGTTAATATTACTCCCTACAAATTAGGAAAATATGTGTATTGTGTTTGCATTACTCTAGATATACGTTTATGAAAATACGAATTATACAAACTCCTAAAAAAATAATCCAATTAAAAAAAAGAAGTAATCTAGATATATCTACATGTAAAATTGTCACCGTCCATGACTGCCGAATTTAAAAACAAAAGAATTTTTGGTCAACTGTTAAAAATTTTACTTATTCTAGGATTTATAAGTACGGGGGTTGCCTATTATTTCAATTATTGGGAATAAAACTTGGCAAATCGATCCACTAACATTTAAATTTCAATTTAATTTATGTTAAAACTGCACAAATCCATCCATTAATATCAAAAAATTGTGTTGCTAAGGGACTAAAAAAGATGTGATTTGCTGACGAAAAACGGAATAGGCCTTGGGCAAACTGTGCCTCTGTGTACTCTATTTTTTTTTAATTTAAATTCAAAATATATAATATACCAGAAGGGAAAAAAATTGCAGGTGGATTAAATTTTAAGTTGATTTTATCAAGAAAAGACTAATCGGTTTTATTGGTCTATTATTTCCGATTGCATGGAGTAAAATATAAAGGTACTGTTGTCGACCTAAATAGAACTTGTAAATGAAAATGAGAACCTTATCTTTTACGTGTAGAAACCATTCAAGAAAGATGGTTACCACGATATATATGTTCAAAGTCGTATTTCCTTTTTTGATAAAAATTGGCTTGACCAATATCTACACCGATTCGTTATCTCTCTTTTTCTAGGTATCCCTAATTAACATTTTGTTTCAATGAATGAATAATGAAAATCATTAATAATATATAATAAGAAAAATTGTGTGTCGCTAAGGGATACCGATAATAAGGAATAATAATGGCTCATGTATAAATAATAAATTTCAAAAGTGATTTATTGAATGTAATTAAAGTGTCTTTCATCCTCCACCAGGTATGATTTAAGTACGTTTAGCTTTTATAATGGGAGTATCTATATTTATTTCATCTTAATGCGTGTAAAAATTTCAAAAATTGTATTTGTATTAATTACCAAGATAGAGGATATTTTATTCATTTGACAATTTTTTCTTGACCTGGAAAGTTGGGGTCACCAAGTATAAAAAAACATAAATTTGGTAGCCTGTCCACTTAGTCACGCTCATCGGCTTAAAGAAAGCGAAATACAGAGTACGAATGGCAGGATTTTAAAATTTCAAAAACAACTCATACACACGTGATTTTGAAAATCTCCTTTAATATATGGAACGAAATTGAAAATAATCCAAAATAAACTTTTAGGTGATACTATCAACCTGCGTACGATGGGTTCCTGCAGAAAGTAACAGAATACGAGGACGGATATGGTATTTAATTAAAAAATATGTTATTTTGTTTAAAAGGCCTCTAATTGATAAGAACACAAAGTTTCATGAATTTAACAACAACAAAATTCGGAAAATGTTTAATCGTGTTCTACTTTAGAGGAGTGTTAATATAATAAAAAAACTAACTTTTCCAGCTATTCCAGGTTGCTGAAAATCGTGTTTTAGAATTAGTTCCGATTTTAAGGTAAACTGCACGTCATTATTTGAAGTGCAAAAATCTGATAATGGGAAAAATCGATTTTGAAGCATTATTGATAATGCAATTTTTTTGCTGACCCACGAAACTTGCCGCCGCTATACATTTCCCGAGCGAGCACTAGCTAATAGTGTTTAGATTCAGCACTGATTATTTACTATCTGGCGATATATTTTTGCTGATTAGTTATTTTACGCGCTAATATCGACAACGATCGAGTACCACCAAGAGTTGAGAAAGAAAATACGGCATTAACTCAGCGGAAGGTCATGTGCGTCATTGTTAAACATATTCGTCTATAAATTGTATTCGTATTTAATAAAACTACTTACGACAGACGATTTGCAGAGAGAGTTCGTCATTTCTTCGTCGTTTCTTTTGTCGGCTTTTACTTTCTCCGTGAATTTTCCATTCAAAATTCTTTGCAGACGTGCAGACGGGATAACCGACAATAACACAACACACTCTGCAGCTTGTTCCACCACTATGGTCGTACAGGTCTGCGGTAAAACGCTAACGGTAATGACGTTCCGCAGGTTGTCTTTTTAAATTAAGTACTTCTATAGTCGTTTAGCGATTTACCCAATTGACCACTTACGCTTACGAATGAAAATCGTGCGTTCGGTTTATTTTATTTTTTGAAAAACTTATTCGGTGTCACTATAAACTAAAAATATATAAAACGGTACGTATTCACGTGGCCGGAGATCGGGTCAATTGAATACCGTTTGCTTTGAAACCGCGCGGCACCGCTTTTAGTAGCGTACAGGGTGGTCCGGTTAAGAGGGGCCTACACCTTATCACGGAACCTACGGGGGTTACAAAAAATAAATAAATACAAAAGTCGTTTCTATTAAAATGGCCTTTATGTTTATACTTTTTTATATACAGGGTGGTAAAACAAAGTTACATTTTTCAAAGTTCTTTCAAAGACGAATTGAACAATATATATGAGTATGAGTCTGCGACGCACCGTTTCGAATTTATTAGCGATCATGTTCAGAATTCGGGTTATGTTTAAACCATCATTGTTGGGTTGCTTATTATGCTTAGGCAATGATGAAATTTAAAATATTTTCTTTAAATACGCGGTGCTGCCACGTTTCGCAAAATGATACTTCTCTCAATTTTCTTTAATGAGACACCTTGTATATTATTGGATTTTCGAATAGCCAATTTAATAGCAATTTCAATTATATAACATAGTACGGGTCTCTGACTTACCGTTTTGGCTTAACTGGCAATTATTTTCCAAAAATTCTTTTACATTCATAATTCAAGAATATTGTAAATAACGTCCTTAAATGGAAAACAAAAATTATAATGTTTTAAACGTATTTTTTCGGATTTCGACTATTTTCCATTTACTTGATAAGTTACATTTTTGTTGAGTCTATTTTGTTAATGTATACGAAAAAGTTGACCTATTGGAATGTTACATCGCCAATAAAAAAAGTCCGGCTCTTCCTCTCAGACAAAATAGAGTCAAATTTCCCTACAGGCGATTGCCAGGAAAAAATATTTGCCAAAATATACCTCGAACAAATGGCAGTGTTTTAGTGCAAAAAAGTAGGAGCCGAACGGTTTTGGATGACAATATGCAGCTAGATATTCTTCAGCATTTTGAAAATCTTCCAGAGACCTCCACCCGAAATATATTGTTTTCATTACAGAGCTAAATGAATCTAGAACACTCCATATGCTTCTGGGGGCTGTTTAGCAATTGCGTAGCTGGCTATTAAGAGCTATTAAAATTCAAATTACCATTAATATAATATTGCTGAACGGACGTTCCCTCGTAAAAATCGACATAGAGCTGACATTCATGGCGATTACGTTGGCTTGGCGATTTATACTCAAGTAACTTGGTTTCATTATTTATTTACTTTCATTAGATTTTATCAAGTCCATCGGAAACTAAAAGAGCAAAAAAATTAATCGTAAATCGCTATTTAAAATTTCCCGCCCTCAAATTCACTCCGAAAAAAGAACCAACCTTGATAAAAAACTTTTTATTGAATTCAAAAAAACGCCAACAAAAAGTCACATACAACCAAACTAAACTAGAACATGTTATTTTTTGGAATGGATTTTTTTAAAAATCTAGAGCTTTAGCGAGTATTGTCAGAAATCATGTTTTGAAGAGAATTGTACAAGTACATTGCAGTAAGTCAAAAAAGTATATAAATAGCAAAAAAATATCAAATAAAAAATACAGAACATAGCAAAAAAGAACTATCATTAATATATTCAGATTACTACATTTGTTACATATTAAAATCGGACGCTAAATATTCATTCAGACTGTGTTTTTTTTTTAATTACATTTTTTTATTTCATCTGGAAAACTTAAAGCCCGGATACTTTTTCTTACATTTGGTTAATCTGAATTTAGGAATTTTAAGACCACAAATCCTTAAGTGATTTCTAACAAAGTATAGTAAAAGTTCAGTCACGGCAGAGACATAATTCTGTGCTCGCGAAAAATAGGTTGGTAATAACTAATACTCGGGTTGTCCCGATTAAAAATATCGAAAATTTTTGCCAAAATATATGTACTATATCCATATATTATTGTTTTTTTTATGGAGCATCCCTTTCTTATCATTATTTAGCAATTGGTAAACTTTTAGTAGACCCTAAGGTAAAAAGTTCATATAAATTGTTAAAACCATTTTTTTCTCTGCAACTTTTTAAAAATCATTTTTTAAAATTTTTGCTGTAGTTTCTCTGTAACTACGTCACCAAACAAGTAATTTTCTAAATGTTCCTTTAAATAGTTCTTTGCATATACCAAAATCGTTGAGCAAGTTTCTTTTTTGGTTGCATTTCTGCAATTGCAGTTCTGTCCGTCGCAGTTTCAGGTAATTCATTCCGAAATCGATCGTATAGATTTGATTGTATTTCATAGGACGTCTCGCTACTATCGTGTGGCAAGAAGTATTCTTTGTCATCTAAATCTTTTTTCACGCTTTTTGACGATCTCTTGCGAACATTTCCCTCAAGGTTTTCCTCGCCCTTGGCGTTGGTGTTTTCGGGTGTCGTAACCATTTTGTGGTCGATTGATTGGACTCCTGTTGTGGTGTTGGTGAGATTACGATGCATCTTTTGTTGCATGAGCTGGTTGTGTTTTCGATAATCGGTTCTTACGTCGTTGATACCTTGGTACATAATTCCAACAAAGAAGAATGCTAATAATACGCCCATACCAATTGATATCCAAGAAACCTGTTGGAAAATCCATATTCTAGACAAAAGTCTTAAAATATTCCGCCTTAATTAATAAAAATTTCATTTTTTTGAAATAGTAATTTGGAATAGCCGAATTATAGTCTAATCGAGGTGATTTTCATAGAAATAGCCATCTGGTATCAGATTCGATGGTTGATTTGAGGACAATGGTAGTAATGAATTGCTTATTAGAAATTTTAAAAAATGAGCTATGATTTGAGTGAATCAGTTAATAAACAAAAAGTTATGCCGAAAAAACCTTCAAAAATAACCGTTTTTTAAGCTGTTAATAAACAACAGTAGAACATATTGAACACGCAAATTTGAAAAAAATGGACAGTGACTTAAAAAAAGCTGTATCTCTGTTCCCGTAGCCAGGTCACCACCATTTATCGGCGTTTCCATCGCATTATTTATTTTTTATTTGTTTGGGACAAAAAAAATGAAACATGATTGAAACAATTTAAAATTGAGTGTCATAATTTTCTTTTTTGATATTACAAGAATAGCAGGGTCATTTCGAATAAACAGTTAAAAAACAACCTTAAATTTGTTAACGAATTAAGTATACAAAAATACTAAACATTTTTACATAAAATTCTCAGCGCTCCTTCATGGCCCGAGAGGCTTTTTTTGTTAAGGTACGAAAGTTGTTCAATATGTTCTTCTTCTTTTGTAAAAGGTATTTTTTTATTTTTTTCTATATTTAAAAAAAAATAAGGGTGCTTGGAAAATAACTTGAAAATAAATCAAGTCTCTTTAATGTTATGTTCATTTTCTTCTAGAAGAACTTCTAGAATCTGCTCACTAAAGAAAAAATACTGAGCACCCTCAAAATGATTTATTGTTGTAGCATAAAATTCTTTTAAATGATCCTAAATTTCTTCAAATTGAATAAATTATTTAGTTCCCTTACTAAAAAAATGCTAGTAACTGATATGACCAAGAAGCGTTCTGCATTATTTTATCGATCAGAAAACTGTACCCTAAGGAGGAATTTTTAAAAAATAATTTTGTTTGTTTGTTTTAACGTGAGTGTTACAACTCTTATCAACCAACATCAAAGAATATGATATATTAACATTACGATAATTTTTAAGAAAATATGTTAATTAAAAAAAAAGCTTCTTTCAGCTGCAGTACACCAATCCTTTTATTTTACAAAAAAAAAGTAGTACGGTAGAAAAATCCTCAAAATAATGCAATACTTTTAAAACATTTTATATCTAAAAATTGAACTAATCAAAACAATTAAGTACTTACCAGATTTTTGCTAAACACTGTTTTTTTTTCTTTGTCCCAAATCAATTTACTGCATTCTTCCATTTTGACGAATCTGGATTTCTAAAGCGCTCGACACTATTACCACTTTATGAATTCAGGTGAGCTTTTGGTGGATAAATAGCCTCCCAGCCCCACCATTTCATTGTTCGTTATCAAATTCACAACTGAACTCTACAATAGGTAGATGGAACTTTCATGTGTATTACGATGATGCACCATTTTTCTTAATTATTAACTACGTAATTTATAATTTACAGGATTTTTTATTTTTATAGATTACGTGGAATTTTCATATTTTATATTTTTAATTTATTTTAATTCTAGTATTTAATTTTTCATTTGTAAAATTAATTAGACACTGTATAGAACACTTACTTTAACCATATCTGAGCAACGTTTTAAACTTCTCAGTTGGTTTGGTGCATAACGATCACATTTAATTAGAGTTGATAATAAAATAAAACATTCATAAAGATATTATTATTTCAAGTATAAATTTCATACAAAGTCACCCTATATAATTACATACTTATTTATTAACGTATTTTCGCATTATTTCAACCTATCTCCAATCATTTACAGTTCTTCGTGAGTTCGAGGCATTTTCTTTAAAATCGCTTGATACAGATTATAGAACGCGTAAACACTAACCGATAAAATGACAACCAAAGCAACTCCAAATACAACGCTTAAAAAGCTCCCATCGATTATCCCTGGACTTCCGTTTCTCCTTGGCGGTTCCAGATTTAATCCCCTTTTTCTATCAGCCATTAGCTTCTTCATGCTGTCCAAGCGATGACGTAATTCATCTACAGACTCACCAGTTGCCTCTGCTAGAATTATAGATTAGTTCTTAACAATTGGTATTGTTTGGTGCAAGTTGGCAATTGTTAACTACCATTAATACGTTAATTATGATTTTTCATGGCACAAATTCGCAGGCTTTTTCGACAGGATCGGAGAAGTTCATTGGTGAGTGTACATGCTTTACCTGAATATACAAGCTGTTTTGGAACGCTCAAGATAGCCATGTTTTGCAGAACTGAAAACAATACTCTGCATATCAACATTTTGAAAATTCCTTTTAAGGTAAAACTGTAAAATAGGACAAATAAATTAAATCTTGATATTATGGTATAATAAAAGTTTTCGGAATTGGCAGTTTACTTGGTGGTTTATTAGCCCAGAAACTTTTTGCAATGAAAAAAGGGATGGGTATTTCTCTGGATTATTTTCTGTTTAAAATTTTTACTGAATATAAAAGCACTTTGATTCAAGTTGATAGTTTCGTGTGATATTTAATTTCTGCTTAAAAAAAGAGGGTTCAAATTGTAGATTTCAATTAATTTAATTGCCTTATTTTTTGCAATTTTTTCTATATCTCAAAACAAATTTATATATGGGAAGTTGTTTATTACGAAACTTGATACGGTGAAATTTCAAACACATAAGAATATAAAATTCTTTACGTTAGGATTTCAGAAACAATCATTAAAACACTGAAAGAACAGTCTGCTGGCTGGTCCATTAAATGTTGGTAATTTGGAACCTCCCAAGTAAACTCTGTATATTAACTTACCAATGAATTACTCTGAATATAAAAGAACATATATAATTTGGTTGAATTTTATTCAAACGCAATAATTTAATTATCTTGGTTACGATTTATTGCCATAAAGTGTTGCCCCAAAATAGCTCCAAAAGCTTTTATTTTAATTTAGTAAAAATTAATGAACATTAATTTATGTTAATTTGCTGAAAAATAGCATTCAGTGCTTCAACGTTCGCTTAACATCAATGCATTCTGGGAAAATTTGCGATAATTCACTGATTCTATTCATTTTGTCCACATTTCCGTATGATCGGAATGCAACAATACGACGCCAATTGTACTGAGTCACTGAGTCAAGTCAATTCACCAAGAAAATATGTAGATTTTTTCCAATATCTGCGAATATTTTTCGAAACAAATACTTAAACGTGCAAAATTTTAGAATCAATTGCGAAGCGTTTTATTATCACTTATTTTATATCGAACCTTACGAATTCGTAAGGTTTCCTCTCAGTGCCATTGAAAACTCGATGCGGTTTCAAGAAAACGATACAACCACGCACTCGTTTGTAAATAATGTAGAAAAGTCTTAAAGCTTACTCTGTTCCATTGATGAAGTTGTTATGAATGTGTAGGAAGCTGGTTCTTGATCTGGCCACGAGCCATTGACACAAGACTATTGATTAAAATGAGTAAACTGGACCGAAGTAAGGGAAACTGGATTGATAGAGACGAAAGATACACCCCAACGTCGCTCGTATATACATGCGCAAATGAACCTTTCTTCCCCCAATTTCTAGACCCATTCGAACTCTGTTTTGTTTGAAAAAAAAAACACCCTTTCGATTTTTTTGGGCAACAGTTTAGTGAAAAACCCGTCAAAATTTTTTCTGTATTCATAAACGCCCTTTGCTGTAAGTGTAATCAGTATGAGAGAGTTGATGTTCATTTTGTTGCACTGGTAATTGTTGTTTCACCTGATTGTTTTTGATACGAAACGTGTCCTATATATTTCGACTCAATGTATTGTTGTAACCATTTGGCTGACCGTGTATTTGAAGATTGATGTTTTGTAGTGCAACAGTTTTAGATGTTTTAAATGTTGTCGTTGGCGTTCGACATAGAAATCCGCGATTTTTAGCGCATCTCTCTATTACTTACTTGTGCTACGGACAATGTGATTCGATCGATTGACAATAAAAGTCGGGTGATGATGGGATGCCTAGATGCATCTTAAATATAATTTGCAAAATTATGGCAACAGGTTCGAACTCACGCACATTTCCAAACATTCGATGTAAGTGTTTAAACAGAGTTGTAAGTAGTTAACCACTTAGCGTCGCGAGTGTAATTTGAAGATGTTAATGCCGCTGATATCGATTTTACGAATAAGGATGCTGAGCCTTAGACACGTGTTTGTGTCCCTCTGTTCTTGTAGAATCTTTCGATTATCCTTTATTTTCCAACACTATTGATCTGTTATGGGATAAGTGAAGCTGCCCCCATGTTGAAGATACCTGCACGTTTTAAACAATGTGACCTCAGTGTTTCCCTAGCGTTTGATTATTGTGACTGCATTGTCAACATGGGTACTCGAGCTGCTGCATGTAAGCAACTTTTTTTCCTTCCTGTATTTAGTCAAAGCAGAAAAGTCCCTCTCAGAATTACGATTAAATTATCAAATAACATCATCGTCCACACCTCATTCGCAAGCACGGTTTACTTAATCGAAGAGTTTCAGGTATCTTTAGATATCGAAATAATTTTCAAAAATTGCATGTAAATAAATACATATACATTACCAAGCTGGATATAATAGTGATATGTTGAATATATGTGTGCTTCTGCTTTAGGACTGCTGTTGATATATTATTAGAAACGCTGCCATACTAGATTTCGAATTATCATGACAAAAGGTGTTATTTATTTGCTTGGTAATAACGTTAACCATCGGTTTTCAATTGCTTAATTTTCCGAAGTAACTACTGTAAACTTAACCAGGATTAAATTTAAAGTTGGATATCGACCAAACAATTTTATTGCAGCTCTCTAGAGTCCAAAGAATTCGTTGATACTATTAAATTGATAAATTTATTTGGTGAATCAGCACAGCAAAAAAGGAAATTTTGGACACTTGATTAACTACCATAATTGCGAAGTACATAAGAAAGATTTTCTTACTTGTAAATGAATAGCTTTTTTTGTGCATAATTTAATTCCGATTTAAGGATATAATTTTGTTAATTATGCTTCATAATTTAAAGTAAACCATTTAGAAATAGAGTACAAGACAATATCGTTGCATTGCATTTTTCAAATATTTTTTTTTTACAAAAATTAGTGTTAACCATTTTTACTCCAAACAAAATTTACTTATTACATCTGTCAAACTGTTTTATTACGAGGCAAGTTTTAAAACACCTATGATTTTTGATGCGTAAGGTAGAACACGATTCCGGATAATAGTCACTTTTCTGCTTTGATTAGTTCAATTATTCATTTTAATATTTCTAAAAACTATATACGTGTAATATTTCTAAAATGTTTTTAATCCCGTAATAAAACCTGTTATTATGTATCCTTAAAACTATTTCGATATCTCTGTAAACCATTATAGGTAAAATTACTGTCATTCATACTTGATTATTGTAAAGTCTTAACTTTAAAAGAAAAAAAAAGATGTATGGAATATGTCTACAATCGAGAATTGTTAACGTATGTTTTAATAGCGTTAGTTAAGTCAAAATGTTATCGGACAGGTCTCTAAGAATTTAGCGTGTAGTATTTAGTAAACAATAATGGTCATACTAATAATTTTTCGAACTAGTTACAGCTAAAATCCGCAGCCTCTATGACTACCAACTCCGACTTATGCAGGGTATCCTACCGCCTCCATCAGGAGTTGACATAGCAAACACAATAAAATATTTCTCACAAACTCTTTTAAGTACGTATAACTCATTTTAGATTATACAGGACGGCCCATCGCTTTTCAAAATAGCGTTAAATCTCATATAGCTACTAGATATGTATATGGTGCTAGGTTTACAAATTACACACCAAAAAAATAAATTCGCAACCTTTTTACTTTTGTAGTGTGTCCTTAAATAGAGCCGCTACGAAAAAATAATGATAACAGTCATTCAACATACGTATGCGCGGTCATTTCGAATCTTGTTTTCAACCAGGAAGACATTTTCGCGCCAGTATGTTGGCAAAATATGCCTAGATCTCATGGATCTCTAGGATCTCTAGTGCCTAGATCGCAGGTTAAAATGTGAAATGTACAGGCATGTGCGGAAAAAGTTTGACTCGTATACATTGTTGGCAAGTTGTGCCTTCTCTTTCTCTCTCTCTTTCTCATGTACGTATTTTTAAATAATGATATAAATACCTATATGCTCTGTTCTTCTTTATCAACTTAATAACAGAATAACAGAAATCAGCTAACCAAATATTGACTCATTTTCGCACAATTAACAACATTGGACAACAGTGAAAAGATTTTTGCCTTCAAAATCTACGGCCACTATTATCTATTAGCTATATGTGGGCCACTCCTTATTTCACCTTAGAGTTAGCTTGACACTCGTTCATTCCTGTGTTTCTATGACACTGTGACATGATTTCATGATTGTGAACAAATTTGAATTCGACAACTTGTCATTTTGTGGTATTCAATTAATACTCAAAGCGTTCAATTGTTAAAATAAATGTAATAGGGCTTACAATCCTGTAAGTACTCATGTAAAATACTGCAATATCACTCTGAAGGGTGTTACATTAAGCGAGAAATTATTTTGTAGGTGTTCTTAAAGATGTTCCCAATTCCCCTTTTGAACTTCTGAAAGATCCAGAAATGGATGGAGTAAGGATGGGTCTATTTCCGAGTTTGGATTACAAGGGTCTTTACAATTCCATAATTCCCTTAATCGAAGTAGCTCCCCTAATCACCAACGGACTACATGGTAATATACATTGTATTATTATCATAGGCAATGTCGATGATGGAAGTTTTTTTAATAGACAAATTTAATATTTTCTATTCAATTTAAAAGCGGAAATTTAACTAAGCAATTTGTTTTAGTATTTGGCCAAGCAGTGCTTCAGTGCCTAGGGTGTCTACTACCCTTCCTAGAACACGATTTAATAGACAATTTACCTTATTTAACAGCATCTACCATCGCAGTTTTACCACCTAGTTTACATCAGGACATCATTAACACCCTGTGCTACTACATTCTTCCATTTACTATTAGTAAGTATCTAGAGAATATCTTCCTTTTTAGTTTTTTTTTTGTATACGTAGATCTGATCTTTTGTTCTTAATTAAAATTAAATTGAAAATTTGACGCCTGAGGATTGCTGTAATCATCCATACATCAACTTTCCGTTGCGTTTCAGCCCGTCACGATCCAAAACAGGCTGACATCTGTCAGTCGGTTTCAGCTGTAATCATGATGATATTTCAGTACTCCTCAAATCCCGCACATCATTGTCAACTATTGGAATGCCTCATGACTCTAAAGCAGAACATTCTGAAGGATATGCTGTGCGCTATAGCTTATGGCACCTCAGCGGCTCGTGCATCAGCTGCCAAATTGTTGTTTTACTACTGGCCCACTTTCAATGCGAACTTGTTTGATAGAAAAAATTTAATTTGCAAATTTGCCGGTACGATTTACAATATGCGAACCTTAGAGGGTAATTATATTCGCTGACCAATTCAGATCCCACCCCGTTTGTATGTCAAAGGGACGAATGTCCAAACGCTGGAAACGCAGAAGCGGCGAAAGTGTGTTACGACCATTGCATAGCTATCACTTTTTCAACGGACATTCCTCCGCCATTATATCTTTGTATTGAATGCGCCAATGAAATACATAGAGAACATCCCAATCAGCGATTTTTTGATATTTTACATCCTATGCAACAAGTGTCTATGGTTTGCGAGAATAAGGTTCGTATCATCTTTCTCAACAAAGGCGAGGGGTAAAAGAACGATTGTTCTAGAACTGTAGATCGACCGATAAATCAGCAATATCTATATGTTTTTCAACCGAATGTGCCTCTTATAACGGTAACCACCCGATAAGGTATTGTGAACAATGTCACAACAACAGGCATAATTCAAGGAGAGGTGGGGATCATATCGTCCATAAAGCCATACCACCTACCTGGGATATGGATCCAGAAATGCAGACGTCTATGGTTGAAGCCATTGTTAGGTCAGTGATCGCTTTTTTTCCACCATTATTACTCACATGATTACCAAAACAAAACTACGATTCGTACGTAAAACTTTCCTATAGATATGCAGTTAAAATTAGCAATTTTGAAGAACCACACTCCATTTTGGTTAATTAAAATAGCTCGGAGTCTTATTTTATTTATTAATTAAAATTTTTGTAGTTTATTTTATATCAACTTGTATATTTTTTAAGTAATATGTAACAAAAGTTTCAATTTAAGCGCTAGGGAAATCTCGATTATGAAATTTATGTTTCAAAAGTGGTTCAAAAGCACGATGCCACATTTTTTTAAATTTTGAGGTCATGGGCCTCTTCTGTAGTTTGGGTCTCGAATTGATTTTTTCTGTGCAACGACTCCACAGTTTGTTAAAAGAAGCGAAAGTCCCAGAAAACGAACAAAAGGAGGGGGACAAAAGGGACATGGAAGAAAAAAACGAGAAAAAGGATAGCAGAGAGGGAAGAGACAAGGACGGGAAAAGTCCAATACCAGCAATAGACAATATTAGCGTAGAAGAACGGCAACTTTTAGGAAGATACGGTGTGTGGCTTTTAGTGGGAAGGTGTAGTCCCGATGAGAAAACACAAGTTGAAGTATTGGGAAGACTACTAGCTATGATATTTCATTGGTTTCACATGACGGCTTATTCTTATGATGGTGGGCGACGTAATTTTAATTTTTTAACTTCATTTTAAATAAGAATTTTATAGGTCGGGACGAGAGCGCGTTAGAAAAATTAAAAACCGGCGATGTGTGCAGTTGGTTGCGTGTGATAAGCAAATCTCATTATGATCTTTTTGTATCGTGCCTTTTACCCCATCCACCAGAATACGCTAGGATTGGAGGTCACTGGTGAGTGAATTAAGCTTGGAAAGCTAAATGCAATTTCTCAAACAAACATCTATATATCTTAGGGATACACTTGCAACAAGAACCACTCACTTAAAGGAGGGCTTAGATCGTCTTTTTTGTCTTGTGCCTTACGACGTTATTACGCAAGAAATCTGGAATTATATAATGCCGCATTGGATGGAAGCTACCGTGAATGGGGTTCCCGATAAAGAACTCTCAGAATTGAAAGTAATACTTAGCAAAATTTTGGATACGGAAATGAGCCCGTTGGGTTTTAACGCGAAGAAAATGTACCAATTCGTAGCATTGAGATTCGATAAAACCAACGCCAAAGTACAAGAGCAAGCACTTAAGTGGCTGCAGGTATAGTTTGTTCGCAAATATAAGAAACTGATAATCTCTTATTAAATTTTATTTAAATAGTAATGGCAGATTTGTTTAAATAGCAGCTAAATTTTAGAGGCAATTGAGAAAAAGTTGCTATAACTGACACAATAGTAATAAATGTGTCACTATGCTTGATGAGAAGAGCGCTTTTTAAATACAAGTTCCAGATTTATAAGCAATAAATATCTTTATCAGAAAATTATTTCCAGAAATGTGCCAATAATCACCTTATACGTACAGAGTGTTCTTTAATAGTGCGTCAATACTGAAGGGGAGCCCTTTTTGAGAATAAACTTTTATATAAATGTATGTTCGAAATGTCTTCACTTTTGAGATAAGTTTGGTAAGCTTTTCAGGAAAAAATGTTTTTTATATTATCTAAGAATCTGAATATTTTCTTTGGATAGTCCAGTTATTTTTGCATAAAAGCAATCACCGGTTGCTACAAAAGTGCTGTACTTTGCTACACTGACTAAGTTAGAGTTTCTAAACGTCATTCTCAATTCTAAAATAAACTGTTGGTCTTCTAAAGCATATTAACTTAATTTATTCGAGTTTTATTATTTTGTTGAGTTTTTTTTTCTGTAAATAAATCCAGATACCATAACTCAAACTAATTGTGAAAAAAAAATAGTTAATCTATAGGCCTGTTTTTTCTACCAAGACATTTTACTGTCTACTACTAGTGTAAAAATTCCTCTTAACACTTTAGAAGATTTGAGGCAGTGAATAGTCATACGAAACTATACCGATTACGCCTGGAATAATTTTGATAATTAGTGAAAAAATAATAAATACGAAATTTCTTAAGAAGTATGATGTTTATTTAAATTACGCAAAAAAAAACTCATGGGATTAGTTTTATGCTGAACTAACCAAAACTGTGCAAAGGAAATATTCTCCTGAAAAAATACCAGCAGCGTGTCATTTTTTCTTCAAAAATATGCGATATAAATCGCGAAATTACCCCGCTGGTAAATAATTTTAAAAAGTGTGTTAGTGAAATGCGTCTAGAATGCCTTAACAAAGATACCTTGAATAGTGTTTTTAATGATATACAAAAATGTACTGAAAAGTTCGCCACCCCGTATCACAAAAGTTACGACCTTAGTTATTTTATCAAAATAGCTACAAAACTTCTGGATTTCGGTTTTTGCTTAGTCGAAATTGTTGACGTTTCGCCAATCATCCTGTTGGTTTCTTCAGAGCTTGACTGAAACTGGCTCGCATTTGACTCTGTACCTGCTTATATATTGTTTGAGGAAGTAAATGAGAGGCATAAAACATCGTCTCGGATGACTGATTCCCATATCGGTGACAGGTAAAGACCTGTTCGCGGCTAGGATTGTTAGGTTGCTTATAGATTACTATAGACTCTCGGATTTTTCGTTGGTAGAAAAATTGATTACATGCAAGAATTTTAGTTTCATCGAATAAAATTTTATATCCGGTTTCGTGATTGTGTTCGGCAACGGCTGATGAGTGTATTTGTCTTCAGGCTCTTTCAAAATATTCTTTGCCGCATATGCATGAAATACTGTAAACTCTCAAATGGATTTTTGGACAAGTGGTAAATCTGGGTTTGACGTTATATTTCTTTAGAACTTTTCATATGTGATCAGTGATGTTTTGAATGTAAGGAAGAACAACAGTGGCAAGTGTAGGATTGTTTTGGGCCTCATTGCTGTTGGAAAGTTGTGGTGAAGTGTATTTTGTGATGGAATGGAGAAGAGCAGAGGTAACGTGTTTTAATTTTGGGTTCAATGACACGGGCTATGATGATTTTTGGGTCGGATGGTGTTGTAACAATGCATTAAGGTATCAGTTCGACTCAACAAAAACCGACTCAGAAAAAAATCCAGACGTTTTGTAAAAACTATTACAGTAGCCAGTTTGTATATGTATAGTTATTTTTCCATAGACGCTTACGTCACTTGAAATTACGACCCCATTGCACCTGTTATTTTCCATATTCGGTGATGGTGTAAGTTTTATGAAGGAGGGAGAAGGCGAGAGTGGAACCATACCAATACAACAACCGGCAGATCTACCTCCAGCTACTTCAGGACCTAAACGAGATTCTTTATGTATGTTAGGCTTCGATCGAGATATCCTTCTGCAGGATTTAATCGTTTTAGCAAGAGAAGACATCCGTCAGTGTGACGATTCGGCAAAAACATCTATATCTGACGAAGAAAACCCAGCCACCAAAACCCAATTGGAAACGGATGCGGAAAATAACCTTTTCTGTTGCATTTACATGTTAGATATCCTGTTGAAACAGATGGAACTACAAGAAATAGATAAACACACTGGTCTGAACTCCACCTTGTGTCGGAACGTTTGTCTGTTATTAAAAAGTATGGTAACAGCCGCGTGGATCGGTTCCCACAATTGCTCATCGAAAACCGAATGCATTTACTGCGAATGTAGTATAATGTGGCATCAACTAGCGTATGAATTGATCATATATCTATCACCCGTTACTCTAGCGCATCCTCCGGACGTAAGAACCAATTTTATTACTTCAAACTTGTTAATATCGCTGATTTTTCCAGCCTCCTATTGAAGCTGAGAACTCGGATGACGTTCACAGTAGAAAAAGTCCACCCGAGAGTGATAAAAAAGAGAAATCAACAGACGTGGTTCTTAATATGCCGATACCCGAAATGCATTCCGTCGGAGGTGTTTTGGTTCATATGCCCCACGTGTGTTCTGTACGAGTATTAAAGAATAACTCAAACCAAGTCTATATGAAAAATTGAACATTTTGGTTAAACATTTTGACTTGGTTTGAGCTATAGTTTTCATATTACCTCTGAAACGTAGTTATCCGTTTTAGATTATGACTGCTACCGTGGAAACTGTTTCGGAGCAGTTAGATCTGGCTTCGATTATGCCAGCGGAAAAAGTAGTGTCGGCTGTTGCTAGAGCTATTACACTGTCGGAAACGGATATCGGTATGACTATTTGCTTTACGTTTTTAAAATCGGCCTTCTGTTTCTTAATGTCAAAAATTTGCGAAAATGGAAAAAAACATCTATTTCATGTTTATTTATTTAACGAGTTAACCAGTTTACAATTAAATGTAATAAACAAGTACGAAGTAAACAAAATGAAACTACTAAAAAAAATATAACAATGAAACAAATAACAATAACAATCTAACCGTACAGGAACTTTAGTTTTTTTTTTTCAAATTAGATGGAAATGAGCAGAAGTTGTAGACGAACAGAACAAACTTCGATCGAATTACATGGTACAAGCATTATATCAAGCTGCAAATACACTTCAAACAAAAAAATTAAAATATAAATAAAATAATCCACATAATCTTTTGGCAAAAATAACAATATCGTTCTCTATTAGAACACTTTGTTTTAAATATACAGGGTGTCAAATTTAACTTTTTTAAATCTTATTTAAGCACGGTGACTGTATATTCTATGTTTTGCCATATCTTTGCCATATCTTTCAAAGTTGCCTATCTTCCACCATTGCTCAAGGCTGCGATATTTTTTTTTCATATTTCTTTATGTTTAGCTCATTATTTAGAGAAATTTTAAAAGTGAAGTAATAACTAATGCAACAAGAGTTTTTTAGTTGAGTTTACTTAAATATGGCAATAATTATATTATTATTTATTTAAGTTAATTAATCTGAGAATGTAAAAATATCTAGTGAAAGAAGCTCCAAATTAAAACGAAAAAAAAAGTTAAAAAAAACACCAATCTAACTACGAAAAATTAACTCCAAATCCATTGCCTACAATCTGAAATGCACCAAATTTTATATAGATATCTCACAACACACAAAAAATAACACTGACACATACTTGCGAATAAATATATGATTCAAGGATTGACGTATTTTTTGGTAACATCCTGTGTATGTCTAGGATTTTTTTTTTCGAAATAAACCTAAAATTTATTTATATAGAGCTCAAGATCAATATCCTAATAAAATAAGAAATTGAACTTTGAACTTTGAACTTTTATTATTATTGAACTGTACATAATATAACCTATAAAAATCGAATTATTATTATTATTATTAAATTATACAGCTATCTAAGAAATAGGTAGCTTACCCATAGTTATAATTTAAAAATATACTAAAAATAAAATCCATGTAATATAGACATTCTTGATTTGTTATTTTTTCTACTTCCTTTATGCTTAAAAATAGTGAAAACCCTGAGAAACAATATAAGTGGCTATAGAAAACAAATTTGATGTGTAATATAATTCCAGTTATTCTTTATCCATTCATAGACGATCTCCATACAAAATTCATTTTTGTTTTTAAGTTCAATTGGTAGTAAATTATAAATACATTTAGCTATAAAGCTTATATGACGCTGAGTAGTACTCAGACTCAATCCCTGAGTTATTACACTCTCAGAAGTAACGAGTTGTAATATTATATTTAGAGTTCGGTCGAGTACCTTTTCGGTATTTTATGAATAATTTTTGTTCCAAATTGATAGAATTTGTAAATCGCTCTTCTAATCTTCTAATAAATATGAGTCCCTGTAAACAATTTTTTCGACATTCGACTAACGGTTGCCACAAACAATCTTTTAGTCAAGTAATCATCTACATGAATTTTAAGCTGGGGTCAAAGTTTTTTAGAGAAAAAGGAATATAAACTGTTTTATTATTATTTGATGTTAAGCGATTTTGGTTTTCGCGGAGCAATTCTTGAAACATGTACATAAAAAAATGAGTACAAAGTAACAATTTATTACGTTCTATGTCACACAAATATGTTTCATCCCAAGTGAATTCCCGACATATGAAGTTAGTTTTCGGCATTTGAACAAACATCAAGCAGATAGACAAAGACAGAATTCACTTTACAAAACAAGGCACACAAGTAGACGATGTCAAAGATACTGAAAATTGATCAGATTCTGTTTGTAATATAATTTCTTTAATTTAGCAAAGAACCTTTCGATTTTACTGGAAATAGTGTTGCTTTGTCCTAGATAAAGTTCTTCGGTTTAAGCGACACTATTATACTTCGACCAGAATTATAGTGCTTTTACAACCGACCCCGTGATTAACTTTCTATGTCACTTGTTTTTATTGCTGCTCCTACTTCCCCTTCTGAATTTCTTATAAAAGTGTAAACATTGAAAACAATCGGTTTTTTTATTTGCTGAGGAGTCTTCTAAATTGTCATTAGGTTCGACTACCACCTCCATTTCGTCTTCCAATTCTGCGTTGTTTTCCATGTCTTCTTCTAACATGAGAATATCTGTTTCATTCCACATTTTAAAGTGTTAAAAAATAGGTACCTGCAAAAAATGTTTAATTGAAAGATTCTAATAAATATTTATCTGTATTCTTATGACGCACCTTTATCTACCGTGAATAAAAAAGACTGGTGTTGTTTACAAACCGAAGAACTATGTAGAAGACACAAAAATACAAGAAGAATGTTGTTAATCGACAGGCACACAAGACAAAAACGATTATTCTCAATCTTACCTGTAAGATAAATAGACTACAAATACTTACCCTTACTCCTTGAACTCTCCAGTGAAAACAGCGTCGCAAGGTCAAAGCTCGAGAATCAGGTACATAATCCGTACTTACTAGAAGGATTCCATTCAAATACCTCCGTAATATATACGAACATGTTGCAATTTAGATTAAACTCTCAAGAACCATACATATCACCTGATGTTAAAATAGTCGCTTCTACTTATTCGAAAATATCCCGCAACATCAATGTTAATCAAATTAAGTTTCAAATAAAAATTTCAAGTTTCTACAAACGTTCGTTACGGTCCATCTCAGGCAAGACCTACTTAAAGCAGAAACAAAAAGTTGGAATGGGTTTTACCACGGTCCTGCGAAGGTCTGCAGTTAAAGTACTGTAAAATACTTAAAACGTCAAAACAATAAATGCACTATATTTTTGGTCGTACAATACATGGATATATACTCGATCGTGATATTTTATTTTGGTATTTATAATCATTGTCTACAATTTTATTTGTATATTAAATCAAATGTAATTTAAATACCATTTCAATGAATAAAAATTAAACCTTATTCTCAAAATAATAAAATATATTTCATATAACCAGATTTAGTTTACAAATCACTTTTATTCCATAACAAACAAAATAAAAATTGATTAGTTGCTATTGTTTGATTGTTTAGTAGCCGCTACGGCATCCGTGGCGAAGCCACAGCCGATTGGTGAACACAATGAAGCCACCGAATCAGATTCCGACGAAGGCATGGATTTTTGGCAAACCTCGCAGGGAAAATTTAAATTTTCAGTGGACGACTTGCCTGAGCCGATACAATATATTCACCAACTGCTTCACGAGCTATCCAAAGTAACCAAACCTGACATTTTATATTATATGTTGAAGTGCTTAAACGTGTTGATCCTCTACGGTGATGCTTGCACGAAAGCGTCTAAAGAACACAAAGGGTTTTTCATTTGGTGCCAAGAGAATCTTATTATCAAAAAGTAAGTTGCCGAACAATCATTCTAGTAGTCCGCAAGTAACATTTTCAGCTTATGGAATTTATTAAATTCCGAACACTCCCACATATGCCAGGAAGCGGTGCCTCTACTTCTTCATTGCATTACTTTACCTGCAGGCCCAGATGTATTCTGGAGAATAATTCAAGACGACTTCCACAACCAAGATTGGAGAGTTAGGTTCACAGCTGTGGAAAGGGTTACAGTTTTGGCTCGATTTATGGCTGAATGTCCGCTAAGAAGCCAATTTCAGTTGCAAGCCGCATTAGCTAACGCATTTTGTTATCTAATTTCCAGTATGGACGACAATAATGTTTACGTAGCTCAGAGGGCTACGCTCTATCTGGGAACAATACACGATTTCGCAATTAAGGTTCCTGGTGGGTGCAGTTTCGATTTTGGCATTATAAAGTTGCGTTTTTTTAGTCTCTCATTATGTGTTTGGAAACGCAATTCGACTCAGTAATTCTCGATAGACCGATGGTGTTACAATCGGTTTATCAATTGCACAACTCTATGAGTGAAAGAAAAATTTTAAATTGGGATTTTTTCCTTAATCGTTTTGATACTTTATTTGTCGAAGCCCAGATTGCCTTAGAAAAAGTTGGTGATATTTCTTACATTAGAGGTAAAAAAAGCATAAAGCTGAGGAGTAGAAATTGCGTGACAAGTCTGTTGCAGATTTAAAAAATTCAGACGTAAACAGTGAAGCCTTTGTAAGAAAATTACATAGAGCTCACGACGCTCTATCCGGACTTAACGAAGGCAGTATAGCGAGCTCTATAAAAACGCTGAGCGCTAGTTTTGGAACAAAGTGGCCTTATAAACGTACGATGTCAGCTCCAGCGTCCATCATCCGCCATCAAGAGAGCAAATCAGGTAATATTCTGAGTATGCGCGTAGGATTTAATGTCAGGTTGGGCGTGTTCTAACAGCGAATTCAATGAACATAATTATTTATAGTGTATATTCCTGAAGCCAAAGAAAAAGTATACAGTCGTCAATATTCTGCGCCGATTTTGAAAAGAAAAAGTTCACGTTTTGGATTGGGTCAGTTTCTAGGCACTAGTAACAACATTCCAGGTAGAAAATAGATAGGGTCTTGCTTAGTGGCAGCATGATTGTGAAAATTAATTGACAAATAAATGTAAGTCTCAAGCGAAGTACGCTTTGATAATGCGTACGTCTTAATGTTTGCTATTGACCATATATATCCCGCGATATTGCTACAGCTTTTTATGCTACAGCAAATGGAATTTTATTAAAATTTTATGTTTTCAGTGGTCATTTTTAATTTTGAATTTCTACCTCATAGAAAAGTGTCTATAATTTTTAAAGGCCTCAAACGTCACAAATGATAGGCCGATATTAAACCCAAAAGTAAATTTTTCGTCTTGTATAAAACAACAACAACTTATAGTATTTTTATATTTTTACATACTTAACATTACTTAATAATAAAAGTACATACTTTAATCATAATATTACTTTATGTATCGATATAAAGTGTATTACAAAGCTTTTCACCAGTTTTTAATTGGTCCAAATTAGTCGACTATTTTATCAATTTTTTTTAAATTGATTGTTCATGAGCTTGATCTTAGACCTGCGAATGTAAGGGTTGCATCACTTAAGTATTGTTATTTGTGGCTAAGCCCAATAAGATATTTCAAATATTTTAAATTCTTTAGTGCGATGAATTGTTATTGAAGACCCAAAAAAAAATTGTTTACTCCTTGTTAGTCTGATTTTCTATCGAAAGTGTTTGCGTTGCCTACATATTTTAAAGCTCTAAAGCCTCGGATTTAGTGCGGTGTACAATTTTAAAGTTAAGTTTCAAAAATAACATTAAAAAAATCAAAAATAGCAGCAGCTTTTTCAGCTTTATCTTTACTCTTGCTTCTTAATGAAGTCTGCATTAGCTTTAGGTCTTTGACCTCAGCGTCAAATTTCAAATTTACAAAGTATCCAGCTAAGAAAGTTTGCTATCGATAGTTACTTTTCGTTATAAAGGAATTTAAAGACAACCTAATACGACTAGTGACATGCGTCCAAAGGCAAGAATTTACGTGAATTTTGTTCAGGGCTTGGTAGAAATAATGTAGCGTGACTAGAATTTATATTTACGAGTTTTTGCATTAGTAAATTTTTAGACAGCAGTTTCCCAAAGTTAAGTATAGCATGTAAAATTTAATAATTTTTAAATTTAATAACGTAATTTGATTTATTTTATTTTGATCACACCGAGTACATATTTTATAGTGGGATCAACAAGCATGACAGATGCACGCGTTTTGATAGCTAAAGTTTGGCCTTATAAGAGTGTGATACAAAAATTTTTAATTTGCATAGTTAAGAAAATCGAATAATGTTGATCGATTACACACTCTTTTGCATACGTCATTATGGGTTGCATTTGAAGAGCGTATATAGCATTAATATAGAAAGCGCTTGGAATACTTAATTGCAAGTAAATGAAAAATCTAGCACGAAAAACGATTTTAAATATTTCTTTCGTCTTGCAGATGGCCATATGCATTCTCTGAATGTCGTAGATGATCAAAATTTATCAACGTTCCTTCAAAGAATAATTGATTTGGAAGAAGCTGATAAGGAAACGATGCATCTTTTAATATTTCTTTTAATGCAATTCCTATCAAGGTCTGATCAGGCTTATCCGACCGAAGAAAAAAGTTTGAATAGGACGCAAACTATTGTTCTCAAACATCTTTGGTTATTGTTAGGTGAAATTAAATTGCCGTTTGAATGAACACTTATTCCTGCCAACTAGTGTAAAAGACATTATTATTTTTAGGGTATAGTCAAACGGATCGAGGAATTTATCTTCCTCCGCAAAATTTGAGGGCATCGCCGGCATTTAGTGTTTTTCTTTCGAATTTACCGCAATTGATGGACCAAAACCATCTCATGGGACGCATCATTTTACCCACGTGCTTGATTCTGTTGCAATACGCCCCTTCTCCTTATTATATACCTAGTGCTATGGAATTTCAGCAGCCTTTGTATAGTCTATGGGTACTAGAATCGCATTTCAGGAGGCACTGGCTTATGTCGTTGGTAGTTCTTTTATACAAGGTATACGTTTTTGTAATTTGCATGATATCTTCGTAGGATCATTGATTTCTTATCCAAACAAATGGTTAACGGTGGCGAAAATTTTATAATGATGGTGTCCGCATCTGATGGGAAGGCGGTGCAATGAATGCGCTACTGACTTATTAACTTATAAACTTATCATCTAACTCCGAAAATGAATTTACAAAAGGGTAAATGATATTCATCACATTCCCAACCGGTTTGGTTAAGAAATCATATCAAGTCCTCTTACTGAGAGGCCGATGTATATAGTGCTGGCCTTGGGCCGATTTGGTTTCAGTATCAATATAGTCAACAACCACATTGTATTCAACTGGCAGCACTAATTCGTATCGTCCTAAACACCTTAGATTCGCAGCATCACCATTGCAGAAGAATACCAGCAACCATCATAATGGGTCAACAAGCACCAAGATCCAGAGGTAGTTGACCAACTCATCATTCTCATTAATTCATTGGTTTTCACAAGTATCCCTCTTACCAGTGCACTTTCTACGTTTCAACAGATGTTCTAAGAATATTTTGTGGAAACCTGATATACACCATTAACATCATTTCACTTCGTTTTAGATGTAAGTCAACCATCTTTAGGTGCTGATATTGATCATCCTGAACGTACCACTCCTCCTTTGTCACCAATGTATTCTTCCGATGGTCAATCTATTCAAGTCTCGTTAAGCTCTAGAGGTGGTAAGGTGCAAGTTTCATATACAAAACCATCTTCTATAACGAGTATGGAAACGCATTGGGAAGAAGTGAACCAAATTGCTTCGGATAAAAGATGGGATAGAGGTTTTAAGAAACAACCTGATAAGTTGAGTCTGGACGATGATACTGAATCGGAATTAATCCCGATTCCGGAAAGCGATATATCAGATAGTACGCTCCACGGAAGTGTTCAAGATTCTTTCGAAGAACGTAAGTAATTCAAAATTAATTGACAAGGTTCGGGTCTTTTGGGCTCAGAATATCCGTGGTAAAATGCAATTACAGCTTTAAGTGATAATTCTGGTCCAGGCAGCGGGAAACAGCTCATAGAAAAGGTTATGATAAACCGTTCACCGAAGGAAAGTGTAAACAGTTTAATTGAAATGAAGAGAATATGCTCGACCAAAACGCGACCAACGTGGATCATAGGTAGCGAAGACGATTCGATAAAATCATGCGATAATAAAATTCAAGAAATGGGCAAAGCAAAAATTGATCACAACAAGAACTTCTCAAGAACAAGATCGACCTCTTCCACCGCGTCGATCAACTTATCAAACGGTTAGGTGTTTCGGGGTTGATTAATAGTAATAAAATCGACTTTCCGTTTTAGGATCGACGTTGCTGCCAGCAAAAACAGTAACAACAGCGTCCCACAGGCACGTTACTTCAACATCAATGGATACAGTTCATATAACGAAACCAACGCCTCTGGGAAGATATAAAAAAATTATCGAACCCAGTATAACACCAGTATGTACGCCAATATCAGACTGCGATGACAACCCGAAAAATAACCAGTGCATTCTACCAACCCCCTCCCTCGAAAGACTGCTACCGATAGGACCAATAACATCTCCAGAACAGGATGATGTTTTTTTGCCCTCAGAACCGCAACTGGAAATTCCAAACCAAGAGAGACTGTTACCCATTGGTCAACACACCAAAGATATATCGCAATTGGTGGAAAAAGTGAAGCAAGTTCTTAACATAAATCCTCAATTGGGGATCGTCATGAGGAAAAGTGCAGCACACGCGGAGCAAAATCAAAAACGCCAAGAACATCAACCCAGTACTTCTCAAACTCACAGTCCTAGAAAGCTGATTAAGCAAGTCGCATTAGAAAGTCCTCCCAATATGTATGACAACGATGATGGCGGATTGGAGCATTATCTGAAAACTATCAAAGTGGAAAACCAAAGTTAGTTTCGGTATAGTTACTCTTGATAGGTGTTAAACCTGATTTAATTGCAGGAGACGTGATTATGAATCACAGACAAAGAATTAGGAAAGCTGGGCCGTTCTCTATGAATTCCTACCAATCGCACAATCCTAAACGACCCGGAACCTGGATAAGTCCTCACGTGTCACCTAAAGCAGAAGGTATGCTGACATATCAAAATAACTTGTTATAAAGAAGTATATCACCATACGTATTTAGTTAACTATGAGGTCAAACAGAGTTCCTTCAGAATAGGCGACGAGTGCATGAGAGAAAGGTGCTCAGAGTGTGGAATGGCCAGAGAAATTTATAGTGACGAAGAAATTGGTCTTTGCATTGTAGCCCTCGGGACTTTCATACATCGAGAACCCGGCATAGCAGCCCCTCTTTTGCCAGATATTTTAAGCATAGTAGCAAAGTAAATGTCAACGTGATATATCGCTGTGATGGGTGGTATATATTTAATATATTTTAGAGTAGCAACAAATACCTCTTACCCATGGCAAAAAGAAAGCAATATCCACCTGCCTGGAGGGGCAGTAAGTGTAGCCCATCAATTTTTGAGATGCGTTCTACACCAACTAGCACCCAATGGTATATTTATACAAATGTTCCAAACCAAAGTACCAGGTAACGTTTGCAATAACTTTCTCGAAATATTTTTGAGTAACTCGAAATTTCCAGAACATATAAGACTGCAATTTTTTAAAAGCGTTATACAGGCATTGGTGGATTTCAACGAGCTAAATTCTATCGCTCCCTTACAAATTTTATTAGAGGTAAGATGACGAATTATCAATTTCGAGTGCAATTACTCGCTTTTTAGACTCTTAATTCGAAGAAAACCCTACCGATCGAAATAATGCCCATAATTCTCCACAACATGGCTTTGTATTTAAATTGCTTGCCTCTAGAAACGTCTTTGGGCTCTACGACGCCAATGTGGGGCACTGTTTTGCAACAATTGGAAATACTTTACAGAAAACTTGTATTTCTTTTGAACGTATTGGAGGACGTAACACCGCTCCTTACGATTATGACTTGCATATTCAAATTGCCGTTGATAACACAATTTAAGGTAACGAAAATTTGAATCACCTTGTACGACGTACGTGTTTTTTATTTCCAGGCCATTTTGGAACCGTTTTCGAAAATGTTAAGTTACGCTATTCAGTTTCAAAATTTGAAGTATAACGTACTAGCTGAAATTTGTTATTTATGCAACAAAGCTTTTACGAAGGTATTTTTTGATGATAATATTCGAAAAAAAAATACCTTCTACTTATTTTCAGGACAGGGATAAATTAATTTTAAGTAGAATGATTGTTTTTGAATTGGTTCAAGTGCTTAAATTCAAGACGACAATACCGGACTCCAATCTACTCATGCTGATCAATTTAATTTTACAGGTAAATCGAAATTGTTTTTTAATAAATATTCCAACTCGTGTGTTTTAAACATTTAGGATGTAGGTGGTGCCATTCCGTCAAATGTAGTAATAAAATCCTGTTCCTCCCCTTTGGCGATCGAATTTTGCCCCACTTACACCACCGGAATATCGGAATGTATGAAGATGAATTTAGGAGATATTTTAGAGTTTTTGTCAGACTTCCACACGATCTCGAAAATGAAGGTATCTCGTTAAATAGATATTATAATCTGTTCTCAACTGCGCGTTACTTTCAGAGTTATTGTAAAGGTGTCGGAGTAGGTCTTAATGACGATACTTTAGGAGGTATTATAAAATGTAGTGTTGCCCAATATTTAGCGCTAGAAGTAACTAAAGGTAATGGTAGAGACAATAGAGCTGTCACAAGATACTTCCCTTGGTTGTACAACACATCGGCAACTCAGCAAACGTCAGTACGCGTCGCTAGTAACATTGCTTATTTCAGATGGGTTTTTTTTAGGCCTAGGGAATTTATAGAATGCATAGGCCACATCAGACTTCTTTCCTGGTTATTGTTGGGTTCTTTAACCCATACCGCCTTACAGGGTTCAAATAATACGAGCTTGATTTCGAGCCAACCCATTCCCCAGGAAGCTTCGTGTCAAATTGCGGATAATATTCAAGTAATCATGTCGGGTTTTGCCGAACAACCAAAAGCGTCGGTGCTACATATGACTTCCCTTTTTCATACATTTATTTTATGTCAGGTATCTAGGCTATATTGATGATCACTCTAAGGATTTAACCTGAAATATATTACAGCTTTGGACTATATATCTCGAACAAAGTTTAAATCAGCATATACCGATAACAGATGCTTACAATGTGACGATGAACGTTTTATTTGATTTTTGGGGAAAAGTGACGCCCTGCATACTGCAGCTTGTACAACAATCTAGCAAAGTACGTAGTGTTAAAGGGATAATAGTTCGCAAAAATTTTTAAATGTTATTTCCTGTAAGATATTTAGGTATTACCGTTCCTTTTTATTTATCTTATTATACAGGGTGGTCATGAATTATAATGGAGAAACGTTAACAGCGTATTCCGCAGATAAAAATAAATTAAAAATGTCCTAAAATGCTTCACTTCGGAGATATACAGGGTGTTGAAATATTGCCAAAAAAAAGTGATACGATAATTGCATTTTTTTTCTCGAAAACGGATAGTTTTAGCTGAAAATCAATTTAGTTCTGAACTGATTAGCGCATCTAAATTTATTTTTAAAAAAATGCGATAAACCATTAGCGTACCACTTTTTGTTATTTAAAAGAAAACAGTCTCACGAACGCCACTGGTTAATCAAAAAACAGTTTATCTATGCTATAAATTTGTTGTTAAATGGAAATAATAAAAGAAATAAAAAAAAAGAAAAAAACCGGAAAAAATGATTGTTGATTTATATGAACTTTTTTTATTTAATTTTATCTCCTGAATACGCTGATAAATTCCTCAATTATAGTTCAGGCCAGTCTGTATAAGGGGTATAAATTATTTTTTTCGATTTTATTGGAGACTGTGAGGGATGCCAACTTTTTTGAGAGTCGAATATTTACAAAAGCGCTGTAATGTAATATTCTCTTATTTGTATCAGTACTACTGTTTTTTTTTGTAATTAAGAATTACGATGGGAACTATTATTCCCTCATTTTTGAGAATAATAGATATTGTTTTAAAACAAATTATACTCCGAATGAATTTATAGTTCAGCGAAATTGTGAGTTTACATTTTCTAAGTATGTTGGAAGCACTTATCGAATGCCAATCGACGTTCGTTTCAAAATTGCTTCCCCTTTGGACCCCCGTACTTTCGTCTAATCACATCCAGGTAAAATAAGATTCTGGAGAGTTTTACGGTATCTAAAACATCCCACAGTGTTGTTAAATATTACCTATTTTAGTTACCTGGTCACCTGCAAGTCAGACTGCAGAACTGCCGGAATTTTCCTCCCGTAATATTTCACGATATATCGAACGACAAGGTGAAAATTTGTTACTCAAATAATCCGCTACTACTCAAATGGCTGCAAAGGTTGCAGTTCAAAATGGGGCAGATAGAATTGCAGTCGTCGACGGCCACACAGTTTTATTCATTGTAGTTGATAGCGATAAGTATGTCATATACAGGGTGCTTATATACTTACCATTCGCATTTTGTAGGTTTTTTTTTGTTATCCATAAGTACTAACTAATGAATTGTTATGATTTTTATATGAATGAAGTGGGGCGTCCTTTGTCATATTATATCCCGTTTAGAATTGCATGCAAGTTATGAATCCAATAAACCGCCTGTACAGCAACCAGGCACCTTGTACATTTTAAAAAAACTAGGATAGGGTATTATCATATGTGAAATTTTTTATATAAGAGATTCTTGTTTAACCTTTATAACAGTTAACTGTTAAATATAAATTGAATAAATGTTTTTATTAAAAATTTAAATAAAATTTTAATAAAACATACGTTTAGGAAAACAGTATTAGTTATTAACAGAATAATTCTAGCTATAATACAAAACAACATATTTAACAGGAATATAAGAAAACATAAATGATATTCTATGTCAATAAACTTCACGTCTCAAGGAATCCATCCCTTCCTTGGTTGACTGTAATCCAAGGGGGTGCAACTGAAAGAACCGGAATATCATTAATTTCCTTCCAGGTAACAGACAAAACAATATAGGTCAGACATGTGTCATCCTCACTTTTGCTTAACATCAGAAATTGTGTTGGTATTCCCATGGACCCAACTTTAACTCTCTTTTTTCTTGCATATTTGATTGCCATAAATTTTTTTTAAAGGAGCAAATAAAGATGCGCCTAAGTTTTCTTTTTTTTTAACAAAAAAAAACATTGTTCATGATTACATAGTGACACAACTTTCTTGCTGTATAGTGAGTAATTTTTTTAACAAATGCGTTGTTTAAAAGTTTTATTTTTGCGAATGCCTAATACTTATGACAAAATAAAGAAACCCTTTATGAATCATTACCTTATCGAGAAAATATCCTACATCGTACTTGATTTGTTCCCTAATTTTGCTTTCATCAGACATAGTATCGCTACTTCCATGAACGGGATCTTCCATCGGTGCTGATGTTCTGCTTTTCAATCTTCTAAGTGACTCTTCTGTTTTACATACAGACCTTAAAACTTCTTGAACTAAACCTGAATAACTAAAGAAGGAATGGATAATAAGTATCTAAAGTTTTCACAAGAAATACTCACTGTCTAGTAATTTGACTAATAATACTGTCTACAATTTGATCTAATAGTTCATCAATTTTTGATTTAAATTTATTGTGAAAATCAAGTATTGGTTTAACAGCTTCAATCATATAACTGCTAGCTTCTTTTGGTGGATATCTATTGGTTCTTCTATACAATCTTGGAATGGCACAGACATTTTGCAGGTGTCCTATACATTCGGAAACCTTTGCTTGTACTACACGGTCTTGTAAATTTCCTTGTACTCGATTAATGACTTGTTTATTACTATTAAATATCTTTAATAAAATATGGGACATACTTTTGTTAATGATAGAGAACACTGTTTTATCAAGGTCAGTGGCAGTTTTAAAGTGAGGTGCTATCAATCCTTTCAAAATATGCAGATCAATTAAAGTACTTATAATCAGGTCATCATAGTTTTCTGTTCCAGGAGGAAAATGTCCCTAAAACGATTGATAAAAACCTGTGCTCCACCATACCCAAAAATACTTACATCCAACAATTTTCCCATAAGTTTGGTATAACGAGACACAGCCATCAAAGATAATCTTAAGAACTGATCAGCAAGTTGGTCAATATAAACATCATGTTGGAAGCAGGATTCTATTGTATTCCATAATACTACTGAAGGTTTTAACTTAAATGAATGTTTATTTTGACTAGACTGAATACTTGTAAGTTGAATATTATAAATTTCCGTTTCAAAAGAGCCTGCGATCTGTTGAAATTTAATTTCAAAATAAACAGGCAGATTAAATCGCTTTAGATGATTTACAAATGAGGCATTTTCTCTCACTAATTCTTTGTCACCACATTTTTCAGCAATAAATTGAAGCAAATTCCATGTGCTTATGAAACGCTTTTGAAATAACTCTGGATTTCCAGGAGCAGTAATATGTGGTAGACCTTCTCTTGATTGTTTATCAAACTCTCTCCAGAATGAGTTTAGGACAAAATTAAAACATTTTAAGTCAGGATTTTCCTCAATAATTTGTGTAAGCCTATTGACCTTGGATTCTAGAATTTTTACAACTTCATTATATATTTTATCAATATTGTAATCGCATTTTTCTAAGTAACTTTCTGAAAAAAGTGGCAGCAATTCTGGCCTAAGAATGTGAACTTGAAATGTAGTTTGTGCTTCTTCTTGTTTTTGTAAATTCACATACATTCTCAGGCATTTTAAGAGTGTTCCTGTATCACTCTTCTTCAAAGCAATCATAAATTTTTCATTCACTTTATTAATAAGATCACTATCAATCTTAAGACATATTTTGGTTACTTCTGGTGTTACCAAATTTAGTTCTTCTAAATAAATTTTTTGGAATGAATAATTATTAACTAATCTTTCCAGTGTCAATAAATTCTCTGATGAATCATAATCCACTGTACTCAGAACACTGTTTATGTATGAACAGCATTTTATTAATCCCATTTTTAAATGCATGTGGTTTTGCTTGGCATTGTTGCATTCTACATCCTCCAAAACTGCTTTATAATTTGACTCAGCAGACTCCACCAAACCAAAAAGGGTCTGCAAATTTTTATTTCCATTTAATACATAATCATATGAACTGAATATCAAACAAAACTAAATGAGAAGTGTCTTACCCTGATTTCTTCCTGTAACTGACTAATAGGCACTGTTAAATTGCTAATTTTGGAATTCAAATTGGTTAAATATTCAGCTAAATTCACTATAGCTTCTGTTTCATTCTTTAAAATTTCACTCATTTTCCCCTGAAGTTCATTGCCATAATTTTTCAAATCTCGCAAAAGGGATTCTAAATCTGACTTTTGAGTGTATCCAGCGAGACACTGGTCTACACTAAATTGATCCTGTGCAAAAGTGTAAAGCAAATTTATGTTAATAATCATCAATAAACCAGCTATTTTGTTTGTTAGATTACCCTAAAAAAAGATGCTTTCCACACTTCCTTGACATCCATATCACCTTTGAAATTTTAAATGACTTTAATTTGTGATAAATTTTCTTTTTCTTTTTTTTTCAAAATTAAATTCCGTTTTGGAAAATTGAAATCCAAATTGTGGTTATGTTGATGTTCATATTTGCTTACGTTTAACTGACACATTTGCACACATATATTCTGCAACAAGCGCCACCTACCCAAATTTCATGTGTATGATGATTAATTAATTCTATAGATTTCGCAGGGATGGTGCCACTGGCATTTCTTTTTTTAATTTGAATTTTCGAAAAAGCGTGATCCTTTTTTATTTCGCTTTTTTAGTTCAAAAAGAAGTGTAACAATCTTTGCATCCGCGAAGTGGTTCAGTTGATAGTGATATTCGACTTCTATAGTCACGCGTGAGATTTTTCTTTGAAAATATAATGGTATTTCTTGCAAGTCAGTTATCCGCGGAAGAGGAAGAAATACGTCGAATTTTAATTTCAATTATTTGCCTTTACGGCAGTGAAGGTTTGCCGCTAGAATGGGTTGATCAAGAATTTTTTAAAAGTTGCGGCTTTCCCATACCATACCAAAAATTTGGGGCTGAGAGTTTAAAAACTTGGTTAATAACGCTCCCAAATGTATATATTGTAAAAGATCTGGATGGCAATGAGGTTTTAGTGGAGTACAGCCCCAAATCACAGCATATAAAAGATATGGTTTTGAAACAACGAAATGGACATAGACCGCCGATAAATAGAAAAAATTCAGAATGCAATAACTTAAGGTCCTATAAAACTAAAAGACGCTTGAATAGCAAAAATTTACCTGAAGGCTCGTTTATTCATACATCAATTAATAATGCATCTACTATTGATATGGATAGATACGAAAAATTTGAGGAACTGGTAATTTCAAATTTCAATTTGACGTCATGGTATTTTTTTTTAATATGTTTAATTTAGGAATCAATGCTTCCGTTATTTTACAAGCATCAGGCACTTGGGGATGACTTTTTCTTGGATATCGCTGATATGAAATTAGGGTATTATGTACCTGAGAGAGGTACGTAGATTGAAATAACCTTATATTTGTAATTTGCTGTTAATTATCTCCGTAGGTCCTAAAACATGCGGATTATGTTCATCTGGCCAAACAATAACAGCTTTAACAGAGAAAGTGCGAATTGCTGCACATCTGGCTCCGAGGGTAGTCGTCATGATTGGATTTCAGGATCTACTTCTGGTGAGATTGTTTGTTTAGTTACCAACGAATTTCCTTTTTTTTTGTGTTTATTATACATTTTTTAACAAATTTAGATATTACTGAATTAAGAATCATTAGAAATAGCAACACCCCAAATGTCATTGAAAAATGTTAATTAAAAAGTCACTATTTAAAATTTGATTTGTTTTAAAATTTGGAAAATTCATGAAGCTAACATTCAAAAAAACATACTGTGTGAACCGTCGGTTTTTAAAAAATGAATTTTAACACTAAACTACTTGACGCGATACATTAACGCATTTCAGTGGAAAAATGTGCAATTTACAATGTCAAAGGGACACGTTCTATAAATAAATCTAAACCTCTTTTAGGGCCATAATATACACACCATGATATCAGATTTAAGAGAATTAATTATTGAATTAAAAAAGAAAAATACGCGCGTGACTCTTATAACACTGATTCCATCCCCGAAAATGCCAAAAAATCCGTGGTATAAAACAAGACAGGATATTTATAACAGAGCATTGCTGGATTATGCTATGGACCCCGTTTTGAAGTGCAATGTAATCGACATGGACACGATTTTTAGAAAAGAAGCCCAGACATTTAAACAAAATTTGTAAGTTTTTATTTTTCCATGTTTATTTCATATTTCAAACGACTTTTTTTTAGTGGTCGATGGTATAAAATTTCAAAAAACGATCCGTATCAGGTATTTTCTGATTATGGGCGAAAAACATTTTTGAAGGCTTTGAAACTGTGTTTAAAGGAACAAATTGAATATGGGCACTAATAAATTTTTTGTGTGTTGTTTTTTGTGTCGTCGTTAACTTAAAATTGATTTAAAGTCTTATTAAATCAATTTTTCTTTGTTATGTTTGATTATTTGTGTTTAATAAAACAGCTATGGTACCATGCGTAAAACTGCTTACCATACGTTGCTTTATTATGTTTGTGTCAACGGTATTTATTTTTTCAGTGTGACAAGGACATCTGTGATATTTGGAATAGATTATAGGGTATTGTTAATGCAACCACAACACTTTTAAGATTATTAGTAACTAGTTAGGATTATTAATATTAGATAATTTTAAGCCGATTTATGTAGTTTTTTTTGTTAAATGTAAGTACTACCATTGCAACCCAAATAAAAACCATTATTAAAAAATATATTTATTTCTGGTTGTGAAAAAGTGATCATATTCTAATTGATTAACACAAAATCATCTATTCATGATTCAAAACATGGAGTATCTCACATGTAAATTCTTCTCAGATCAGATGCCGATGTAATCATGTTGCATTGGGGACATAATTTTTTAGCTCCCAAAGTTTGCAGCCAACATTGTTCACAGTGAACATGCCAGCAACACACTGAGGTAACTGGAGTACGGTATCTCTCCATACATATTAGACATTTGTAATCTTCTTCTCTACTTTGTAGTCTGGTTTCTAGTTCTCTAATCCTTTTCTTTAAAACATCTAATATTGGATCACCTTTTGGATCTGTTGCATTCCCATGTTTGACATCTGACTGCAAATGCTTTAATTCACTTCCCACAACAGCTTTCCTTAAAGCAGTGTCTTCAGCACTATCTTCACATGGCAATATGATGTCCCTCTCTGAATACTGGGGGGAACCATATATATCCCCATCCCCATCTACATTTAAATCTTCATCTTCGTCAGTTCCTCCTATTGAGGTTCCTAAAGTGGATACCCCACCTGGTAAAAGACTAGTGACTCTAACTCTGGACTGTCCAGCCCATTCATATTCTTCAAAAGACTCAATATCAATATTTTCATCATTATCACTACCACCTTGTTCAGACCTACGAATACATTTTTCGACATGTGCTGTAATTTCATCAGAAACATCTTTATTACAAATTGGACAAATAATATCTTCAGCTTTTCTTTTTTTGGTTTTCACTCTTTGTCTATTTTGCCTATTGGATCGTACTTTTTGATAGGTTTCTCGATTTTTAGCGCCATCGTTTTGCGTACAGCTACTGGAACCATTGGAACTGCAGGGTATGCTTTTACCATTTATTTTAAGTTTACTGGTGGGCAGTTTGTTGAGCTTTTCAATTTCTACATGAAGATGACAATCTATTTCAGATTGTCGGAGAGTCAAGCTACATACAGGGCAGCATATAGGATCTACTTGTCTCTTCTTTGTTCTACATCCTCTTCCGCCTTCTTCAAAACTGAAACTAGTTCCAGGGACTTGAACATTTTCGTCATACATTTCCATTTTCTTTGGTGATAAACCATGGAAAATGCTGAATGAAACATTTAACTGGGATTTTGATTGTAAAGAACCATTTTTAGCTGGTAATTTTGAAGATGTTTTCGGATTTCTTTTACGATTTGTTTACATTTTTAGGTTACATCTATCAAAACAACCCCCGAAAGATAGATTTTGACATTTAAGCGCTTGGCGGTCAATTATGATACTATGGATTTTGAGTGCTGAACATTATCGATCAGCTGTTTTTGAACAGGCTTTAATCTTGACACTTTTATTTTTGAATTTAGGATTAATTTGAAAATTAATGCTTGTAAACATATCATAAATTGCAAAAGAAAATTAGAGATATTTCTTGTTTTAAAAGTTAATCCCCATATCTTTTAAAATATATATTTGGTTCTATGAGGGATAAGAAATAGAACAGTAACGAGTTTGAACAAGAGATGGTGTGGTGTTGATCTCGCAAGCCCAAGATAACGCAATGCGTAGTACATAACAAATTCCCACGAACAAATTCAATCTACATTGATTCAACCAGATAAGCTAACTCAACATTATTATAGTATTTGTAGCTTGTGTAATTCGGATGCCACTTTGATTTAAAGTCTTAACAAGGAAATGTTTATTATAAAAAGTAAAGGAGCAACAACACACCGAAGGTTTTTTTTCTACCTATAAATTTTTGTTTAATTTATCAAAATTTGTTACTTAAAAATCAGTTATGTCAAAAGAAATACTTAAACAGTATTTAGACATATCCGAATGAGCGCCATCTATTGGATGTAGAATGAAATGTACCGACCGAGTAGTGAAGAATAAGTTAACTGGGGTTTTCCTCCCTGTTGCCGTCTGTTTAAAACAACTTCGTTTGATTTATTGCAGTTTGAAACAATAATGTGTGTTATTAAAGAGTAAATATCATATTTCCAAGCAACAATGAACGAAATAATCCCTGGTAGGGCTTGTTCGCGTTTAGTGAAATGCATAAACTTGTGATTGGATGGCGTCGTTGTTGATGCATCAGAAACCCGAAAAACAAATCCACAATTACATTAAAGCCTACCACTGATAAAACAAAATAGTTATGTGTTAACGAGTGTTGGTTTGAAGTGAAAAATTTTGTTTTGAGATCAAAACGCGGAGTATCCAGATATTTTTGTTCAAATTTAAAATTTTTGTAGTTTCTTTATTTACGTCAAATGTCATCGAGGATGGTGTTGACAGTTATGTCATTTGCAATTGTTTTTCTGCAAAAAAGAACGTTTTTTATTTATGATTATTGTGTAGATCGTTTGTGTAAACAAATATCTCACCGTTAAAATTGTTAGTTGTGGTGCATTATTATTCTCTTAATACACTGAAATTCAAGAGCGCGTCATAGGTTAAGTTTCCGTTTAATATGAACAGTAATCATAATACCAATGACACCTAATTTCGTGACATATATTATAAAATCCGTAGCTCCAGTATTAGTGTTGAAGATGGTGATTGGATAGTTCCCTCTTTCATTTTTTGGAAATGGATCCCGGAATACCTAACTTTCCAATTACATTAGCAGGTGTTGCAAGTCTTACAGATTGCAAGGCTGCTTTGCCTGCCGAATACAGTGTGCAAAAAGGTAATTCTGGATGCTTGAAATGGTCTGTAAGACATATTGTGCATGTTTTACATATAGTATTACTATGTTCCACTTTATATAGGTCAAATTAAACTTATAAATATGCATTAATAAAACAATCTTTATGAAGTTTAGGCTGGGTTGTCATATCTGTCTTGTTTACTGCCTACAATAGCAAAATCTTTGTATGTCCTTTGTATTCTGTGCTTTATTTATAAATTTTTCTCTAATTTGTATACATATATATTTTAGTTTTGCCAGAGTTACCATTACCCACGCCATCACCTCAAACATTAAGTAACAAATCATTGCTATTTCATCCCAGGGTAGCAGAAGAAGCACAAAACTTACTTGGTATAAAAGACGAGATTTTAGTTCCTCAGTTAGTTTTGTCCCTCGAAAAAACGTCTGCTGAACATATGTATGTTTTCATTTTGAGTTCTATAATTAGGTATATAACTGCCTTTTTATTTGCAGAGAAGTAAAAGATAATTATGCTGGTTCAGACACCAAATTTGATAAGGAAGGTATGCCTGATCTTCTAAAGGCATTGTTGGAAGCCAATCCACATGTATTTAGTGGAAACAAAGGTAGCAAAACTTTGGGTGATCCTTTCTATCACTTTGAATGAATTTTTTTAGCTCAAGTATACCAGCAGCAGCAAAAATTTTTAATACAGCAGAAGCAATACCAGCAACAACAACAATATTTGAGGCAGCAACAGCAACTTGCCCCACAGTCTCTACCACAACAACAAACCCAACAAATATCTTTATCACAACCCCAACCACGCAGTTCTCCCCACAACCAACAGAATATTGCTTTTCAACCTCAAAAGCAAGAGGTCCAGTCACATCAGCCGGAGCTTGCTACTAAGATGTTACAAGACACTGTAATTAAACCTAATCAGGAATCTGCAGTTAGAAATAAGCAGGACACTAGATCAACACATCCACACTTAGAATCAATAGCTAAACCTTTAGATACTTCTACTCAACCGCCATTGGCTAACAAATCTGGTGTAGCTAATGATGTTGTGTTATCTTCTGGGCAGCTGCAGGTTTCATTGCCTATAGGGCAGCATTTGGAACAGCAAGTGAATGTGATTGGTGCAGATGCGATGAGCAAATGTAACAGTATACTTGTGAATGATCACCCTGCCACAGTACATAGTACTACTAGTGAGCTTAGACAACTTCGAAGGACTCGAGGCAAGTGAATTGTTGATTATCTACTTATTTATTTATGGATATAACAATTTTCCTATGACTAACCATTGTATTTAATTAGTTAATTAACTAACCACAGCTTACTGCCCCGAATGAGACATGGGCAACTTGCGAAACAAAGGATTGTCAATATTAATTTAGCTTTTCCTATTGTATAATTGTTGAAAAAAGTCTTCTAAATCTTCTCAATCTGTCAGTAATTTCTCATATCCATAACGCGTTGTGGGCAAAAACTTCGGTCAGTGGGCAACTTCAACCATTGCGAATAACATATATTTATAAATTTATACTAGATGTCCTACAAGGAACAAAAAATATATATATTTCGAAATACAAAACCTAGATCAAAATGTTTTTAATAATTAGCGATTCTTTTTTTCTTCTTAATTTTTATGAAGCAAGCGAGCAACACTATCAATATCAATATAATTTTTTTTTTATATCTTTATTACAAAATATCTCGCAATTTAGAAAAAAATATATGTTCGGGTGTCGCGTTTGATTAGGGATGAGTTTTTTCTATTGTAAAATTGAGGTTTTGAAAAGGGCTTACATTTTTTTCTTTAAAAATGAAAAGGTTATGAGGTATTTTTGCCAGTACATATTTTTAATTTTTGTGTATATTTTTTTGCGCAGGTCAAGTCTTACCTAGCGCAGGGGTAAAAGATGCTACTAATGAGTCAGGGCAAAATGTAATTGGCACAACAGCATCTAAAGATTCCAATGGTAAGACTGTTTATGATAGCTTTTTGGGGAAGTCGGTTGAAGAATCTGGGACTGAAATAGTGAAAGTGGGGGATGGTGAAAAGATAGATTCTTCGTCTGGAATTAAACAACCAATTGTGAGATTAGGAAGAATATCTGTAGAAGATCAGCTTTTGATGCAGAAAAGTTTAAAAGAATTTGTAGAAACTAAGCCTAACCTTGCAAAACAGCTAGGAATTGAACTTGGAAAACAAACAAAGAATTATAAAGAGGATTCTGATTCTGACAGAGACCTTGGTACAAGAAAACGGAAAAGGAAGAATAAAAGTGATGATGAATTTGAACCGGAAGTAGATCCCACTGATACTTTTTCCGCTCTAGTTGGAAAACGTAGACGAGTTGGGAACAAAGAGGAAAATTCGGAACCGCAAATTGTTCTTTCCAAACCAAAATTGAGGCGAGTGGAAAAGAAATTTGTGCCAGTTCTTCAGAAGTTATCAACCGAAGAGTTGATGGAAAGCAACACATATGTCAGATTTAATAAATCTGTAGAGCATGTTTTAAGATCTGTGGAGGATATAGATTTTGCTGAAATTGGTCCTGATGATATGATCCAGGATGAGCATCTTTTAAGCCGATCAATTATACAGGAATTATGTACTGAATCTGCGAAATTGAAAGTGTTGGGTGCTATGGAGATGATACCGACGGATAAGTTGACCAGACTCTTAAACATTTTGGAACTGACAATTAGAGGAGGCGACAGAATATCTCCTATAACTGATGTAAGAATGTTAAATGTTTTTAAATGTAAAAAATTATTATGTTTAATGGTTAATTTTTTTAAAAGTTGATGGCAAACACACTTTAGTCTCCTTAAAGTTCTGATTTCACAATTTTATTCACCAAAAGCATTTTCTATTTTATTTAACAAAATTGAACTAGGCATTTAAGAACCAACTAAAAGTATTAATCGATTATTATTATATATTTGTACATATTAGGATTTAAATTTTTCGTTTCTGTCATTTAAAAATGTCCAATTTTCAGCTGTCACACAATTTAAACCCAGGTAGTTTTTCAAATATTTCAAAAATTTAAAATGTTATGTTCTGGGTGAATTAATTTAACGCGACTTTTAAATACACATTCATTACATTGTTTCTTTTTAAATCCAAGTGATGGTCACATAAATTACACAATATTTATTATTATATTACAATATTATAATTTTTAACTAATTAAGCAGCAGGTGTATTGCTTTTTAGGAAGACAATGAGAGTGTACGCCAGTTTTGGTTAGAAACCACCATGGAACGAGTAATGAACGCTGCAGATGCGAATTTAATTTGTTTATACATAATGACCTCACCAAATATGTCAAAAAGGGTTTACTTGGAGGAAGTAATTGACAGAATAGTGCTTTATATAAAATATCATCTTTCAAATACTATATTTCCATCCTATGACTCCACTTACAAACTCGAAAATAAAAAGAAAGACGGCAGGAGAAAGAAGACGACCGTTTCAGAGAAGGGTATATTAGTGTTATATACGAAAATTTCAGAATCCATCAATTTATTATCGGAACTGCTAAATATACAAGTTCTAACGGATACATCTGTACTACACGCTTCGTCAATGGGCATATCGCCTTTCTTCGTCGAAAATGTCAGCGAAATGCAATTAGCCTGCTTAAAACTTGTCACAACTGTAAGTTGAAATTATTTTATAGCTTTCTCCTAATTTGAATCGAAAATTTTTAGATATTTACGAAATATGAAAGTCACCGCAGGCTGCTTCTCGATGACATCTTAGCCTCAATCGCCCGTCTTCCTAGTACCAAGCGTAGTTTAAGGACATACAGATTAAATAGCGAGGAAAATATACAGATGCTGACTGCTTTAGTTTTGCAGCTAATTCAATGTGTGGTTGCTTTACCTGATAAAATAGCGACCACCAAAAATTCAAAAGACAAAACTCCAGACAAATCTACAAATGTAAGTTAATATTTTTAATTTTTTTTTTATTTTATCCCAATGTTATGAAGTTTACTGCAATGTCTAATACCATAATTTGATTATGATACTTCATACTTTTTTTTTTGCTTACTGTGTTAAATCATTAGGCAAAATATATTTAGAAAAATATCCACTTTACTTCCTTTTGTGATGTGATCTTTTTAAGCGAGTTATCAGGGTTTTCCAAAGTATGTTCTTAATTTTGAAAGTCTTTGTGTACCTTCCCGTAATTTTTTTTTTTTGAGTAAGGGTTATTAAGCATTCAATTTTCATATTCTATGGTAGGATTAACTTGAATTTTGAAGTAATGTTGTGCACTTGTGCAATGGGAACTCCTTTTGAAAATGACACTAAATGTAACATGTGTCCAAGATGTGAATCCACATGAGGCCGAAAATTAGAGAAATTTTGAAAAAACGTTTTATTTTGTTGAAATGTAAATTATTAAAATAATATCCAACTCTTGTCACATTTTTTGTGGTCCCTTCTACTTCACTATTTTGAAAAAAAAATGTATTGAAGATTGTAAAGTTAAAAAAAATAGTAAAGGAATTAAAAGAGGCAAATTATTTTAAGTCGTTTTAAAAAAGTTAAATTGAGATTTGGCCATTATTTGACTGGCAATGTTAGTGTGCGAATTTGTTTAGTGAAATAAAACTATTTTCCACAATTTCTTTTCTCTTTCGGTTCTCTTATTTGAGTTTCATAACATAAGGTATCCAAATATTAACTTCATGCCCTATAAATGATTATGTTTTTATAGGAAGTGATTTTAATTTATTTCTTCTTGTTTTCATTAGCAGGTGGATAAAGACGTCCTTATTTGTAATAAGTTCGAAAAGGCAACCTCGACTGCAGGAACATTTTTGAAAGTGTTTCTTAGCAAATGCGGTAATAAGTCCGAAGAGATCGATTATAGGCCATTATTTGAGAATTTCGTACAAGATTTATTAACGACTGTGAATAAACCCGAATGGCCGGCGACCGAATTGCTACTTTCCCTCTTGGGTAAAATGTTGGTTCAAAATTTCTCAAACAAAAGCACTGATATGTCTCTCAGGCTCGCAAGTTTGGATTACCTGGGCGTGGTTGCGGCGAGATTGCGTAGGGATAGTGTGCTATCCAGGTGCAAGCTTAATACAATTGATCAAATGATCAAAGATATTAGACAGGAAGAGATGAAAGATAGGGAGGAAACTTCTTCCAAGAAAAAGCATTCTTCGATCAAAAGTGATGATGATCGTACTCAATTTTTGCAAAAAATACTGTTGGATTTCTTGGCTGTAAATTCGCAAAATGATGAATCTTATAAATACGCAAGGCATTTTTATATCGCGCAGTGGTATAAAGATCTCGTGAATGAAAAAACCCAATTAATATCTGGAGGTAAGAAGAAAAATCTCTCGGGCAAGAAAGATGATAAAAGTGGCGACGAGGATGATTCAGAGCCCGAGAGAAAAAATTCCGAACAAGAAAATGCCGATAAATTTCGCGTAATCGAGGAAAAGAAGAAAATTTTGTTGGCGAAAGTTATCGCTTTTCAAGAATCCATGTCGTCTGGAAACCGCGTTCAGGTCTTTCAAACTTACATTGATTACAACAGTGCTGAACTTATAGCTCAATTTTTGGCATCAAAAAGACATTTCTCACAAAGCTTTGACCAATATTTGAAGGCGATACTTATTGTTTTAAAAGAAACGTCTATCGCTATAAGGACTAAGGCCATGAAATGTTTAACAATGATAGTAGAAGCGGATCCTTCCGTATTGGGACGGCACGATATGCAAATGGGCGTTAACCAATCTATATTAGATCAATCGACATCGGTCAGGGAAGCGGCGGTTGATCTTATTGGAAAATTTGTTTTGAGACGCCCCGAACTCATCGACAAGTATTACGAAATACTCTCTCCTCGAATATTAGACACAGGTGTTAGTGTTAGGAAGAGGGTGATTAAAATCCTCAAAGATATTTGCGTGGAGTGTCCCGAATTTCCAAAGATTCCCGAAATATGTGTGAAAATGATACGACGGATAAATGACGAAGAGGGGATCAGAAAACTAGTCATGGAAGTGTTCCAAAACATGTGGTTTACACCTATTAAAGGCGACGACTCATTGTTGAGGAAAGTTATGCATATCACGGACGTCGTTGCCTCATCCAAAGAAATCGGTTTGGAATGGTTCGAGCAGTTGCTTCTAAGTGTAAGTTTTTTTTTTTATTTTTTTTTTTACACAGTGTTTGTCATAAACCATTTTGACAATGACGAAAAAGTCTTCTTCGTCGTGCAAGCGTTGTCTGACATTATCATTGTTTACAGCTTTACAAACCAAAAGAAGATAAGGACGATTCAACTAAAATAAACACCGAGCCGCCAAAGGCTTTGTTGTCAGCTTGTAGGCAAATTGTTGATTGTCTTATTGAAAATATTTTAAGGCTGGAAGAGAACAGCGCACGTTCTGGCGCATCCGAAAGATTAGTGGCGTGTGTGACTACTTTGCAATCGTTTGCTAAAATCAGACCACAGCTGTTAATTAAACACGCCAGCACGTTACAGCCTTATCTTGCTCTAAAATGTCATTCTGAAGGCGACGCAAAAATCATTAGCTGCGTTGCCAGAATGCTTGAACTGGTCGTCCCACTTATGGAACACCCCAGTGATACATTTCTGGCACAGTTAGAGGAAGATGCAATGAAATTAATTTTGCAATACAATCGACCCATAGTGAGCAGTTGCTTGTCTTGTCTGGGATCGATTATAAACAAGGTCACGCACAATTTTAAGCTTATTCGCGATTGCTTTAAAAGGTTTAATATGACATTGTTGGAATTTAAGAAGCGACTCGAAACCTATGATATGGATTTCCAAAACAATTTTCGAAATAGGCAGTTATTGCGTAGATCTCTGTTTGTTGTCGGACTTTTGCTTCGTCATTTTGATTTTAAGAACCCTAACGTATTAGGGGATCTAGCGGTAGGTTTAAAAGTCTTGGGAAAAAACGGACCATGTCGTATAATATGTGATATTTCAGCCTGACACGAAAGATCAAGTGTACTTGAACATGATGTACTTCTTACAACAAAATAACATCGACATACAAAGCAATACTTTGATCGCGTTGGGGAGCATATGCATTCGACATTATGAATTTATGCTGGAACCTGAACTGAAAGTATTTTATCATAGGCAGCTAACAATGGATGACGCTCCGTTGAAGATGAAAATTGAGGTGCTAGTTAACATTGAAAATTATCTTATTGAGGAGGAAAATCGGATGATTCAACAAGATCTCGAATGTAAGTGATTTTTTTTTTCGTTTAATCTCTTTACAAACACCAACAATAGGTAACACTTGCACATTAAAACTTACATGATTCCTAAGGGAAAAGGATAGAAAACATTGTATTTTGGTAAAAAACATTATGTTTTTATACAAACTTCTACTTTAGATTTCTCAAAAGCGTTTTCGGGATTAGTGTATATGACGTCGAGTTGCTGCTTGCTTTTATCCAATTGCGTCAGAAGCATGATCAGAGAAAACAATTATCCCTCGAAAAGCCATGCTGAAATGGACTTAGTTTGCCAGAGTGATAATTTCCTTTTTTAGTTGATTTATTGGCAACATCTCAATTTTTCGGTTCATTTTTTTACATATCAATTTAAGAAGAAAATGTATGTACATGCGATTGTAGTGTTACCTGTCTTTTAACAGGGTCGAAAAGATCAAAGCAAGAAAACTTGAAGGAAATGAATGATGTTTCTTCGGGCATGGCGAGCACTGTGATACAGCTTTATCTTAAAGAGATCATGCAGTCCTATCTACATAACAGTTTATTAGTTAGGCAACCCGCCTTGAGGGTTATCCAACTGGTATACAATCAGGGTTTAGTACATCCAGTGCAGATTGTCCCGTATCTGATCTGCATGAGTACAGATCCGGAAAAATCCGTGTCGCATAGTGCCGACAAGACCCTGCAAGATATCGAAAAGAAGTATCCTGGATTTATCCACACGCAAGCGTCCTTCGGCATCAGATTGTCCTATCAACTACAAAAAATTTTACAAAACGACGCCATCGTTCGGGGCTCCAAGGTCAAAGAGCAAGGAGAATATCCGACCGCTTTGAACGGCTACTTGTATTCTCTGCTTAGGAATTCCAGACAACAAAGACGTGCCTTAATTCTTAAATTTATGAAGCATTTCGACGAACAAGCCGTAAGTTTTCGGTGGTTTTTCGGTCTTTCCGTAACTTCGGCATTTTTTTTTTAGCGAACGAGTTTGTCCTATATGTTGTATCTTGCGGACGACTTGGCGTATTTCCCTTATCAAGTTCAAGACGAACCCTTGTTCATTGTGCAACACATTGACTTGATGATCTCAAATTCGGGAACAAATCTTTTACAGTCCTTTCGAGAGGTAAACTTATGTTCGGCAAAAAAAAAAAACAAAAACATGACGCGATTGTATTTTGCAGGGTTTGTTAACGGATGGGCAAAATAAAATACCCGAAACGGAAAACGGGGAAATGAATAACGTTGTGTCGGCGTTGGACGAAGATGATGATGAGGACGCCTTAGCGGCAAGAGTACCCGAAGACGCCAGCCATTTGCAGGCTTGTCTGACCGCAGCTCAGGGTTGTTTATTGCTTCTCGTGTTGAAGCAACACATTAAAGACATATATGGTTTGAGTGATGGGTAAAATCATCTTTAATTTATTTGTAACGGACAAGAACTTGACAAAACTTTGCAGATCTTTTGGGAGTCTATGTTCCTTAATGCGAGAGACTAATAAAATGTAAATTTTATTTATCGGTTTGTCAGCAACAAATTCAGATGTGGGCAATCTGTGACATATTGCGGGCCAAATTTTAATGTGCAAATACGTTCGACGGCCGCATTTCAATGTAACCTTCATAATTTTATAATAATATAAAATGAAAAAAATACGTACAACATTACAATTACATCGTGAAATTTTGAATTATTTCAAACTACGAAAGTTAAATAGCGGCACCGAAATCAATGAGACACAATAGATTATCGTCAGTCAACCTTGTACCATGTTTCGATTTTTGATTTCATCATTGAAAAGAATTGCATAAGCTGCGGAAAATGGTCTTCGCACAACTCCACGTCTTCAAATTTAGATTTTAGGTGTTAGATGTTGGAGTAGCAAATAAATAGGTACCCACTTCCGTGTTTTTAAAATCACTAAATTTCTTCAAAATTCGTTCCGACAGGAAATTTTTCCATTTTATTTCATTTATTACCATGTTACAAACATAAAAAATGTATACAATCAGTGATGGCGATAAAATATGACATGGAATAACAATTTTACAGCATAATGTTGAGAACATACAATATATATAAAACATAAAATATATAAATGTCGGCATCTGGGCATACATTAAAGCTGAACGAAGATTATCACAGAAACGTGTTTTGTAGGAGTAAACTATTTTTTGTAAACCAGACCTTAGCACTTGTTAATTGGGAGTTAGCTTCGGCAAATACTTCAGTGAGAGTTTTTTTATTTATTAAGAAAGCCGTGTCGTCCGCAAACAACTTGAGTTCTTCAGCTTATTGGACGTACGCAATATTTTCATACGCATACGAGAGGTGACATTTTGTTTCGAAACGTTTTCATATGGCTGTACAAATAATTTACGAACTATCCTTTCTTTTGAAGATTCAAATTTAAATCATTCAAATAGCCTGTAAGGTCGACCAGAAATGGGTCACTCAATTCAGATAGTTCATATTTTCTTTAGTATTACTAAATCTTTTGCCCTTTGCTTAGCCATTTGACTTCACAATAATATATATATTTTTTTAATTGGGTTTTTCAAAATGCCTTGAGGGGTCAAATCTTACAACAGGCCCGGGGGTTGCCCACACTTGTTGTAAACACTAAGGCACTACCTGTCAATCGACCTGCCACTCTCGGATCCCTTGACAATCATCCTATTCATGACCCTCTCGCATTGCATAGAATTTTTTTTTGTTGTTACAGTAAAATTCAGCTATATTCGCCTTCGGCGGCAGCAAAGGTTTACGAAAAGGCCATAAGTCGTCGCTCCAATGCTCTCTTTAATCCTAAAGCTACTATTCAGAAGATCAAAGAAGGCACACCATCAGAGTATCTCGACGAAAACGGCAGACGGGATCTGATTCGACAGTATTTAGATGTATGTTGCTTATAGAATTTCATCAAATCAAATCTAACAATTCTATATTCTGTATACGCGTAGTTTAAGCACCTTATGCTGCAATTGGATCCTGACGACGTCGAAGACGACGAAAATAAGGTCATGGCGTTGGGAGGAAACGTCAATCCGCAACTGAATTCTGGAACACCGGGTGCCATTTTGACGGAAGCCGATCAACTGGTGCTTCAGAACTACAAGGTAAGTGCACAATGGCGGTGGTTATTTGTTAAAAATACAGGAAGACAAAGAAATTTTCCTCTTTGCGAACTAAATTTTAAAAAAAACGTTGCTAGCTTTTAGTTTGATGTTTTCTTTATAAACTGTGGAATACATGTGAATTGAACAAAAGTTAATTAGAATTATTGCATGGTATCTGGATCTACAATGAAATTTTGAAAAAGACAGCGTACTAGTTTTTTCTTTAAATAATTCAATTCTATAATGTTTGGCAGAAACTGACATTTTTTGCTTAGTAATAGATGTATATATTCCTGTAAATGGTTTATTGCTCTTTTTCTCTAAGGTTGTGGGTTTATGTCTTTTGCTTGCACCTTGTTTTTAAAGATGTTGTTTGTTGTGCTGTGTACCCAGTTTCGTAATGCAATGTTTAAAACATTACTTTCAAGAAACCCTCGTGACGGCAATGGACATATGCAATACATTCTATCGGTTATTTTTCTTTTCAAGCGTCTGCTGCAGAAAAAATGTAAGGCCGCGCGTCCACTTTGGGAAAAGAAATTTTATGAAAAAACCGCTGAACGGAGTGAAGTAGAGAAAAGTCTTGAAAACGAACACGACGCGTAAATCGTAAATTGTTTTCGAAAATATCTTTGGGGACGTTTTGGGCTCCACGTTTCTTTAGAAGAGATCAGGGATTTAGTTTTGTTGTATTCAGTTTCAATTTTGTAAATGTTAATTTTGAAATTTATTTGTGTTACTAATGTCCTTGTTGTTGTATATTGGAATTAATAATCGACTTTTATTTTAACTTGGTTTATGGTTGACATTTTCGTGCCGTGCTTTCGTTTAGGTTTGGTTGTTTAATACAGTTGCTTGTGTGTGGGTTGATTTTAATGTTAGCATTCTTGTCGGAGAAGTAATTCATAACAGTTTGAACCATTAAATAATGTGCCCAAGATACATTATAATAACAATAATAATAATCGACTTTGTTCCTAATAAACAAACTATAAATGTAGAAGAACGTTTATATACAGGGCGAAATGTAATCTAAGGCTATTCTATATCTATATATTATACTTTATATAACTTTAAACCTATATATTTTTGATAAAACTGCGAAATTTGAGTTGTTTCTTTTTTTTTTTTTGAATTGAAAACAACTAAGAATATAGTTTTTCAGTTTCGCTTTCAACACGCTGTTTCTTTGCCACATTTATTGAACTAATATTATAATCCATAGTATCACCTATTCTTAATTTCTTTGTATACAGATTGTCACAAATTCGCTTCTCCCTGTTGGGATCTGGGCAACTGTAACAGATACGAAATCGATTGCATACCGAGATCTCAATGATGAGAAGCGAATTTGTAACCCCCTGTATAACGGGGTTTATCGCAAAAGCAAAAAGTCCAGGTGCCACGGGCGGGGGTGGTGGTCAAAATGTAAGTAATTTTTGCTAATACTATTTTAAAATAGAATTGATTTGAGTCGTTCGGGATGTGTGAAAACAAACGTTTGGTATTTTAGGATCATTCTCCACCGAAAGTGCCGAAACTGGTGATATCGCATAGACGATTTGAAAGTGATACGAAACGCACGCCGCGTAGCCAACGATCGTCTGAGAAAACAAAAAAAGTAAGACACAAAAAGAAGCGAAGAAAAATTATGAGTGACAGTGAAAGTGAAAACGATTACAGTGATCCCGACTTTATGGTTTAAAAGATAATGTACAGTTTATTTGTAATAATTTAATAGGAAGTGAAAAAATTTTTATAAATAAATGAAAAAATCTTTAAACGAAAGAAAAAGACCGAATCATAATATAATCCCCACTCAGATAGACGTTTATGCTTCCGCGGGGTTGCACTTATAGTAATACAGCCGACGTGATGTATTAATTTAAGATATAATACGGTGGGTTTTTAGTTGATTTGTTTTTTTTTTTTTTTTGCTTGCAGAGATAGTTTCTCACATCCGTTATAAATATGATAGAGTATATTATATGTGAACCTCTCTGTGACCATTTTGTATAGTTTTTTATGCATTTTTTTATACGTATGTAACGAGATAACACCGTACGAAGATGTTTTAAAGAAACCCGACCTCTATATGCCGCTGGGAGTTGAAAAAAAGTTAAGCAAAATTTCGTGGTAATATATTTTGTATACATGTTTTGTTTAAAATACTCGACAAATTGGAAAACAGTATCGTTTGGCATCTGTGTAGGCGCTGCGGAAACTTATACCACAAAAAAGAGTGATGTAAATAGAGGAGCCTTCCCAGCTTTAAGATTTGGAGCACACAGTGTTGCTACATCTACACTAACATGTCAATATTTTGCCCTTTTTGAAATAAAAATTAATTTCCCCAGTATTGAAGCAGTTTGGAGCTTGATTAAAGAAAAAAGTTTTGCAGGCGGCTAGAGAGAACATTTAGATAAATACACGGTGTTTCAAAAATAAGATGTTGGAATCGAAATTCCAGAATAATTGTTTACTAACATACCCTGTCTCGAGTGTCCGCTATTCTGCCTTAGTCTTTTTGAAATAAAAAATATTTTTATTATTTCAAATAATTTATAACGAACGAAACTTAAATGTGAATTTAAAATTAATAATAAGGTATTGATGGTTTTCAATACTTCATTTATTGTTATTTAATCAATTTTATTTGTGCAAGTATGTAGAAGCGGCAACGCTTGGTGCTGGCTTCATAATTTATAAACCACGCTGTATACACTGTCGTGATTTTCCGCAATTTCTGATATGTACTCCAGCTTTTACTTTGCGTCACAGTCTACTTTTAGATGTTTTATTTAAAATGCCTTTTATGGCTTCAAAAAATTAAAAATCAAATAATTTTACTTTAAACTTCTCACTTTTGTGATTTAGACTGGATATGTAACTAATAGCGTCTACATGTTTTCAAATGTCGACTCGTTAAGACTCCGAACGTAAGCTTAAACATTTTTTTTTGAAAAATCCACAGGCAACTCTTAAAATACATCCAAATCTTCATTTCTGGGAAAAAAAATTGGTTCTGGTGTCCTAATGAGAGCTGCGATGAATTCAAATTTTAACGCCTAAATTTATAATTACAACTTTTTTTAACATCTAATATAGAGTGATAAAAAATTGTCCTAAACAAACTTTAAAGATTTGTGTGTATTTTGTCAGCATAAAATGAGCCAACTGAATGAAATAATCCTTACCTTAACGACTTTGTTGCGTTTAGTAAGTAACCTGTTTCAAATTTGGACCAAAAATCAAATAAATCAAAATAAACGTTGGGTGGAGCCTTGTTGGAAATTCAGTTCAATAGCGGTTTAGGCAAAATTTTAACCAATTGATCTTCGCATAGCTTCAGTATTTCGATTTATATTTTGAACTAGTTCCTGTGACATTTTGTATTTTTCTTTTAGCCATGTACAAGCACAGTCGGCAACAGGAGTGTAAGAGTAAAAGTAATTAAGTGTGGTTGTCTAAATTTTTTTTTTTTTTAATTTATTATTTTCACGAAATCTTTAATTTTTTGGGTTCTATTGAAATGACTCAGTTACAAATGAGATTAAACTACAAAAAAATTTCATGTATTAGAAAATTGCTTTTAGCTAATTTTTTAGCAATTCTGCACGTCGTTACTTGTGCCATGGAACGTTTATAAAAATGATGCACGTATATGCAATGCATATTTACTACCTATTTTTTCAAATTTTGTAAGTTTTAATTTTAACTAAAGTTTTAAATTTTCATAATTTTTTTAGTCAAAAATGAGACATTTTAAATAATTTAATGTTTCATCTTTTAGAATTAAATGTGAAATATTTGACTAGAAAATTCTGGGCGAGGACAAAAATCAGTAAAAACGAGAGAATATCTAAAAGGTCTTTTGTCTCATTTTTTAAATTGATCTCGTTAGTTCTCAATTCGTTGTAAACAATGTAGTTTGTCGTTTTTTATTTTACGCACACTGAAATTTTTATATAGCTTATACAGTGTATTGATTACAAAACAAATTTTCCGTTCAATCTAAACATTGATATATTTTAGTTTAGATGATCTTGATTTAAATCGATTTTCCACAAGGAATAAATGAATTAGTCTAGTCAGTATGTGGAAAATAAGTAATTTTATTTTATTTTGTCGGAATAAGGTTTTAAAATTTTATTTATATATATTTTAAAAATTGGTTTATGGTAACAGTAATGTGCTATAGACCTATACTTGCAATTGGATGGTGGATAAATTTCTTTTATTTAAAAGTTACCTAATAATAATTGTACCCCAGTTTCAAAGGTTTTTAAATTTTTCAAATAGAAATCAGTATTAATTAAGTTTATTGCTTAATATACATCACTATCACACTCGTTACGCGTCGCAATGTAACGGTGCTTAGGTAAAAAGTACGTCTTAAATTTGTTGCAGGTTATTTCTTAAGTAGATTATTTATATTTATAACCTTAGCTCTAAATTGTTACAGTGAACGTGTACTTTCTGTTAGCCGCTGTTTGCTTTGACCACTAAAATATTTTGTTCTAGCGTGTATATTAAGGTCAAACAAACATGTGTTATTCAGGGTTTTCCATTTTTGTCAAACTCCCGATTTGTATTTAAATAAATTTATATTTCTACACGAATTTTTAATTGCCTAACGTCCAGTCACACAGTCGTAATGGATACAAATTAGCCAAATTACTTTTTTTTTCAGCCACCTGGTGTGTTCGAAAACTTAATATGTAAAGATAATAATTTTGAACATACATGCAACATATTACGTTAAAAAGTGTATTATGTCCCACCTACAATAGGTCTGTAGAAATGTCTTAATATTTTTTTCTTTTGTTAATTTGTCATTTGATGCAAAGGCGAGGTATTATTTTGGGATACCACCAATCAACGTGTTTTTTTATATGCTTAATATATTTTTAATTAACCCATATTATCCCAAGCATAAAAAAAATACTTTTTTTGCTCTGAAATTATTTATTTTGTTGCACTTAAGAATACATCACATGTGTCAAAAAAAAAAACTCGAAACATACAAAAAAATACTGGTCCCTAAACGAACCACTGAGAAAAAACATTAAATAATATTTTGGGGCACATAAGATGTAACATGGAATTTATACATAAATATACAAAATAAAGTTCAAATTCGACAGAAAACAACTAAAAGTAGATTTTTTTCCAAATAGAACCTGATTTGGTACAAAAAAAACGCATAATATTTTATGGTGCGTGAGCGCACCACTGGAAACACCCGGTTTTATTTTTGATGATATTTTACAAAGCATGAAGTATGTAAATGCACATTACACTTATTATAAGCGTAAATTGTGTGGCTCTGGCAGATCCTACATCTCCTTCGGGCTTTATTAGCATGAACAATTATGAGGTGACCTTGATTATCATAACGCATTTCATCTAAGGCAGGGGCAAGATTTCTTTGAGTAATTGTTTTATTAGTTTTTAAAAGTCGCAAAGCAATGTAAGATTTAAAATCTAACTGAGAAATCTTTTGTTCGTTGGCAATATTATACACTTTCCATGCATTCACTACTAAACTATCCAGTGAGTTACAAAATAAAGGCCACCATCATTTTTTTCCAAATACCTGGCACCCGTAATTAGCAATTCCGTTGTCATGTAAATCTACCCCACCCATATATCTATTATATTGGGCAATTACATAAGGTTCGGGTATATTTACATATTTCCGTTCTTTTCTATTATAGCGCTTTACATTTTGGACAGGATCTACTCTAGAAACATTACTTGCTACAGTTACAACTGAATTGTCGTGCCAACGGAAAATAGAAATTTTTGATTCAGATTCATATGTTGAAAGATAGGATCTCCGGTCTTTTTTTCCAAATGATTTACAATTTTCCATTGGACATTTATTTGTTCTATTTTCCCGGTACCGGTGGCAAAATGACCATTAGTTTTTAAATGTACACATAGTTTCAATGATGAAAAAAATTGTCAAAAAAAAAATTAATGATTTATTGGCTTATCTACAACAGAAAGTACACTCATGACAACGTTACCGCCAAGACAAAGGTCAGAATGAGGTTTATTTTGAGCATCACCATATGGAAGTGAATAAAATGGGTGCCCATCAGATGAACAAAGGCACCAAAGCTTGAAACCAAAACGAACTGGCTTACCCCTTATAAACATTTTGCAGGAATGGCGGTCAAAGTAAGGTACCATTTGTTCATTTATGGATAAGTTGAACGAAAATATGCCGAACTGAAGATTTTTTTTTATTTATTACATCAAAGAAGGGTCTAACTTTTGAAAATTTATCATTTTTATCCAACACATTATTGTCAATTGGAATCTATTGCGGCTCATGCATTTTTCTATAAGATCAATTCTTTTGTCTTCCATCAGTAGACCAATAATGCTAAATATGTGGCAATGAACCCGAGAACAATAAAATGCCTACAAAATTTAAAACTTAATTTTTTGACAACGAGAAGTCATGGCTGTTATTGTCTACCGAAAATTTTAAAATCAAATCAATCACTTCGTCATCAAAAAACATAAAAAATATTTCAAGCGGAGTTTTTCCACAAAGGCTATTTTTTAGTTCCTCACATGATCTAAATTCATCGGTGTGTGAGTGTACTCAATCTGCCCTTTCTTCCATTTGACAATGGAAGCAAGCCTGTCGTGTTCAGAAAGCATACGTCTTCTTTTGAATTCCAGGGTTTCATCATCTGATGAGTCCCATTCAGGTTCATTCATCATTACAGGACTGTTGAGCTGTATCATTCGGTGTATATAACTCGAAAGTTCCAACTATATCAGTTGGTTCCCCAAACTCTTGAAAATTTATGTTATCGTTCATATCTTCTTCGTCAGTCAAGGTATCCACGTCGGGTCGAATATAGACCGCGTCAATATGTTCTGTAAATATTTGTTCACGTTATTTTTAGCATAAATTTACAAGGAATGGAATGCTACAATACATAATAATACGTAAATCCAAATAATACTTACGACTTTCATTATTATTGTCCTCATCTATCACGATCTCCTCCATAGCCGCCCCTAATTCCTTTTGAGTTAAATACTTCGAAAATACCATATTCTACGAACTGTAACGTTAACTGCACAAAATAATACTAAAGAACACGCTAATTGTTGGATGTTTATTCTACATGCGCTGACTTGTCCAGACTTGCAATAACAAAGTTGATGCATTCACGCACCAGTAAATATTTTCAAAAAATAAAGCATAATCAATATAGTATTTGCAATGTATGTTTTCTGCGATGTAATCTACATGCTTTAGACTTAGCAAAAATGGCAATACAAATCCAAAATATTTTTTTACTATTTTGGATTTACTTGAAAATGTGATACAAATTTATGTACCGCTTTTGTTAACTTTTGAATTCTTATATAAGATCTTTCCTTTACACATAAATTAGCGATTTCTACGTTTTATATCCTTTAGTAGTGATAATAAAATTTCTAAATGGATGTGCAAAATTATTTTCTGGATGTGACAAAACAAATGCATTAACGCACCACTGGGACAAAATGGATTAATGCTTTTCGCAATGCAATAAGTAAATTTTATGTAATACGCGATTTGGGAGGAAAATTGTGGGTGGGGTGTTAAGAAATAAATTGATATATTGAATTTAGCTTCCATACTTTATTGTATTGAGTTTTGTCAACATGGAAAAGTACAAATATTGCATTACACTGACCTAGCCCAGAGTACTTACACTCGTAGAAGGTGAATGTGTAAAAGAGTTTATCCAAATCCAACTGACAATCTCGAAAAGAAACTCTGCCAGCGTCAGTGTACGTTTAGCTTACAGTCCGATTTTCCCGATGTAATCGACATTCAGGTTCAGAAATATTTTGTGAATGGAAACGCAAAACCGTTCTTTGCTATAACACAATCCGAAACCGAACAATATTCAGCTCATCGATTTCAACTGAAAAAATTCAACCCAAATTGAACAGATCCTAAACATTGCACCCTCTTGGTCTTAATCCACTCATCTCCCTCCACTACACTAATCGAATTAACTAATACTATAATGTCAGTACTGATACAATAATTAATAAATAGGTGTACTTGATACAATAAGTAACCATTTATAATGACAATTAATACACACAAATGCAGCATAGTGTAACACTGGACAATAAGCAAGGAAAGACAATGAATAGGGGATACATAAACAGTAACGTAACGGATATTATACTAACGCAACGCAATGGAAAGTAAAATTTGATTCGACACAAAATGGGTCGAAGAGTGGTCGAACGTAGTGTAGTTCAGTAATTAGCACATTTATTAGATTAGGTATATAATTAATAATATTTATAATAATCATCGGTAATGAGTGAATCAGTTCAGTTCCATCAGCGGGGTTGCATATGCATATGGTATACCGGTCTGGACCCTATAGAGATCGCAGTCGAATGGCCCTAGTTCCTTCAAACGTCATCCCGTTAATCGTTCCATATTATATTTTATGTTTCGTCGCATTTGTTTTTGCGGCCTTAAAGGCAATGGCACACTTCATGAAAAGTTAAAAATTACATAAACACAATTATGTATGTCCTGCGATTATTAAATGTCTAAGAAACGAATATTCTGTACTTATTCAACTACTTTTATTGAACCCAGAAAATTACCACATCCAAAACTATTAACAATTAATTAGTCTATTATTTACATCATGAGTTCTTACGTTCTGGCATACTTTTATTTAGTAGTTTTTAGAAGATACAATAGCCTCATCCAGACTATATCTTCCATGCATAATCCTTACCGGATAAAAAGTTCTTATTAAAATATTTTAGATTCATCGATTTGGCAATAGGCAGAACAGTATATATATACTTTTCATGAATTGTTTAATTGCTGAGGAGTTTTTATAAAATTGTTTCCAATTGGTTCACGGTTTTGTAGCACTTTTAGTGCATTTCGTGGGTGATCAGTAATCCAGTCCTCAACTGTTGTTTCACGATAATGGAAAAATCCCGCACATTTACACCGATTTGGGGATATTAACACACCGATCCTAGTTTTGTAAAATAAATCTGACTTATTTTGCGTATTCCGGCAGTGTACGTGTTTTATTTTATATTTTTGGTACGGCTTACAAAAAACAAATCGGTGTGTGTGTGTTCCGGTGCCAGGATTGGTACGTTACATCCCCGATCTCAATGTTTCGGTTCACTTTAAACGAAGTTTTAAGAAGCAAAATGTGTAGATGATGACAATAGTGAAATAATAGCTTTCGACTTAAATTACCAATCACAATTCACGGAGTTTTGGGCGAATCGGATGCACAGCCCTTTTGGGTCAAATATTAGCGTTTTTTTTGTTGATATGTTGTCCACCTCCTCGTCATTTGCGTTTAATGTGTTGATGGAGACGCCCCTTAGTGACACGAGGAGGGAGACGGGAGATCGACGCCATATTACTTTCGATCTCCCGTCTGATAATTAGTGGCGCCCCCTTTCACGAACGCCTTTTGTTTTACGAATATTTTCCAGTCTCTTATTTGCGTTTCATTATTTTGATTGCCTAAAGTTACGTTTGGTGTGTTTAGTTATCAGGCTGGTAAAAATGATGAACGTTTACAAGACCAAGGGAGAAGCATTTGGATGCTGCGGGTCAATTTTTAGCCGTTCACGTAGTGGCCGAAAAGGTGGGTGGGTGGAGGTAAACGAGTCAAGAGACATTCGTGAAAATGAAGCATCAAATGGGGATCATCTTACGAACCTCGCTTCTTAAAACTACTAAAGCTATAAGTATATTGTAATTAGAACTTTCTTATATTAAGTTATTGCATGAATTACAGTTATGAGGTACTGTATTTCCTAATAATAAAACTTCTGTACATATTATAACTTTTGCACTCGATATTATTTATAATAATAACCACAATTTTATCAAAACAGATAGAATATAGGCATGAGTATATAATAATTTATGTAAATATCATTTAGTGGTTTTTTTTTTCTTTAAAAAATGGAATGCATCTCGTCACAACAATGTTTTGAGCTATGGCCCTGCATTACGTTCGCGGGCCAGGCCGGCTCTGTTCAAAACTGAACCGGCCGCGAGGGAGGGGGTGCCATCTGCCCCTCTGGGTGGCTCTATGGGACCCTCGCCCACAACACAACTGCTACACATAGATAAATTAACCAATAGGAATATGTAATGTACTATATTACACTTATACTAGAGATCTACACAACACACAAAGAGATAACCCTTATGTAGAAATACAGATAAGACCCGCGTCGCAATAAAACGACGCGAAATCAATAATACAATTAATCAACCAGTAATAATGAAAAACGTTAAGCAAAGTTATAGTTAGCAAACGCTAGTCAAATAGAGGCTAAAATTTGAAATAAGCATTTTTTTCCGACAGACATATTCATTTTTTATTTATAATTATCATTTGGAAATATATCGTTGTTCTGTATATGGAATTAGTCTACAAGAGTTTCGATTTTAGGCCTGAGTAACCAATTTATTCACCTACTACGTCCTACATCGCTAGTTTGTGCTCTGAACACTGTTAAAATTTATTTAACTTTCATCGGTGCGAAAACGTTTTACGATACCCCATTTTGCTAACCCCCATTCCCACCCCACGCCTAGCGAATATCGAAAATCCGGAAAATTAAAGCTTGAACATCGAGTCATTTTTTCCCATCTACCATCCCGTATTCTGTCACAGCCATATTCAAATTACATATCAACCAGCGGATAAGCCGTCAAAAACGATCAACTCAATTATACAGGTTGTCCCAGTATTTATCCGCCATACGCGATACTGTAATTCGAAGTAAGGTTAGTGCAATAAAAATCGCACTTTTGAAAACTGATTGACCAACTATTTTTAATTTTTTATCCGTTTTCAAATTCGGTTTCAAAAAATCCTATTTTGATTTATAGTATGGCCTGCTGATTTACGGCGGATAAGTTATGGGACACTTCTGCATAGTTCACATTTAGTTTGATTTTGTGCGATTGGACATTTAGGTACATCATCCCATGCGTTCCTTTTTTAATTTTGAACTTTCAATTTGTTAAGATAAACTTAGAAGAATACCCATCCCTTGATACAATTCAAATACGCCATTTACCCCTACCAAATTTCCGTTTCAATTATAAAACCCCGATTTAAATCGATAGCGGCGATTTCGTAAAACGCCTTCACGCCTACGAACGTGGGATTGTACATTATTGACCCGTACGGCGTATGCAATTGCGTCTGATCGTCATTTCGACGCTAGTTGACGCCCGCATCATCCCGCTAGCGTTTGGACTTGCACAGGACTCATAAGCACTAGATCTGGGCTTAGTATTTACCTAAATCGATCCGTTTATCCAACACGGATTTTATAATCAACATGTTCGAGATAATTTTTTTACTTTTAAAGCGAGTCTATTTGCTACACCCCTAAATCGTCACTCGTATTTTGCGGCTGTCTTCCGCAGGCAACCGCTCATTATTGCTTCGATTAAATCATAATCAAATAAATAATTAGGTAATCCAGAAGTTTGCTTTAGAATCGTTTAAAGCGTCTAACAGGAACTACGAGAGAATGAGATGAGTAAATTAATTATCTCGGTGGTTAAATTTTCGAAAATTTTAATATATTATTAATGTTTAAAATTACTTTCAATCTAGTGTATATGGTATATCATTAGGACGTATATATATATCAACGTTTTAATACCAGCATATCACATATCGATATGGTCCTTATTACCGAATTTCGGTTACAAGTCTTTTGCACTTATAGGAGTTTTGATCTATGAATATATTTTTATTGCACAAACCGAAGAAAATGCCAAAAAGGTTAAAAGATTAAACCGTTTCGGCGATTAAAACGAAAGAGGTCCGATTTGTTATAATAATTATTATAGCGTCGATAAGCCCAGACCTAGTTGTCTCGTTCGCAGCTATATCACAAGCGAGAGAGACTTCGTTTCATGTTCAGCTACACAGTCATCCTGTTCCTATTTTTAGGCAGACCAATCTTTATTTAGTACTGTTCGCGACATAGAGAATTATTTGGAAAGCGCACTAGTTTTTCTAAAATGATTTACATTCCTATCATCACAGTCACTTTGAAAATGTTATTTACATACCTAGGGGTGATTGCGAGTGGTAATTTTATTTCACTGGAACTTTACGTATTTAAAGTCGTGGTAACTATTTTCTTTTTTTTTTTTTTCAAAAACGGGGACCGGTGTTACGTATATATAAATCGCTTCGATTGATTTGCCTAAACAGGGTAATTGGAAGTAAAAATTTAATGAACTTGTATACTGTGTGGTCGAACGCTCCCGCAACTGTTAAAGCTATCGAAAGACATTTTTTTTAGTTGTACTTATTTGCTTATTTATTTCGATTTGATCAAACTTTCAAACTTAGAATTTCTATTTACATCTTTCGTATCTCTGCGTTGCCGAGCGGTGTTGTGTGCGTTTTACTATATGTTGGCTCCGACGTCATCAGCCATTTAAATTACGTTAATAATTAACTAAACAGTATGATCCTCAATATTTCAGTCTGTTACGGCCGTGGGATCTACAGTAATTGATGTTTCGGTGATAATTCGATCTTAAACAATCTCAAGACGGGAGTATTTATAAAAATAAGTGTTTTTTAGTGGAAGTGGCTGGTTAGTCTGTAAGTGGTTGGGTGTGATGGACTCCGTGTGGCATTTCAACCAGCAAACATGTCCACAGGCTTGTGCAATGCGTTCGTTTTTTTTTATTATTTTTTTTTTCTTGGTTTTTTCGGCGCCAGCTAAGACGGTGAGACACAACGAGGGAAACAAAGAAAAAATAAAAAGAAGGCGAAAATTATAAATAAACTTTAATTTATATTCTGAAACGAAAAACTGAAAAACCAAAATCAAAAAATTGTCATAAAATGAAGAACTAAACTAATAAATTATATAAACAAAAAGGAATAATTTTTTTGCAGCGGTGTTTATCGGGACACCAAAACTGAAAACGAACTCGAGAAGCGAAATTAAAAATAAATAATAATAATAATAATAATAAAAAAGAAAAGAGATACGGTTGTGGCCTCGCCAAAGCATTGCCGTCGTGAATTGATGGCATTCGAAGCAAAACCACGCAGTTTTTTTTTGGAAAAAAAGCTGATTTGAATTCTTGTAACGTGAAACTAAACACAACACACAAAAAAAGATAAGCGGCGCTAGAGCGACAAGGGCGGTCACCATAATCTGTTACGTGTCAGTCGGTCCGCGTCTGCGTTCACTAGAACTAGTAAAACTATGCTATCACAAAACTTGATGTGGCCCCTGCCGCTATAGACAGCTGCTAACACAAATACAAATACAAAGGCAGTTGACCATAAGCCACGTCACTAAACATCCATCGATTCAACTTCGGGAGTGGTCTGTGGCCAATGCTCCGCGACTAGTTTGAATATAAGAATACACAATTAATTCACTACATATAAATACATAAATTACTAAGTAGGTACACTGAAATTAATATAAAGAAAATGTTTATTTTATAAATACTATATGTAAATATATTTAGTGTATTATTTTCTCTGTGAGAACTTGCTTCCCGAACAATGAAACGGTGATGGCACGATCAATACATATTAATTAATAAATCATCATACCGTAATCAAACGTTGCTGTTGTAGGAAACGCGAATGCACTTCTGACTAGCTTCGAATTTGTTTTAAGTACTACAAAGGTTGTGGAGGTGCGTTTCTGGCGGTCAGCTGCACCTCCGGACTCGCATCACTCCACCCGGGCCCTCCCGAGCAATTATCTAATAAACCTATTGGGTTGTTGTTCTTTTTGCTACCGTCGAGAATAATAAATAATGAATAAATTAGTCAGACAGATGAGCCTCTGGGAGTGCCGCGAATGCGCTGGTGTCTACCAAGACTCGTCGCTTCATGTGGTTTTACTTTTGTTTGTTTTGAAGCTGACCTGAAGTACACGGTTGCCTAATGTGTAACCGTTCAGTGACTGAATGGCTACCACGGCCTCGTCATAATTCGTCATTGTGACGAAGCCAAAGCCCTTACATTTATTGGTCTGTAAGTCGCGAATTACCTTCACGCTTTGGACGGCGCCAAACGGCCCAAATAGCTGCCAAAGGACATTCTCTTCCGTCTCCGGCGCCAAATTGTATACGAAAATGCACCAACCAGAACCGTTCATCGCGTTACCCGGTAGCATCGAATTCGCAAGTAAATCTCCGGCCAGCGGAGAATACCTACAACGACGATATACCCTATACATTAATTGCACACTGGGTGTCCAGTAAGTATCTACTGCTGAGGAGTTGGTGTTGCATCTAATAGGGCACCAAATGATACTTAAAGGTCACGTATACAAAGTTCTCCAGAAAGCTCGATTAGGAATCAATAATAGACCGAATAGAAATGCGATCTTTGATGAATAGAGCACACAAAGACTAAATACTTGAAATAGTATAGAGTGACCACCTACCTAAAGCGCCCGGTCGGGTGATGTATTGGACCAGCAAATCGTCTCGTGGCTTGTGGAGTGAGATAAGCCGCCAACGGAGGAAGGGCTTTGTTATTGTTGCTAGGGTTGTTGGCAAATTTCACGGTAATCGGTTCGGTGGATCCTTTGGGGATGGTTCCATTAAGTTCTTGAATGGCTCTCTCCGCTTCGATGCGCTGGTCGAATCTTATGAATCCGACACCTTTTGACAAGCCTGGATTTAAAAAGATATTTTTACCGATTCTGGTGGCGCGTGAAAGATTTTTTTTTTAATTTATTGGCGCGTTATAAAAAAAGATCGTCTATGATCTGTGATATACGTAGCGTGTGGAATAAAGTGCGTTAAGTGTAGGCACCGAACATAAACAAGACAAGGAGGGTCACTTCGTGGTAGTCTTATGCAGCGAACGCTTATTAAACAGCTGAAATTGTTAAGAGCGGGCCTCTTTTCATGTCTATGTTAGGTTAGTGAATTGGTAAACGATCTTTAATTATGTGCAGCCGTTCAAAAGTGTCGTTAAGTGTCAGTGTCTTGTAAGGTGTAGTGATTGCTCTGCTCTTCACTTGATAAATAAATAAAACGAAATCGAAATTAATCAAACTAATGAAATTAACAGCAACTTAAAAGAAATACATGCGCACGATGCAAAACAATAATAAACAAAGTTCAACCAAATCTAATGACTTTATAATAAATAAAGGAAAGGTTTACTAAATAAACACAAACTTTGAATTTGTGTTCGTCAATTAATTTGGAGGATGGGTGCTTATTCAGAGAATTAAAAAGTCCATACACGGTCAAGCCGTCATAATTATTTGAATTTCAAAGTGCTGTTTTGACTTGGATCAATTTGTTTTTTTGCTCGCGGACGCGCATTCCCGTAACAGAACAACCAAAGGTGGATTGGTATCAGTGGGTATGGTGTTCAGTTGGGTGTTAATGGTAGAGAAAAAGGTACGTACCAGGCAAAGTTTCTCCGGCACCCGAGACAAATTGACGTACTATGAAAAAAAGATAAACCAAAATATAGGTAACACTTAAGACAGTATTTACGGCGATACACCACGGAAAGTATTTCGAACTTAAGTAGCAAAATTGCACATGTTTAAGTCGTACACGCGTTCGCTGTACAGGATGTATATGGGTCACAAAAGCAGCTTGAGACCACCTAATCAGATTAGATTTTGCATATAAAAAATAATCGCAAATCCCCTACGGTAAATACCCCACTATACCGGCATAATGTTTTATCTCAGGCGGCTTTTTTTTACATCCTGCATACCTTTTCACTATCGCATGTACTGTTAATCCTCTACCATAACAGCCATTTTCTCTCTAATAGTTCAAATTAAAAAATAAACCAAACAGAACAAAAACAAATTAAATATACTGAAAAAATAAGGGAACAAGAAGCATACAAAATTGAAACAACTGTTAAGAGAAATTATTAAATTAAAATTCAAAGAGCAGTATTTTGAAAGAAAAGTATGTATGTACATATATTGTCATACAGTTGCAAGACGAAAAATTCTAGGAATTGCACAAGTGAATTATCTAATATTGTTTGCAAATTACTCGACTAGCTAGTTGTCCTACGCTGGAGACAATGTAAAAATAGTGGCAAGCAATATTAGGTAAAAAACCACTTGTGTGAACTCTGTACAGGGCGTCCCAGTTTTTATGGCTACCTCATATTTTATCACCAAGCTTTTAGGCGTGTTTTGGACAAATTTAGCATTAAAAACTGATTGTTCCCATAGTTGTACAGTTGGGACTTCCTATGCAGGCAGTAGCCATCTTTAAACTGTATTTTAAAAATTTTGAAAAAATGGCTGAAAGATGCGTGGCTTTCGCTACTGTTGAATATACTAAACCGCAGGTAGATGCCGCTGTACTCTAAAGCCAAGATTCAACAGTAACTTCAGAATCAGTAGTTATAATAAAAAGTAAATCTACATCAAAATAATAAAAACTAAATATTTACTGATTATAAATAATCAATAAACAAACTGGTTAAAGGTATGTTAATGTATTTTGTATGTATGTTACTGTGATTGTGGCGCTTCAGCGAAAATTTTTGAATGCGTACAAACATTTTCGCCAAATTTGATGATTTAAATAGTACGAGAATGGTTATTGACAACCACAATTTTCAAACGGAAATTTAATTTGATTTTTTTTCCCAAAGTGCCTAAATTTATTATGTCACATTTAATTTTTCTGTTTTAATAGTATTTATATGCAAACTCACCCGTGATGTTGTCGCACAGTATACGCGAAGTGATAATTCTACCAAATGGGCTGAACAATGTTTCCAAGTCCTGTTGGGTCATATTTTTTGGCAAACCAGAGACGTAGAGATTGGCTCCCTTGATCGCTTCTGAGCTGGGGCGCGCGAACGAGACCTGAAATAATGAAATCAATTACGGTATGATAAAATTTTGTTACTAGTACAAATACAAATGGCTGCTGAAATGTTTGGGTCGCATGCAAATCGTGTACCTGTGCGTAATTTGTAATGTTGCCAAACGTAGGTCATGTATCTCGGTAAGTTAATTGGCCGCGATTTTAGCGCTCTAATTAAATTTTCTTTGCAATTAGTTTGAACTAAGCAAAAACAAAGTGCCCATACCAATGCAAAACGTAATAAAAGAAAAAAACAGAAAAAACACAACAAAAGTACTACCGATCCCTCTGCCGCCAAGTGAGTGATTAGTTAATGTGAAAGAAAAATGGACACATTAACTTACCTTTATGGTTTTATTTTGCAATCTAAGTCCATTTAAAGTATTGATTGCTTTTTCAGCGTCTTCAGGACGATGATAGTTCACGAATCCATAGCCCAGCGATTGCCCTGTAAGCAACGGACTAGTGATAACCCCAGGCACTGTGGGAAAGCCAATTTCGAAAAAAACAAGTGTTAATAACGCAAAAATAAACCGAAAAGTTAAACAAAATAAACAAAATAATGGTTATTCTGGTAAGCGTTAGGTGATCTCCCAAAAAATAGCAAAATATATGCGAGGGACAGTTAGAACAAATTATTTTTCAAGAATGATTAAATCACATAGCGTTAAAACAAAACATTATTGGGTTAGTAGCAGACGTTAATATGGTTAAAGCACGTCCTTATCGCCTTCGAATATTTTTTTATAATCTTTCATTCGTAGGTGATAACAACACATACGTACGATAGCATGTTAGTATTTACTTAAAAAGCAAATAAATAGTGAAAAATATATAAGGAAGTTCTACAAAAAACAGAAAACCTACAAAAATTAAATGCAAATTAGTCATTTAATGTCAAATTGCAAAGAATGGTTTTAAGTTATATAGTATATCCGATCGCTGCCGAAATATTAATGATCTCGCAGAGTTACCTCATATAATCCGATATATCTTCAGCTTATACATTGGCAAATACCACTTGGTAAACAATAAGACGAACACTTTTGGGTGACATCTATGTTGATATAATGTACCCATTATCTAGTACTGTTTTGCATGAAAATATCACCGCCGAAATAAATGTTTGGATAGTCGTTATGGTTTATTGATGTGCACCTGCTTGAATTACATAACAATTTGGGCGCATAACTTTTAAATACTATACCGGCATTGTTCATTTATAATGCCTACCAAGCGGAGATGCGTTTATTTGAACGTTTTTTGATGTTTAAAAAATAAATGAAATATATAAATATACATAATTTATGAATTATGTATTTTTATAATTTTTTATGTGCATTCGTTAGTTTAATTAAATTCTATACTGCGTTCTACTGTCTTAGTCAACTGCTGTTACTGAACATTTATTTTTAATTTTCTTGATCAAAGAATGTTTTAATCGAAAGCAATTGAACCGTTGAATATGAATATAAATAAATAAATAAAAAAATTGCAATGGTATTTTAAGTTTTTCGGCAAGTACCTACTGCTAACATCCGGCAATACTAATAATTTAATCAGATAATACTTAATGTCTAAATTGAATTGGGAATTGATACAATTATATTCACGCAGGATCGCGCGAAATATTTAATCCATGAAGTCCAGGTAGTGTTTTTTGTAATTTCAATAAAACATGCCAAAAACGCAAACTTTGGCCAGGAATTACCACAAAAAGCAAAAAAAATCTCGTCGGTCAAACGAAATTCGTTAAGTGGAGAGCGGATTTTCCTGAATACGGCTCTGTGCGTCATATGCTTACATAAAGCCCTCCCCCTAAGTATGCAGTAGAAAGGGTCCAAAGCACGTGCTTTTTAGAGGTGAGTCACTTTTTATTAAGGGGGAATGAAAAGATCTTAACGCGGAAATTTCCTACTGTAGTTCTCTCTTTAATGCACACAATGCTCTAATTAAAATTTTTGACTTTTGTTTGAGCCGATTCAACATTGCTTTAATAAGCTTCTCATGTAATACAGTTAATATTGAAGCCTTAAATTTACCGAATTGTTTGTTGGATTCGGGCAGCCATATTGCATCTATTCGGCTGCGTAGGATGCCTTTTATTCAAAACAAAGTTCCTAAATTATCAAGTTACAGGAAGCAATGATAATACCGGAACCACTGATGTGTATTAAAACGCTCTATTGTCTTTGCTTTCGTATCACACCTTAACCATCGTTGTCATGTACGAAATTATTTATTTAAACCGAGCACACCACCAAAACAAAAGCGGAGATTTTTAAGTTCAAATGTAATTTCTAACAGTTGAAAGAGAAAAATAGCGACAGAACACACTCACTACAACATCAACAATATCTTTCACTATTTATTTTTATTTTTAACCCTTGTTCAATCTAGTGACTAATATATATTTGGCAAGTTCCCAACCCACTTTACAAGAAAATTTTGGAAATGATACCTTCTTCGGCTGATTCCAGAGGTGAATATTTTTCTGCAAAGAAAAATTTAGATCAAAGAATATATAGCAAACTACAGTAACGTGTGTTTAAATAGCGGAAAAGTGTTTAGTTTGCACATTTTTATATTAAAGTTTTAATTGCCATTAAGCACAACATCCAATTTCGTCGCCTATGTTTATATATTGCGAACAGGAAACTACTATTTAACGTTAACCCAATATAAAATTATTACAATGTTTCTGTCCTTCGATTAAAAAAATGTTATTTGGCATCACACCTTTTTGTTATATAGATATATATTTTTTTATTTAGCTTGCGTGGCGTGTGCTAGAACTCAGTGCTGCGTAATTATTTAGCACTTCTGCGCAGCACACGTAATGTTTTTAGTATAAAATAGGGCAAACGCATTCGCCACTCACCATGTCAGCGAACTGCCATTGTTTTAGTGTTTCAACTTGCTTGTCAAAAACAGTGTTATTAAAATATCTTCGCAGTACTAGTGTTTGAAACGCGACAAGCAAATTGTCACACTCAATTGGACTCCAAACAAAAGGTCTTTTATTTTACGTAAATCAAAACAGCAACAGAATTTAAAGACATGTTGTTTTTCGCCAATTTTTATATCACAATTTATCATTTACAGAGATCTGCAACAATATTTAGTGCTGGGTACATTTTTCGTCAAAAGTGCCAAATTGATATCTTTATTTTTAAACCACTTACACTTATTTTAAAACCGCCTACACAGTGTTGCAGGAGTCTGTATGTACGATTTCTAATGGTATAAAGTAATAAACATACCTGTTACTTTGTCACGAATTAACTTGCAACTTTCAACTTCGCCAATGCTGGAGAACAAAGATCTGATCTCTTCTTGCGTCATGGTTTGCGGCAAATAATTCACTATCAAATTGGTTTTGGACTCTTCTTGTCCGCTACCCACGTTATTTCCACTACCGCCATTTTGCTGTCCAACCCCAGAGTCCAATCCGTTGGACATCATATTTTTGTCAGTGGGTTTTTCGTCACTCAAATTAAAAGTAGTAATGGTGAATTTTTTAATTAATTCTTCAATGGTGGCAGATTATTTGGGACTGGTCAGACGAGAAAATGTTTCTTTTTTTTGTTTTGGTTTGGTTTGGTCAGGTTAGCACTACAGTGAGCGTAGGTACGATTTCCGTCAAATCAGGTAATATCCCTCGTTTAAATATCTGAAAAGAGTGAAATAGGAACACACAATCAATTGCATTCTTATTAGATCAACACAATAACGACTTATTAGTTGTGCCAAGTGCCAATGTCATTGAAATACTTGGGCAATCAATAACATCGTTAGATTTACCACACTACTGATAAAATAACAAACAGGTACAAAGGAAATGCAATGTTTCAGTAACCTTCCCCTCGGGAGAATTTCAACAACAAAAATGTAAATATTTAGTCACGTTTGAAAAATATCTGCAAAAATAAAAAAAAGAACACTTTATTTCTCCATAATTAAAATGCCTAATCTAAAAATTTCAATTTTAAGCAAAGAAGATTTAGATTGTGGGGTGGTTGTTTTTCCAAAATTCAAAATGGGCAGTTTTTTGTCATTACTTCTGAGTCAAACCAAAAATATTGATTCACACAAAATACTTGGAGTATAAAGTTAATTATCATAAAACACGGTTGAATAAAGGAATAATAAACGAAAAATCAGATTGGATAACTAAATTAACTGACTTTTTGGATAATTTCAAATTCGAATATTTCAAAAAAAATTCTGTGTATTATTTTTCTATTAATGTAAATAATTCTACATGTAATATCCATTGTCCCGAAACAACAATTTTAAAACAATTGTAATTTTATAAAACGGGCATTGTTCAAAAGAGGTAAAAGGTGACAAACAAGGCGTGAAAATGCCAGTATACATATTATAATGAACAGTTCAAAAGTCATTGTCGTACCTATTAAGAATTTCCAATTTTTAAACGATTATATACCACATAGAATAAATACTGTACCAACTATCTGAAACAGTACTGCCAGAATCCTTTATTGCTAAGCCGACCGGCAATTATGGTAAGCCATATCCAGACGGTCGGTAAAAACACCGAGACACCGGTTGTTTATTATAGAAAAAAGGAAAAAGAGTTATATTTAGATACCGCGTGTTGGCTGAAAAAATTCCAAAATTCACGCGTTCAGCTAAAATTTTAAATAATTATTTCAAGTATTTAATAGGTTAAGAGATGAAGTAACTTCCTACTACGCGTAACATGAATTTGTATTTATGTATATAGTTTATTTTTAGCGGCTGTGGCTATTTTAGTCTAAAGAAGCATATACAAACCTTACAAAATTTTATAAAATGACGGTGAAACAAAAATCCGAGCGGACCGTTTTATAAACAATTGAATAAAATTTCGGAAACGGGGTATATTTAATCGGATTTAAATGAAGCAAACGACCGACCAATTACTTTTAGTCCCGAACAATTTTGTTTATTAGATAAACGGGTGATAATCATAATACATTTATTTACGGGTCCACGAATAAAATTTAAACTTCATTTAATTAAGGAATACATTTTTTTAAATGAGGAATATTGCCGCGGATTAATGCGGGAACAAGTGACACAATTTTCTGAGCCTATTTTAGTTTTGTACGGTTAATAGATTTTAATTAAATTTACACATGTGAAACCCGTGATACTTTGAGGGGTTGTAATTTCGTGTACTGCTGATTATTCATGTCGGCAGTAACGAGCAATGTTTGTATCGATTAATTCAAATGCTCATCGTGACGTTTTATCGAATGTAACTTCGCACACACTAAACTCACCTAAATGAAAAAACGGAAAACAAAATCGCACGCCCGCGTAACCCTTCGAATTCGTCGGACACTGCTAAATAAATAAATAATTATTTTTTTCATCTAAGCTAAAATAAAATAAACTAACGAAAACAAAAAAGAAAAAGTTAACTAAAAACGACACCAAGCCGCCGTGCTTTCGTTTCGTACTAGTTAGAACGATATATCCAACGGCTGCCGCAGGCGGCAGACGCACACAAACATATACGGGGTCTGATTTACCCGGCCAAACATTCACACGCGCATGATCCGCAACCCTAAAGCCAATTTCCTATTTTTAATTTTTAGGAAAGGTCCAAAGCTAAGTCCCCAATTTTTTAGTAACGCTTATTTAAATTATTTTTTAGAAGAAATTATAAATTATGAAAATTTGTTTGTATTTAAATTATTTTTTTATTTTTTTTTTTCGAAACAAGGGATTAATAAGTAAGGTAGATAATTGTTTAGAAAAAATAATAAATTGTTTTCAGAATTTGTTTTATACCATTTCTAATTATATTATTTTGTGAAAATTTGAAAATAAGAAGTTTACCGAAAAACCATTTGATTTTTACATGCCTATTTTAATTTTCACTAAAATGTTCGTTCGATTTCCACCCAATTTAATGTTTATTAAAAATTTCAAACTATGCCCTCATTTTTTTTTGCTAAAGCGTATTTAAATAATTGTTTAGAAAAAGTAATTAATTATTTTGAAAATTTGTTTTACAACATTTGTAGTTATTTTAGTTTGTGAGATTTTAAAAGTAGCTTTTTTTTAATAATTTGATTGTTGCGTGCGTATTTTAATTTTCACTAAAATATTTGTTCGATTTCCACAGATTTTAATGTTTATCAAAAATTTCAAACTATGCCCTCATTTTTTTTTGCTAACGCGTATTTACATAATTATTTAGAAAAAATAATAAGTTATTTTGAAAATTTATTTTACTACATTTCTAGTTATATTATTTTATAAGATTTTAAAATTAGTTTTTTTTTAAATAATTTGATTTGTTACGTGCGTATTTTAATTTTCATTAAAATATTTGTTCGATTTCCATTTACGATTTACCCACCAAATTTAATGTTTATTAAAAATTTCAAACAAAGCTCTCATTTTTTTTTGCTAACGCGTATTTAAATAGTCGTTTAAAAAAATTATAAATTATTTTGAAAATTTGTTTTACAACATTTCTAGTTATATTAGTTTGTGAGTTTGTGAGAAAAAATTTGTTCGATTCATCTGCGACTTACCCACCCAATTTAATGTTTAGGAAAAATCGAAAACTAAGTATTCAACGTTTTTTTTTGTATTACTTTAAAATTTTATTTTGCAATATTTATAGTTATCTTATTTTGGGAAGATTTTAAAATTCGCTATTCTTCCTATAGACAATTTGATTATTGCGTTTATAGCTCCATTAGCCTTTGACGAAATAATAAAAAGAAAAATCCAAAACTGAGCCCTCATTTCTTTTTTTGTTTGGCTTATGAAGAATCTAGTTATATTATTTTGGAAACATTTTAAAATGCGCTTTTTTTTCTAAATGCAATTTAATTATTCCATCTCCGACTTACCCACCAAAAGCCAGTTTCCTGTTTTATGACAAAATCCAGAATTAAGGCTAGAGGAAATAATGAATTTTTTGATAATGTGCTTTTCAAACTTTCTAGCGCCCAAAAAAATGAGTGCAGTGCGCCCATTTTAAATTTGACGAATGTTATATAAATCTTTCGATGAATATTTTTTCACTGCTCATTTTGATTGCTTTGCGTGGCTATGATTTTTTTTTCACCTGATTTTCTTAGAATTACTATAATTTCACTTATCGCATGTGCGTAAATAAAACTCGGTTATTAAATAAAAATATCGTCCGATTTACAGTGAAAGTATGCAATTTCAGACTTTCTTTCCAACGCAATTTTACAATTAGCAAAAATTTGCTAATATGTAGACACATATCCGCATAGACATACGAACCTTTTTTGCGATACGGGGTTCAATCCCCTGTATATGAGCGGCGGCCGCTTCGTATATTGCACGGGGTGAATGCCCTAGCCTAATGATCTAGACTGGATGCAGACTAGACCAGAAATAGGGGAGAAAACCACCCCTTAGTACTTTTTCTTTTGTATAAAGCTATATCAGCTGGTCCTCTATAACACGTGGTCCTATACCCAGGGCTTGTGACTGCCGATGACAGAGAAAGATATATGCACATACTTCGTGCGTGCGTTTTTATCTACTTGTCAGCGAATTATACAGGGTGCTCCAAATAACATCGTAATTAATATAAGAATAAAAAATTGTTCGTATCTTATTATCGATAAAAAGGAATTTTAATATTAGAAGAGAGAGCTAGAAAGTATAACCTAAAAATGTGAATGGGACCCCGTTCCTATGATATAGGTTCAAGGGTGGTGAACATGGCGTGTGCTCTAAGCAGAGGGTTGGAAACTGACCATATGCCGCACGCGCCCTTAAGTAGAATGCATGTTATTTAAATCAGAAACGGGTTTAAATGAAATATGCGTCCACGGTTGTGCGCGTGTGGGGCTACAGATATGACCGATGCATTTGGGGGTGAAAAAAACATTCCCAACCGGAAAATGCAAAAAATTTGACCCCAGTGATGGTATCTGAGGGGTTAATTAGGGAGGTGACTGTGTTGTTGCAGCAGTATAAAATTTAGATTTGTAAATGTTATTTTTAATTATTTAATTCATAATAATTATATAATAAGTACGATTTGTTTAAATAAACTACAAACTTATGACGCACAGCGAATGCTATAAGATTGGGAGAAACTATGTGGCGGTAGACATCGAAAATCTATTTATATTTTTTATGTGAAATCGTTCAGGCTAGCAAAATCTAATCATACAGTCTATTTTAATCCGAAAAATGGCGAGTACACCACGAAATATTTAATCTCTTTAAAGCGGCAAGTTTTAAAAATACCGATTTGACCCTTATAACAAAACGTCACAACCGGTCGGAAGACAAACATAAAGAGAGAACGGCAATAAATCTTCGTATTAATAGTAACAATGAATGGTACCGTTCTTATACCATATGTATATCACCGGCGAAATAAAACCAGGGATGTAATAAGGGCATTTCGTTTTTTAATTAGGGGCGGCTAGTGGATTTATAACGGTAACCTTCCGATTACTGAGGGCACGACAAAGAATTAATGCATCATTTTTAACCTGTTCATTAAACCAATTGTTATTGCATTGTTTATTAGTAAGATCTTATTTTTCCACCAAACTAGGAATAAAAAAACAGTTTTTGAAGTAAGTGATATCTTTACGAAGTGCAGACCTGCGGTTTGCATGATAGCGTTTTATTTATTAATAACATCAGCAATCGGCTTCGATCAATTGACTGCTGAGTTGCCTCAACTATACTTTCACATCGTTACATTGTTCGCTGGATTTCTCGGTATCTTATGTCCAATGTTTTATTACATAAAACGACATTGTTAAAGGTCTGATTTATTTTCCGATGCACGTGTTTAAATTTGCAATTGCAAATTTAAGTTCAATTGAATCTTTATCGATATCGATATATTTGATACGTACATATATAGTAGTGTGTAAGGTACCAAAAAGAAATAAAGCCGATTTTCCACCGATACGCGTATTAGTTCCTCATGGCTTTCCAAGAATCGACATATCTGTCGATCTTGGTGTTGTCGGGTCGGCAAAGCTTGGCCATTATAACGTAAATATACAATACATAACATTTTGAGTACTATATATTATATATTTTCAGTGCCTGTTTAATTTTAACGGATGCGCCGGGCACAGGAACAACGCGTTTGCGTAATATTGACAATTGGGTGTGAGTGTCAACAAATCATTGAATAGTAAAAAAAATAAGGCAAAATTAAATTTTCAAATAAAAATTCAAATATTAAAAAATGCATATATTTTCGTAATTTATTAGCTAATTATTTAATGCAAATCAAAATATAAAAATTGTAATTTTCATATCTTACTTTACATTTTCTTGACTTTCAAAAATCATTTTTTTCTAAATTTTTTGCATCTATATCCATCCGTGTGTCTGCACTTTAATAAATATTCATTTTATAAATATAAATAAGATTAGAAAATTTGAAATTGCTTTCTTCAAAAAATTATATGTGGGTATTTTAAATTTGATACGAAAATGTCGAGTTAAGAGAGTACGACAAATTTTCTATTTACGAAAATTGAAAAGTGTTTTCTTTCCCTGGAGTAATCACGTTATTTCGGTGATGCGTGTTTTTTTTTTCACTTATCGCTACACCCAAGTATCTAATTTTTTTGTATATCTAAAGGCGTTTAGAATGTGGTGGAGTAGAAAAACTTTTTATGTCACGTTAGTTTTCTATTAGCGTTCTAAAACACGGTTTTTGAGAATCTGTACAAATACTAATGATTTGCTGATTTGCTGATTGCTGACGTATTTCAATATAAAAGATGGTCTGCCCTGAGTTCATTCCTTCCTCTGAATAATTCGGATGATCAAAATCGACAAGATACGTCCCTAAAATATTTTTAATAGTACGCTCGAGTATGTGAAATAAAGCAATGGAAATATTGTTAAAACATCAACCGAGTGGGAGGCTAATAGCTTTCGCCAGGCTGGTTCTCGTATTGATCGGCAAAGTGCGCGTCACCCCCTATCTCTGCACTCCGCGAATTTCATCCACCGATCCAAATACTGTGGAGGGCAAAGCCGATAGCCTTTCGAAAAATCTACTACTTTGTTATTTTATCGTATAATTCACGCAACTTGCACGCATAGAATTGAACAAAACTGGATAACACTACACAGGGGGTTGGGGAAGGGGTTACATAGGGGTGGATCAGGTGTTTTGGGTTTTGTTAGGTGTGGATTTCGGACGTTCTAATACAAATGGCGATATAGTCAGGTACTCACCTTTAGATTGGTGTTTCCAAAGTAAAGAACTGGTGTTGGTTATATGTAAATGCTATCAAAAACGTTCTTGGAATCACAAAAACGATAGTTGGTTAATATTTCGAGGGGTGATTGTATAAGTTATTTTGTAATGCGGGTGAGAGTGACGAGTTTATCGAGAAAACGAAAAACCGGAAAGATTGCACTTATTTAAAATTTCAAAGGACCATTGAAATTACAATAATTTCTAACGTTGAAATGTTATTGAAGCCAAACTAGGGTACGATAACGAACCGAACAATATAAACCGTCAAAAAACGAACTTATTCTTTTAATATTATTACTATTGCAAACGTACACAATAGCAAGGAATTATTGTTAATAATTAATTATGCAAGGAATGATATTATTACATAACGTACACTACCAAACGTAACACAAGTGTTATTCAGAGAGTGCAATAACTAAATGGTGTTGCATGGCGCTAGAGCAAAGGGTGTCGGCTACCCCTAGTGGTCGATAGTATGCGCGCGACTTTCATCCCTCGCCGCTGCCTTGATACCGACGGCTTTCCAGCGACGCCCCCGTTCCTGCGACAAAAAGCGTTGCCAGATCCCATCATTTTTCTCGCAACTTAAATTACTAAAAACCCTATAGACGAGCTCCCCAGAACTTCTTTCGCAAATTTTGATAATTCATCGAACTCGATCAATGGATACTCCAATGCTCTTAATTTTCTGTCCCTAATGGGGCGGAAATACTTAGGGACAATTCGTACTTTTGGTGTTGCTATTCAATTGGGACTCTCCGACAGTCTCAGTCCCAGTAGATTCTCCCATTTCAAACAGAACCGCCTGCTCCATTTATTCAGTAGACTGCTTCAATGGAATCATCTCGTATCCTCGACCTTCTCAAACGAATTCATCTTCAGAGTCAAAATGCGACTGGCCGAAAACCCTATATTAAGATTCTTACGATCGCCAGTCAATATCGCGTACATCAGAAATTTTTCCGTTTTAAATTTTTTAATTAAAGTACGAAACATAAGTACGGATGATGAAAACTCAATAAGTACCGGTAATAAGAGCTGGCAACTGCGACGTCATATTTCACCGTACCCGGAAAATCCCGGATTCCCAGTGCAACTGCGAGCAGGTTTTTTTTGCAAGGTGAGAAAATTGGCAACTATGCACCACGAACGAGCTGTGGCTCACCCTTTCTAGCCTGCTTGTCGTTCCGGAGGACTAAAGTTCACCTAGTTTTAGTTTAAAGTTGTATATGCTCGATTGTAGCAGGATACGGATCCATAAAACAGACACGCTTCCTGATTATGGGGAATTTTCCAAGCTTATAATTGTTTTTTATCGTAATTATTCCAAGATTTAGTCACTAACGATACGAGCTTTTCGCTGGTAATGTCGTTTTTCACATTATCTTTCCTTTTCACTTTAAATTTAAAAAGCATACGGATTGTTCAGACTATTATTAAATAAAAAATATTTTGTTTGGACGCACCTCTGAATGTTTGAGAATAGAAATCAGGAATTTAAAATTAAATTAAAAAAAACGCCCTTTTGCATTAAAAAACGAACGAACAACACCCAATGCATAAACTTTTATCTTTAAAGGGAACTAAAATGATATGAAATATTAGACATATATTAGCTTATATTGTTACGACATCAAATCCCTCGACAAATGTTTTATGTTCTGGGCAATATATTTTCTAAGAAACTCACCAACTAATAGAACTTTTCCGACTCATGCTTGTCCATATATCGTTGAAAGGGAATTTAAAATAATGAAGAATTTCTACGATTATTAATAACTCTTTCAGTATCCAAAATTTCAATTTAATTATTTGTTTTTATTGAATTGTTCTTCTTCTGCTATTTCCAGTTTATGTGGTTTTATTTAGCAGTCCTTGGTGCCATTTTGTATTTTTTTAATAATGCTTAACGTTTTCGAGATGTCACAAATGCCCTACAGGGATGAAAAGAGTACCAGATCAACCAGACCTTTTCATTAGTGATTTTTTTTTCTTCATTGGAACGTTTCAACACGATCAATCATGCAAAATTTACTAATTAAAATAGCTACACGTTTTTCGATAACTTGTCTGTTATCGTTGAACCTTTAATGCATTCAACATAATCTAGAAGTTAACAAGCTTCTGAGCCAATTACTGGGATTTGCCCTTCTTTTCGATGTAATACATTATTATTATTCTTACAAATAATGGTAATGGTATAAATGTTTCGAACATTCGTGGGAAATCAATAACGAACTTAACTGGTTTGCTTCTTTTGTAAACTGAAGCGGCGGAAAGGTAGTGCAACGTCGCGACATATTTCTGCCATAATTAGGGCACGGGAAATAAATTTATGTTTAATAAAATCGTGCAATGTTGTTGTATCGATCAAACATTGGCCTAAAAAATGTCAACATTGACACGAGCAATCCGCAAAGGTTGGACCAGTTACCGGTGGCTGTTCGGTGATTACAAATCGGTATATACGTTAACTAGAATGTCTTTACACTGAAAAGCTCGCGTGACTGTAATTAGTTTCACTATAATTTTATTTTTCAGTTTTAATACGGGTGCTTAAAATGGGAGATTTTGGAGAAGGTAAGATTACAAGTTAAGTAAAATTCCATGAAAATGGAGTATTATAATCTTTGACGTAATACGCTTTCTTATTTTTTGCTTCGTGAAAGTTCATAAAGAAAGTTCACATATGCTTACAATAATATTAATAGTGACTTTTATAGCAAAATTTGCACCTTGGTTAGAGGAACAGTAACAAATGCAACATTTAAACTAAATTCAAACTGACCTCAATTGTTATTGTTTCTATTTTGTTTTTTGTATTAGAGTAATAGCATATTTTGACTGGTTCCGTGTGATCTTCGACAAAAAATGTTTAATAATAATAACAAGTTTTTAATAATTCAACTTGGAAAATGTGTAATTCATAAGCATACAATGGCTTGCCGAAAATGTCTTTTTAAAATTTTTAATGCATTGTAAATTTTTGAAAGAAGAAAAAATCATTTGTTGTCGACGATTTTGTGGGATTTTCATAATAGGTTCTGGATCGGGAGAAAATAATATATATCTCATAGCCCATTTTACGAAATTCATGTTATGCGTTATTTAGCAGGAGTATTTTGGGGTTTCATTAAAAAACCAGCCCGATAAAATCAGAATTTTTTTTTTTAATTAATAAAATTTGTTCAAGTGTTGAATAGAAAATCAGCTTTTAGGACCAAACATGTAAAAGTTTCAAAAAAAATAAAATTTATATTGTTGTACTGAAGTGGCTTTTACTTGATGAAAATCCATTTAAAATAGTTAAATAAGAACAAACATTGTTCAGATTTTCACATAAATATATTTAAATGACAGCTGTTTCGGCAACACCGTGCCTTTATCAAATGCGAATATCAAACGCTTTTAAGACTAATAACACCCTAGGAAAATTTGTTAAAAACAATAAATCTAAATCTAATAGATCCCAGAATTCTGGAGTTTATAGATTCAATTGCGGATCATGTTCTAAGATTTATATTGGACAAACAGGTAGATCTTTCAAAAAACGTATCAACGTTCAGATTCTAATTAAGCTATACATTTAAATTTAGAAAAACACAATTTTGACGACAATTTCGATATTTTACACACTGTCTCAAAAAGTAGAAAATTAAATTGTTGTTAAACTGTTTGTCCAATATAAATCTTAGAACATGATCCGCAATTTAATCTATAAACTCCAGAATTCTGGGATCCATTAGATTTAGATTTATTGTTTTTAACAAATTTTCCTAGGGTGTTATTAGTCTTAAAAGCGTTTGATATTCGCATTTGATAAAGGCACAGTGTTGCCGAAACAGCTGTCATTTAAATATATTTATGTGAAAATCTGAACAACGTTTGTTCTTATTTAACTAATTTATATTGTTATTTGAAAAAATATTTTTTTTAGGTCTGTGGGCAATATGAAAAATACATTTTGTTTCTTTAAATACGTGAATTCTGTTGACAACTAGGATTTCCTATTCAATGAATGTTGATGATAGATGTTTTTCATAGCCACGCTTTTTAATCGATTTATATTATTTTTAGAATATGTGTGGCAAGTTCGACTGGCTAAAACCACTTTTGGGTCCATTATTTTGATTATTATCAAAGACAAAGATCAAATGGAATACAATAGGATATCCTTTATTTTTCTTTTCCTGGAAACGATGTTATCATATATTTATTGTTGATTTATGAACTCCAGTAAACGAAATCGTATGAATCATATTGAGACGGACTAACCAAGCATTTTTATAAATTTCCTGATTGATTTAGCAATTTTAATATATTGATCGGCGCTGGGATTGGTTGGAAAGTTTGTGGGTGTGTCTGGACGCTTATTTCTTACTTCCAGATTTAATTTGGTTGTAATAAAATACCAAATTTGGCAAAAATATTACTTTCAGATGGAATTTTTGTCATCATCAGGATCCAAATAATTGCAATCTACTTTATTACAAGTGTATAGAGCTAATTGTTTAACTAAAACTAAAATTTCTTAATTTCTTTCTTTTCTAATGGTTTATTTATTTCAATTTCATTTTAAGAAAAGCGCTGCTATAATTCTAAAATACTTTTCGGTAATTTTCTACTGTAAGTCTTTCATGCTTGTTATGAGCCTGTTATATGAAGCCCCACAAAAAATAATCCAGGATTTAGAAAATTTAATCGAGAAATCCAATCTATGAGATTGTTTGCGCCTATGAACACATTGGGAGATTTTCTGTGAATACATAATGAACATCTGCAACATCTCAAACCAAGTCATAGTCATAGTCTATAGCACCTATATTCCGTGCAGTCAGTTTTAGGCAGAAAATAAACGTTAAATTATAATTTTTATTATTTTGGCATCGAATAATAATAATATACTTTTTACTTTACTAGATTATTATTTTTATAATCTCTTAAATCGATCACCAGCCAATAAAATGTGAGCAATTGAAACAATGTGATCCACGTGGAAATTTCTATTAGCGAAAAATGAAAACATATTTAGGAATAATTATCAAAAATTTTCAAACGTATCCACACGGTCTATTAATTGTCATTGATACAAAACTAAATTTAAGTTTTAGCAACATTTTCAATTAAATAAAAGAAATCATAAACTAATAAACAAATGACTGACATATATTTTTTTAATTGAGCATTTTTGAATGATTTATGTTTCGAAATGTTCCAATGGTAAAAGTGACTCACCTGTACATACATTTATTATTAAAAATAATTAAGCACAAAATTTGTGCAAAGTCGATCGTAATAATACTTATACAGGGTGAGTCGAAAAGATGATTCCACCGGTTTTCTGACAAGACATTTTAATTAAAAAATAATATTTTTATTTATAAATCTCTTAGTTTTTAGATATTTTGTAGAAAAAAGAGGTATTCTGTACCGAATTAACTCGATCTTTATTATTGTCGATCAGCAGATCTTCGATCTTAAAGAATTAACGATGACAAGGTAATCTTCTGCCAGATCCTAGACGCATGGTAAAAATTCTATAAAAACCTATTCCAAGCATCTTTAACTATAGACCGTGCAATTCTTAGAGTACGGACCATATAACTTTTGCTACGACCAGCCTCTAGTATAATACTGGTATGGTCTGTTCATAGATAAAAGAAAGTGACCAATTGCTTTTGAATGAGATTATCCAAGGGTGATCATTAACATACAATGCAACAAGATTATTTCCTAAAGTTTCGGAATTTAAATTCAGGTAAAATTGTGGTCCGTAATAGAAAATAATTTTATACGTACCTGTGTTTAATATTCTTTGGTTTGGTAGTTTAAGTTTATTTATAATCATTCTTATTTAGTGTGCAATACAACGTGTGTTGAATCGTGTGCCAATTATGCTCCCGCCCAAATGAAGAAAACACTATTCTATTGAGACTAAGGAAGTTATAAACAATGTTTATTTGACTCTCATTGAATGTGGTGCCAGCAAGCAAACATCTTTAGAAGAAACGGCCACATTGACGAAAAGTCCAACATCAACTGTATGGAAAATTGTGAATAATCCCATTTCAGCGAGGAAAAAAAGAAGCGATGCTGACATTTTCTCGAGTGTAGATGAAAGTGATCAAGATATAATACGGCGTAAAATTTACCAGTTATACGAGGAACATTAGATATCTTAATTAGGAGGCTTGAAAAAATGAAACCGGTGTTAAATGTGACAGAACTACCTTATGGAAGTGTATTCAGCACATATGTTTTAGATTTTAAAAAAATTGACAAAAAGCAAATTTTAATGGAATCTTTTAGAATTCGGAAATGGCGACTGGAATATCTAAAAAAAATTAGGATTTACAGAAAACAACAAAGGCCCCTTATTTACTTGGATGAAACCTGGTTCGACACTTATGATACTCCGGAAAAGGGTTGTAAAAAGTGTAAAACAAACGCGTCATCAAAAAGAGGTAAAAGAATAACTATTTTGCATGCTGGCTCTAAAGATGGTTGGATTCGAAACGGATTTTCTTTGTCTGCGAAAAATATTAAAAATTCTTCTCTGGATTACCATGAAGACACCACCGCTGATTTATTATTGAAAGTTGGTTTAAAAACAAACTTGTTCCAAACATTCCTCCTAATAGCGTCATTGGAATGGACAATGCAAGTTATCACAGTAGACAGTTGACTAAAACCTCTTCCTCATGTGACACAAAAGCAACAATCCAAAACTACATGTATAATGGCATTTATTTTCACGAAGATTATACCAAAAAGCAATTAATTGAGGTTCTACAAAGCTTGAACCTACAAAAGGAATACGTCTGTGATAATTATGTAAAAAATCTAGGGCATACAGTTTCAAGGCTTCCACCTTACCACTGTATATTTAATCCCATTGAACATGTTTGGCACCAACTGAAATCTGTCATTCGTCGTAACAACGTTTTTCTCCGTGTTAACTCCAATGTTCTCAAACTTATAGAAACCGAAGTTTTTAACACCCCTCCACAAAGTTGGGCAAATTCGGTTAAACATATTGAAAAAGCAGAACAATCGTATATCTATATTGCAAATAATATAGAACAAATAATAATTAGAACAGGCGATGATAGCGATAGTGATACTGATATATTATGTGAATAATTTTAAGTAATTTAAGTAGGTAATAAAAATAATTTGTAATTTTATTTTAGATTTAAACATAAATACATACTTAAATAAATAAATATTGTTTCCTAACAAAACCCCAAATAATTAAATTCTAAGCAAAGTACGTACCTGTTCGGCCATATTTCATTCTTACAGCTTGTCCGGGTCTTTCTTTAATTCGTATCAGTTAGTCACTTTCTTATATCTATGAACAGACTTTACTGTCAAGCACTCGGTCATTATAATCATGTAGTTGGCGCTCGCTGCAGAAATGATATAATCAAATTTATTAAAAATCGAAATGTTCGACTCACCCTGTAAAGTAGTATTATTTTATTAGTATTAATAATATTGCAAAAACATTTTGCTATTTTTGATTGATGGTCTCAATAAACGTAATAATAAAAATATATATGCATGTGTACCTATGCGTGCGGGCGTAATTGTCTGGGGCACAACGTCAGCGGTTAACGCAAAGTAAATAACACCTTTCCAGAAACTTTAATTATAAATCTATTACTTGGGTTTCATGCGCGCTTGAAAAAGCTTTAGATTTCATGTTCATCTGATTCTATTTCTGATAACCCGGCTTAACACGCTTCGAACAAAGCATTTTAGGTTCAGTTGGTGTGAGAGTTTAGACCTAGTTGAAGCTTTAATCTGATTAATTAAACCTGTTTCTATTAATAAAGAAATGTCAATAAATCCGCTTGCGTGTGCTTAAAAATAATGGACACCGGTTACGACCCTTTGCAACACACGAGCATATACCACGGAAAAGAAGGTTTTTCTGTTTATTTTTTTCTTTTCCATTTGCTTTTCGCATTCGCCATCTTTTGTTTCGACGCAATCAGGACTTTTGATTTTTCTCGTAAATCAAACAACCGGATTGCAGATTCCGACGACAGTGACGGAGAAGGCGGATTAGGAAACGTGAATCGAATAATAATGCGTCCCCCAGGTCACAGTGGTAAAGCGAAAAGGGGTCATTTGTGCTTCGATGCTTCTTTCGAATGCGGAAATTTGGGTAGAGTTGACCTAATTAACGAATATGAATATGATTTGTTTATAAGGCCCGATACCTGCAGTCCCAGGTTGCGGTTTTGGTACAATTTTACAGTCGACAACGTTAAGCAGGATCAGGTAATTGTCTCCCTATTTCAATATTTGCAGCCTTTAGCCGCACATCCACATATCATCCTATTATTGATTTTTAAGTTTTGTTGGTAAAGTTAAAAAAATTATACAAAATTTTAATATTTTATTTCTAAAAATCATGTAGAAATATTGCAGATTTTTATAAAATTCAAATCAATCAATAGAATATAACTTTTGTCATTTCTGTCTTTTTGTAAAACGTCTCGATCTTGTCAAAAGTATACAAGAATAATTGGTTTGCTATAAAAATATTTATTCGTATATTTATATTATATTTTTAAAAAAATCCCCACGAACTACTAACTAATTAATCAAAATTAACTAGACTAGAATAATGTTGTATCATGCCTTCGTAACACGTTTTAGTCTTGTCAAAAATATGCTAAAATAAATACATTGTTAACTAGCTAGTACGAATATCGTTCTAGATTTGTTCCTATATTCATACATTAAAAAATTCATAAGTTTGAATCAAATTGTTTAATAGAATAGTGTAGGGTTACCACCAAACCACAAATTTTCAAAATTTTATTGCGTTGGATTTGTAGATATATTACTGAAAATTGCACTATTTCAACTGTGTGTTTAGTTTTTTTTTTCAATTGTTGGTTTAGTTACAATCGTATTTAGTCTGAGTCAGAGGTTACAACACCTGCTTGACCATTACCTGTACAGTTTTGTTCTAATAAAAGAAAATATATTCGAAGTTCGAAATTAATTTTCAAATAAATGATATAATGAAAATACATTTTATCTAAGAAATAGACAAATACGGAGTCAATTCTACGTTAAATATTTATAAAAATTTAATTTATTTAATAAATATGTAGCATTTACGTAAATTTTTTACGGTCATATTTTGTTTTATTCTCTAGCATACTAAAGGTATGGGCCCTCCAATTTAACTTACCCAGTGCATCTTACCATTCCTCAAATTTCCATGAGCCCTGCATTCACGGTATAAAAGCACCTTACAGAGTGAAAACGTTGATTGGGCATGCTTATTTCGTATAATTTGACCTCTAAATACGGATTCGGTGAAAATAAAAACTTGCGTTGGTTTTTCAGCGGGTTATTTTTAACATAGTTAACATCAGCAAAGAGCGAAACTTATTCATGGAAAACATGACCCCGTTGGTCAAATCTTCAAGTCGGCCGAAATGGTAAGTCATATTACACGGCTATTCGTGACCGATAGAAATATGTTTTTTCCTATCGATTTTATGCAAATTTCGAATATTTTCATGCGAACCCAGAGTAGAGCGAAATCGTTAGAAAAAGAAAATCACCGGGTCTCCGGTGACTTTTCCACCCAATTTCTATCGAGTCATCGATTTATACGGTTTTCAGGCAAAGAATACCGAAAAAATACGTATTTTACCACAAGTCTTTAGCGCACCAGGGTAATTATATTTTGAGTTTCTGTTTTGGATTTGATCGGGAAGATGACGTGTTCCAATTCGCTTTGGCTCCTCCCTACAGTTACTCAAAATTACAAGCGTTTTTAGGCTTACTCGAGAAAAAGGCAGCTTATTTGAACGAACGTTTTTCTAGGGATTTATTATCAAATAGCATAGTACGTTTTGTTCACATCTCATTTGCATTTGATGCGAGCGAACAGTTTTAGCAAAAGAGAAGGGTCGATATATTAACTATCGGATGTTTGGATAAGTCGAATCCAAAGTCGAAAAGAAGAGTGGTGGCCATTATGGCAAGAGTGCATCCTGGGGAATCCCCGGCTAGTTTTGTGTGCCAAGGTACAAGTTGATTATTTGGTTGTCAGCTAAGTAATATTGCCTTTTTAGGTTTATTGGAGCTCTTAATTAGTTGCAATTCGATAGCGGCCATTTTGAGAGAACACGTAATTTTTAAAATAATACCAATGCTAAATCCAGACGGCGTTTTTCTTGGAAACTACAGGAGTACCGTGATTGGTAACGATTTAAATAGATCTTACCATAACGCCAATCCATGGTGCCATCCTACATTAAAAGCTGTTATCGACGTCCTGACCGTATTGGATAGAAATCGGGTATAAATGATTTGTGAGAGTTTAACATCGCAAATTTTTAAGGGGAAATTTTAAGGAGTGCCAATTGGACTTTGTGATTGACATTCACGCTCACTCAAGTCTTACGGGGTGTTTTGTATACGGCAATACGTACGACGATGTTTACAGGTACCTTTTTTTATTGAATTTTGCGGTGTTTAAGCTTTATTGATTTTAGGTACGAACGACATATTTTATTCCCGAAACTGCTGGCGACGACTGCGGACGACTACGTGCCGGAAAATACAATGTTTAATTCCGATAGTAATAAAATCGGTACATCTAGGCGATTCTTTTGCTCCCTTTTAAGTGATAGAGTTAATTGTTACACGTTTGAAGTTTCCATTTTCGGCTACAAACTTAAAGGCTCGGAAGTTGTCATACCTTACACAGAAGAAAGTTGTATCCTTTATACATCGGTATTTTGAAGATCAAACCAAAACAATATGTCGAGTTTCTTAAGCCTTTTTCTTTTTCCTTTCTTTTATTTCAACGATAGTATTAACATTTTTCAACTAAATCGTGTATGTCTCAAAGGTTTGACAAGTTGAATGAGAAGTTCACTTTATTTGTGTCACACACAGAGATTTTTTTGATTTGGGACTAGACAAAAATTCCGTAACTGATATAAGATATGAGATCGGGTCGTAATTTAGTGCGAACATTTTTGGAGTACTATCAAAACACAGGCGCCATACCAGTTCAGCTCGCAGCAGAAGTGTCCAGTAAACGGAAAAAGTCGAAATCAAATCAAACACGCCGAAGACACGCGAGTTACTCGAGAACAACGGCGAATAGAACTGAAGCCCTTATACATTTTAAAAATTTAAACACTAATTACGACAGCGAAACCTCTTTTGAAGAGTTTACTTACAGTTTTAGGACGACGAGCCCCAGAAAAACATTTGATAAAATTGCCGAACGGCATAATTCCAGAGGTGTGCAACGCGAGGGTTGTCGAAGTGGATCACCAACGTTTGTCGTCCTGCCTGAACAGAGTTTGACAGTCATCGACTTTAATATCATGTCTAGAGATGATATTGATAAAGTATCGAATTTTCAGCGAAATAAAAAAACCTACTGATGGAATTTTAAATAAAATAGTTGGATTACTTGTTTGATTTAAATGTTTTTAACGTTTGCGTCTAGCGAATCCGCCATAGTTTAGAAAATTGTCGAAATTTGTGGAGTTTAGTTCCAACGCAAAAATAGTTCCTAATGATCCACCCGTTCGTCCTTTCCGTTCCCACATTATTTATGTAGCGCATAAAAGCGAGTACTTTTAAATAAATAATAACTAAATAATAAATTGGTAAACCATGCTACCAAAATGGTACAAGACAGGATGTAGCTATAATTTCTTAAATTTTATTGAGTAGTTTCATAAAATGTACGATGGCTTTTCAAAAGGGGTGCCAAACGTTAATCTACCACTTCGCTTTTCACCGCCTAAATATCAAAGGTCGACAACAAGAAGAATCATTTGAGTTAGCGTTTATAACTAATGGTGTTATGTTTCATGCCACGAATGTCAGTGGTGTCTGTTATGTTTGAAACTCAACTTTTTAAATTTATAACCCAAAAATCGATCGCGTACAACTTAACAAGATTTTTTAGATTTGCTATTCTCTGTCGAAAAGGTCCAAAATAGAATTGTCTGCCATAAAGAAGAATGACGTGACAAGTGCACATGCTCCATTAATTTCTAACCAATTCACAAAATCCTACCGTGAACTTTTTTGTTAATTTTAATGTTAAATGAATGCTAAATTAATATTAATGGGTCATTAGTTACCCTACAAAATAAGAGTGATATAAACGTACACCAATGTATCCTGCGAGAATTTAAAGACCCCAACTCGAAGAAATGCTGATAATCTAGTGAATAATGTATGTAGTTTATTCTATGAACATACATATTGCAATATAAGGAAATGTTTAATTTAGCAACGCTTTTATCTATTTGAGGTTAGAATTGAATGTACCGACATGTGACGTCACGGACGGAAAAAACGTCTTACGGGAGTTTCTAGAGTAAATAATTAATTATTTAAATATAGAGTAGAATCGTGATTAGCTGAATAGCAGTGGAGGTGTCTACCACTCACGTATATCACCATCTCAAAAGAGATGACATTTGCCTGAAGTTCTTTGCGAGGCTTCGCTCTTTCAGTTCTATAATTTATTTGTATGCTTGTATTGTATGGAAAGAGGGAAGATATTTAATATTGGTGTGGAAAACGAAAGGTACTTTGAAGAAAAATCCCTTAGTTCAGAATAGATGTTGTTGGTAGAACAAAACAACTTATGCTACAATATAAAGAAAAAATACAACTTTTAACACTTTTGTGACAACTTGTACCAAAATGATAATAAAAAATGTAACAATAATAAGACATATCCCAGATGTAAACTTTTTGAAAACCTTGAATGTAGTCCACAGTATTGAGTACCATGTAGAGTGAATAACAATGTACATATTGATATAGCTATATCCTTGCGTTAAAAACCATAACATTAGAATAAGGGTACACCAAAGACAAAAAAACAAAAAAAATTGTATGTAACTAATTTATTATAAACAAAACAATCGTCAATTTAAAAAGATGTCGTTTTCAAAATATATGACCATAATAGAAAGGAATCATGAAATACATAAGGCGTGTCAATTAGTGCTGGAGCACCATATTCATTCCAACTGAAATAATAAACTTAAAACTCAGAATATAACAGTAGGAAGTAATTTATGTGAAATGAATACAGAGCTCCTTACTAATAAGTAACGACATAAATAATGATCTCTGCATGGGATAACGCCTAAGGTAATAATAATAGTATAAATTTCCTTGGCACTGCTACCAAACTTATGGGTCAAATTTAATGACCGTGTTCACGTTCAGTAAGTTCTTGGTATCTTGCGTACATCATTTTCTTTACACAGTCTTTATAGGACTCACCGGCCACCGCAGTATAGCCGGGCATCTTGTTTCCCAAACCCACTGAACTGCCATACTGCTCAGCCTGTCAATAATAAAAAATGTATTGTTTAATTATATATTTCTAATTATTTTTTCAAAGAGAATAAGGGACTAGGTATTTTCTTAAATTACCTAATAAGTAAAAGCAAAATTTTGGCTGAAAGTTAACATGGCTTCACAACATGTAGAGCAACCCAAACAGCAATTCATTCATTTTTGGAGCACGCTATCAACTATAGTGAGTCTGGAGAGTGATCTTAGCAGGCCGTTTGTATGAACCACGAAATTATTTTGAATAGGATGAAACAACACGGAATTCATGGAATGGCTCTGAACTGGTTTAAATCGTTCTTAATAATTCATAGGCAGTATGTTGAAATAAGACAAGAAAAGGTCAATTTGTGTCAAATTAACAAATCTAGTCGAATCTGCTGCTTGCTCTCCTGCCTAGTTCAAGTTTAATCTCTTCACATTGTTATCAAACTCTTCAAGACATAATTAATTCAGCACGTGTACTGTTAAATGGCTGATTTAATACCAACGAACTCTTTTTGAATATCCAGAAAACAAGTGTACTGACATTCAAATGCCCACAAAACAAAAAAAAACACTTTCTGTTAACTTCCACTCAGCTGGCGAGGCCATTGAAATAAAATAACACGCTAAATTTTTGGGACTAGAACTCGACGAAACCCTGGCTTGGGAAACTCAATGGCAATTATTTCCTTCACACATATTGTTTCCAAATAAAAAAAATTAAAAACTGTTTTGGATGGGAAATATATGGTAAATTTCTACTATGCTCACATGCCTTCGAGATTACTCTGCAGTATTCCCTTTTGACGAAATTCAAGCTATGCGATATCTGTTTTCAAATCCCAAAAGGTATATCGCTGGAGTGTCGAAGGATAGTTCATGCAAGCCTCCCTTCAGGGAATTTAAAATACTGCCTTTTGTGTGTATACATAAATTAGAAGTTTGTTTATGGGTGTATAAAAACCAAAATAACTTCAAAAAAATTGAGATTTTCTAGACTATAATAAACGTAACAAAAAAATTTTACGAACACGGGTGTTAGAGTCTACAATAGGGCTAAAAAGCAGTAGTAATATAAACATTTTTAAATCCAAACTAAAATTGTTTCTCCTACAAAACTGTTTTTATAATTGAAAGGAATATTTGCTTATTAATGTTTATCACTGTATTATTGTGCTCAGTCACATATTTTTATTATATAAATTTTTAATGTGATCTATATTGTGTACCTAATTTCGACCTTCTTGACGAAATCCACAACACACTGATTGTATTCTATTGTATTCTATTCTGCCAGACTTTAATAAAATGAAGAACAGCGTTTATAAATAATTTTGTTATTTACTCTATATAATATTTTTTTCTTTTTTATTCCATTCAGTGGATCTCGCAACTGAAAGTCAACCTTAATTGGTTCAAGAATGCATGAGCAAGTTGCTTTTTATTTATTGCAAAATAAACTGTTTTAGATGAAAGCCCTCTGAATAATTGTGTATGGCATAACAAATTTACCTGAATGATCGTTGTTCTTCCTTGGTTAAGTTTTCCTAAACCTTGCCCTTCGGTCCACCCCATTTTCTGAAGCAATCTGTTGCCTACATTTTCTGAACCGATGGGTTCGACGACTGATGCCGACGTAGCCGGCATATCCGCACTTAAAGCTTTCAAATATTTTTCTTTCAGCTTACTCGGTTGCGGTTCATCGGGGTCTCCGTATTTCATACGCCTTTCCTTTGCTCTATCTCTATATACAATCTTCCCCCCGCTATTAGACTGATCGGATTTCTTTTTCCGACGTGCTTCCAAATTTTGCTTATGCAATGCGGACATTTTGGCGTGTTTCTGTAGAGCTTCAACTGAACCAAGTTGACGCTTGCACAAATTACATATCAGTTTAGTGAAATCCAGCAGTTCTTCATCGTCATCGGCAGAAGAGTCGCTTTCACCTCCGTAGGCGGCAACTAAGGGCGCTTGTGGCACCGACATTTCTTCTTGTACTTCAGTTTTGTAGGAAGAAACTGGCAGGGCAACCGCTGCAGCTTTTTTTTCCAATACGGAAAATCCTATATCCGCTGACGCACTACTCAGCGTCATGTTGAAGTCCGAATTCGATCGAGTGTTTATAGATTCTTTCTTTTGGTTCAATGTTTTTGCCCAACGTTCCATATCTTTCGCGATTTTCTTCGCCACTTTCACCTTGTCCTGTTTTTCCGGTTTGAATTTCTTAGCTTCCGGTTCCTGACTATTGCCAGTAGGGTTACTAGGGAGTTGCTGAGAACTATTTGGATTATATGATGGAGCAAGAGAATATGTACTCTTGTCGTGGTCCCAGAATAAATATTTTTGTATGACGCTGTTCCAGTAGTATGTGGAATTGGGGTCGTAATATAAACCGGTCGTGGGATCGTATTTATACCCCGTTGATTTGTCATACACGTATTTAGACACATCCGGTACCGCTGCAATCCAAATTAGAATGAAATAGAATCGAATTTATTTCGCTACTTCAAATGGTACAAACACAGTGACATATACTGTATATATTGTGGGACATCTTATCACAAAACCTGTAAAAATATAAAAAAAAAATAAAGACAAGGATGCTTGGATTCATGTATGTAACTGAAACCAAACAGTCTCTAAATATTTTTACAGGTTCTGAGACAAAGTATCATCCCATAATAAATGGGTCATACATTTGCAAGCTTACCATTTTATTAAAACATTGAATTTTTAATGATAATGGCTGAACTAAGTAAGTGTGTTTACATTAAGCAAAATTGAAAGAATGTAAAGCCATGGTAAGATCAATATGCCCACATACAAAACAATTAGAACCAGGTTGACTTTTCAGCCGAAAAGACTAGAAAATACTCACGATATTTTTTGCCGTCGGTGCCGGTTGGAATCGCTAAATGTGTGTTATCGTAAAAGGATTTGCTGGCGTGCATTTGTTGTATCGCTGACTGAGCTACGGCGGCAGCGGCGTTAGCCGCATCCATTTGATTTTCATTGTGCAACGTGATGGAGTTTCCTGCGCTAATTTGTTGAGTAAAATACTGCCGATAATATTCAATATAGTGAACATATTCTTCAGGCGTTTTAGCATAACGTCTTGCAGCATATTCCGCTAAACTATCGACATCGGTCATCGCGTAAGTAGCCGGCACTGCAGCGTTAGGAAAAGCTGCTTGGTCTGCGGTAGAATACGCTTTCTTCGTGTCTCCCATGTTGTATTTACAGTACGAGAGTATCACTAAACGAAAAAAGAGCGATTTTGCTGTAGCAATAATCCACAACTATGTCAATTAAAATTATGAACTTAAAAGTCATTTTGTGACGTTACTGTGCATTAAATGCCCCCATTGGGAGTTGTTAAACTAACCTAACCTCTTATCTATGAATTATAGTTACTTTCTATAAGTTCTGGTTATTTATTTGACGTCACAGCTGATTCTGTCGATTTTCGCGGGCTTCAATTGATATTTCGAACGCGAGCTAAATGGTGTATTTCAAAAATATTTGGCAAGTATGTTCTAAATCTACACATTTCTAGCTAATAAAAAAATTAGGTAAAGTTTTTACCGGATTTGCCATCGATTGTAAGTTTCTTGACGTTACTCAACGCCCCAAATATTGCTAGAGCATCTATGGTACTTTCTGTACCTAGATAGCAGATGCCTCTAGATGTAGATGTTAGCGGATCACGACCGATGCATACTGCCGATATGGATTTAACTAGGTCCGGGATAACGGTGTTTAATACTTGCATTACAGAGTCTTCAGTCGACAGCGCATCCAGATTTCTTAACATAATTGCTGAAAACGGTCGTATATATTATTAGCAAAATATTAAGTAGGGATGGGTGTTACTTTTAGTCGCGTAACTGCAAATTTCGTCACTCCCGCTACCTCCTTCTTCACTTTCCGTTCTCGAGGCGTGACATTTGAAGCAGTTGTCTCTTCTCTTGAAGTTCTGGGCGCCACACTAAGAAATATATATTTTTAAGTAAAACAACAAAGAAATCCTGGCTACTACCTTAATGCAAAACCAGTCGGAAGAAGCTTTATGGGATGGAGGTTTTTCAGCGGGCCCATTCTCCTTGGGAATACTGAATTGCATAATGGCGCGGTAATGCTCTTGCAGCATTAGAACACCCTGAAAGAACACGAAATAAATCAGAACGCGCGCCCCATAAGCTAACAACCCCTCTCATAAAAGAGACCTTTTCGCTGCCTAGAAACTTGAGAAAAAACTGACATCTTTCAGTGTTTTGAGTGTGAGCTTTTTTTCTGGCATTAGTGGTTTAGATCTTCCGGAGGTTATATTCAATTATAATGAAAGGCGGATATTCGTGTTTCGCATCTGCTTCTTTCATAATGAAATTAAATCGGTTGCTTTTTATTGGTAATTTAATAGTGTGAAATATACTTATCAAGTCTCTCAACGCGGTTACGAATTTTATCTGACATTATCTTCGGGTAAGCTAAGATACCTGTTTCATCTCCATCCAACGCACAGCTTCATTCACAGTGGCAAACTCGACAAAGGCGAAACCGCGTGATGCACCTAAACAGCACAATAGATACCAATAGATACCAGAACCACCTCTTTTTTTCGATCACGACATATTCACAAAACCTAAGGTGACAGAAAAACCGTCTTATTTAAAGGTTTTAATTACCTGTGTCTTTTTTCCTGATTAGTCTAATGTCTTTTGGCATCAGTTTGCCTTGGATTATATCTTGACGAATCTGGAAAACAAATGATAATTCATATACGCTCATACAAACTCTAGTTATGTCATACATCATTCTCGGTGATATGTTGAGCTAATCCTCTAATCATTATAGTATTGTTAGGTGGCTGACTTTTGTACCCGATAATTTCAGATCCACTCGCACCAATCAGGCCTCCAGTTGGACTTCGTTCACTGTTAAAATTATAATATCTATTAACATCTGACCGGCAAAATTTGAAGTTAGAACCATTCGGAAAAACCTGTACCTATCACTGTCCCTATCATCGTCACAATATTTGTCTTTGTCACGAACTTTTCTGTCTGGAGAATGTCGTTCCCATCTAGAATTACTTCTAGATCGCCTACGCGACCTATGGTGTTCTCTATCTCTTTCTCGCCCTCTATAATGTCTGCTTCCTCTTTCTCTTTCTCTATCCCTATGGTCATAGTCTGGGCTACGAGATCTTGATCGCCTCTCAAATTCATATCCGCCGTCACGATCCCTTCTGTATTCCTTGTCACTATCGTAATCACTATCATGCCTTCCTCTATCTTCAAAGTGATCATGGTGGTGATCTAAAAACGTGAGATATTGTATATACTGATGCATTATTTATGTGCGTTATTGCAAAAACAATAATTGATAATTTAGTACTCACTTATAACAGTGCATGAATGAAATACATAAAATTTTATTATTCTCCCGTAAATATCAAATTTTAACATATTACTGTAGTAAAATAAATTCTTCCAAAGGTCCAAAGAAATACATAAATTTCATCAACTCACAATTTCATTAATATTTAGGCGTTAATTTGTTAATATTTTAAATTCAAAGACTAGAAATACATAATTGCATAATTTTGCTGCCAATACGCTGGGAACAGACGCTAGCGTCAGAAATGGAAACAATGTGAACTGGGCTTAACGATAGAGCGCGAATTATAGCGGGAAATCACGGCGCACGTGAACACTTAATAGCTAAAGTTGGCGCCTCTCAGACGCATGTTCTTGCCGCCAAAGTCAAAGCGAGAAGGGTTGTTACAAACTGTTATGTTTAGTGTTGTAGTGGTTCAGATTTTCAAAAAAGGGCCTGTGGATGTATGTACGATGCGAGTAGGAGTATGAGGTATAATGTTTTCAGAATAGTTTGCATTACTTCCTTTAAATTACTTTACAATGAAATCATAAAATTACGCTTAGTAAATATGCTTCAACAAAATAGCGTATTTTCACTTTTATACTTAATTTCTTTATATACTGTATAAAAATATAAATTTGCTTGTTAAAAATTTTATTTATTTACTTCATAATATCTAACATCGTATTTCCTATACCTATTGTTTTGGTAGATTATACGAATTTGTTGATGTTGCGAACTATTGTACATATTAGTAATATTATTGAACGTAATTTTATTAAAGTTATTTTGCTGAAAATGACAACCAATTTTTAAAGAAACTAAATTTGATATTATCAATCAAATCCACTTAAAACCCATTTTTCTCCGGATGCAAAACCTTTACCTCAGTCAATAAAATTAACAAGTTGTCGTAATGAATACGAGTTTTATCAAATATTTAAATAAATGTAGAAACATTCAAACTAGAAAAACGATAAAAAATGGTGAGTTGTATCTTGTATTAATGTTTTTTGTTATTCATCAAGTCACGACAGAGGAGGTGGTTAAATATATTATTGCCGACGGAATCTTTCTTTTATTTTAATATTCTTGATGTCTTTACTATATTTTTTGCAGTAAATTGGTGATTATCGTGACATCTGCAGTATAAATTTCAACCCGCGGTGTTTTTTTTCCATTAGGTGATTTCCATAGAGCTACTAGATATATAGGGGCCCTGCCTATGCTGATAATACAGCAATTTTTGAAGCGACGATGAAAAAATATTGAGACAAGCCATTTAACATGCGCAGGCGCGGCAATTTGAAATCTCGTTTATAACCAATAAGAATTAGGCGTTCAACGGCCAACATGGCCGCTGACGGTTCAGCAATTTGACAGCATTCATTATGACAGTATTTTCTCAAAATATAAGATCACGTTAAATGTTCTGGAAAACCGAATTAAGTGTGTGGAGATCGCTGTTTAAAAAGAACATGGCGCAAACTGCAGGTTGGTGAGTGAAATTTTAATCATCATCAATTTTTAATATACTACGGACACATTTATATATATATATATATATATATATATATATATATATATATATATATATATATATATATATATATTTTTTTTTTTTTTTTTTCACGTATTGTTTCGCGGATGGAAAACTTCGAAGTGTTTTCGCAGCGCGAGCATTGAAGATGCCATGTGAGATTTTGGCGAGGCGTCTGCAGGATTCCAGTCGGAATTCAACAAGCGAACGGATGATATACCGGAATATAGTGTCATCACATTTTTCCATTTGTGAATCAATACGTTAAAAAATATATATGTGTGTGTGTGTGTGTGTGTGTGTGATGACACTATATTTCGGGAACGGTATAATATTAATTAAATTTAATTAATCACAGTACAACCCTTCAATAGCGACCACCCTTGGGGTGTTAGTCGTTTAGAAAGGGTGGTCGCTTAAAGGAAAGAATGGATTTTGTTTTTTAAGTCGGGAAATGCAAATACGGTCGTTTTATGAGAGTGGTCACTAACAGAGGTTTTACTGTATTATTATTTAGCTGTTACGTCTATATCAATTGCTTCTTATGGAGTTTGTTACACAAATTATGGAGATAAAATGTAGTGCGCCCTCTGGCGCCCCTCCATTATTAAACCGCGTCGTATTGCGGCATGCGTAGTGAGGCCCTACTCTAATTTTCAGTGTATTAGTTTTACGATTTTTTTTTTGTGCAGTATAATTATTTCACTTTTTTAACCTAATAATCTTATAACCCCTACAATATTTATCAAATAACTTCTGTTATCAAAACTGGAAGGAAATCATAAATAACTTATATATATACGAATTTTTATAATTTTTTTTTCAATTTAATTCAATTTGATACAATTAAAAAATTCGCAAATATATGAAAAATCTTATGTTTTTCGCCAGTACTGCCCAAAACCCAAAGCTTCCCGATTTTTAGAGCTGTTTACGAATATTTTTTTAGGTGGAACAGAAAGATGAAATTGAGGCTCTTAAAACGGTAATAATCTCCAGTTTTGAAGATTCCAGACGTTGCCATTTTAGATATATTTCCAACCCCGCAATACAACCATCTTATATTCACGAAATGGAGAGATAACCAAAAGATGGTGGTTAATTGAACACTTACTTCTTTTGTTGTAGCCGTTGTATTTGCGGCCATGATGAGGGGATCTTGAGCTTGAGCGTCCTCTTCTAACGTAGGGCTCGGGAGAAATGCTCATGTTTCTAGATGGCGGACTAAACCTGAGGCTCATTTTGGAAATTAGTTTCACACGTTTTGAAGACCATATACAAGATTTTGATAAAATTAAGCCGTGCTAACTTTTTGACAAATGGCGATGCCGGAGCCTAGCGGATACTCGTGTGGCTTCTAGATTACAGAATTCTCGTGTGTTTGTACGCATTTACAAAAAATTAATAATGAACACACACGTTCGCTATATAGATATCTTAACCCGCATTTCCAAGCGCGATTGTTATAATCGTAATATAATTTTTATGTTTTACAGACTAACCACGTTACGGAGTTGAAACATTTAACTAATGTGAATGGAGTGACGCAGTCGCATTTCCAACTTTCCAAATCCGCGGCGTTGCCGCACACGATCTTTAGGCGCTTGGAAGCAAACAATTGGAAATATCGACCTTGCACTAGTCGTCGCGAGGGAAAGTGGAAAATCCATACTAAATGTATACTCCGGTGATTTGGCAACATTGTGGATGCTCCGCATTATGCCTTAGATATTTCTAATTACAAGGCGGGCTTTAACAATGACAGCCATTTTGGAAAATTATATTATTGTATGCTCTTAGCCGGAAGTTAGATACCGTGTGGTAACTAGTTATATTTGAATATTATAATTTGAACAAATATGAAATAACATCTTCAAAATAAGACCGTGCAATGTGTAACACCAGGAAGACTACACATTTGAAACAAATTTCGTCATTTGGAATACGCCTGTCCACGTTTAGATAATAATAATCATAAGAAAATAAGATTGTTTATTAATTGTAAAAAATTGTAGTTTATTTGTCTACTAATGTGGCATGTCATTCTCCATCACAATTATTCTTACATTATGCATTGGCATGGAACGATTCAAAACTGATCGTAACAAAGGATTAAGAAAATTTAGTTTAGAATGATAAATAACTGCTACAACTGTTTTTATCACATGCCGATAACGGATAAACAAACTGTACCGATTCCAAAAATGACGTTTAATATATATTATCGAATGATCTAGAATAACTGTCAATGGTTTTGTATTTATTCTAAGGTTCTCTTTTATGTTACGCAAAACAATATTTGAACTTGATGCTTTGAATAAAAAAACCGTTAAAAATCCACTATATCTTTAATTATTGCGCCTGATCGCGAACACGCCTCTAGAGGTACATCAATTGCTAATTTAAAAAAGGTATGATTGTGTGTAATATATCTATGACCTATTTTGTGTGGTCAATGATTATTTTTTTTTGATTACGCGGTATTGGGCCACTGTTTCATAAAGCGATTGGGCCAGCTTACAACCCAATGATAACATAAAGAAATTTTTAACAATCACAGTACTCAAGGCACCCGGGGGGAATTGAACCCACAACCTCCGGCAAGTCACGTGGTCAATGTGACTGCAACCATACCAAACAGCATAGTCTAGACTCTACTCTAGGTGCCTGTGATTCTGTTGCTATGCAACCATATAACATTCAATTTTTAAAAAGTACATTTCATTTAAATAATGGTAAACAATTTCTGCTAAATTAGGTAGAATGAATAAAATAGTTGATGTTGATTTTTCCGGTTTACATTCAACCGATGAGTATGTTCCAAATGTGATCATATTATATTTTGTATATTTATTTATTTAATGTTTTAGAGCCCTGCAGTATATTAAGGACTATGAAGTCTATACGGAAACGATTGGGGACGTTTGGGAAAATTGTGTAATTGAATCCGTTTTTAGCATATTTTACTCCGTGTGCAAAGCGATCCTAATTAATTTAATGTTTGGTTTGGTTACTTCCTTTGGTTAGTACTTTTTCAATTTTTTGCCACATATTCATAACAATTAGAGTTTTTAGCTGTCCCTGCTCTAATATTTCATTGTTTATCGGGGTTATCCGGCGTCTATATGTTATATTCAATGAGTCACTCAACAGTAGGTTTAATAATAGTATTTAGTTACTCAGTTTTTACCTATCTTTTGCTTGTTGTCGAAGTAAAACTATCATCACACTCGCAAACAAATCAGATTCTTCTTTTCATAAAAAACTACAACCTAATCACCTATCAAGTGATAATAGTTCTGGTATTATTGTAAGTTTGCGCACACTTTTACAATTAGAAAATAAACATCAAAGTTTTTAGTGAATATGGTGTATTAGATCCGGAAGTCTGGTTGAGCATTAGAGGAGTCGTGATGATTTTGACAATGAAACTGATTTCGCTGGCTAATGATGTTAAGACTGAATTGTTTTCTATTCCTTCAATAACCGAGTATTTTGGCTACATGTTTTGTGGTGGAAACCTCTTATTTGGTCCATGGATTAAATATAAGGAATATATCCTTTTGAATCAATGTCACACTGTGAAGGTTTGATCACTTCAATTTAGTTATGTTTCTTTTTATATTTCTGTTTGTTTCAGTCTGTCTGGTGGATTGTAGGTGTTGCAAAAGCGTTATGTTTGTCACTTCTGTGCTTATCAATTTCAAACTGCTGGTTACATTATTTTATAAGTGACGAATCTGGTGGGTATGTATTGTTTGTTTTATTTTAGTTCTTTTTCCAAGGGTGTTTTTAATTTAAGCTTTATAGTTGGTTATAAACAAGCATTGACATTTAGGACAAGTCACTATTTTATTTCCTATTTATCGGAAGCATTAATGTTGGCTGCTGGTTGGAAAACATTTGATAAATGGTCTGATAATAAGCATTGGGAATTTAGAGTTACAAACCCTTCCGCCATTGAATTTCCACAAGCTTTGGCAATTGTTGTAGTTAACTGGAACATACCTGTGCATAGGTTTTTAAAAGAATGTAAGTTCCTATTTAATTTAGTAAGATATTAATTTGGGCATTTTTGCTTCTGTTTTAGATGTTTATCGGAAATGGCTCCCTCTTGGAAAATTTTATGCCATACTATTAACTTTTGTCATATCTTCATTGCTTCATGGCTTTGAAAAGAAAGTGTCTATTGTACTTATTTTAATCGGATTATTTTCAGTCATGCAGATGTCGGTTAGAGATTATTTTGCTCAAACTTTTGATAGTTGCATTCGAGTTCACCCATGCAGAGATTGTCAGCATTTGTTTAAAAGAAATTCCGTGGTTTCAAAAGCAGCTATGTTCATATTTTCCTGTTTTACTGTAGTACATCTAATTTATTTAGGTGTCATAATGGACTATTCTACTGATGAGGTTGGATTATACCAGAAATGGAGTGACTTATATTTCATTAGCTTTTGGATAATGTTTATGGATATTCTAATTGTTAAGTAATCTAGATTAGTTGTTATAGAATGTTCTACCGTGTGATATTTGAAATGTAATTAATCAGTATTATTAACTAACATATTTTTGTACGTTCTCTTGTATTTAAATTTTGATATCAATAAATAGTTTGTTAGAATTGAATATTTGGTGGTTGCGCAGGAATTGAGATTATTAAGCTTTAGCGTCTCTTGTCTAAATTTGAAAGGACTTTTTCTTTCCTAAGGGGGAAATGTGATACATCTTAGAATTGTTGTTTTTTGGGCCTTTAAAAATTATTTTCACTTTTTTGCTATTTGCGATGTCCATTTGGTGCATTTATTTCAATAATTAACAATAAATATATTTTTTACTGTTTGCTTAGAAAAATTCCCATGCGTGTGGACATAAAACATTTTAATTAACTTGCGACAACTTTCGGCCTCCTGCAGTGCGGTCAAAATTCGTTGAAGGAATAAAAGCTCCGTCCGATTTTCGTTTATACAGTTGAAGAAAATTCCGCGTGATGGCGTTATACAATAGACAACGAGTCGCCGACACTTCGAGCTGGTGTTAGCTGCGGGGTGAGGCACCTTCAAATTTCGGAAAATGTCGACTAATGTCGTAATAGCAATAATGACTTTCGGTTAACGCATTCGAATTATTGCGAATTAATTTGACCTAATTGTAATGTCAGTGACGATAAAATGGAGATTGGCTGTGTTTTAGTTTTTTCTCCATCAAATTGCGCACATTTTTGCAATGGACTCGACGTTGTATTGTCCCGGTAAGGAAAAAATTTTGTTCTAAAGTTCGTCGGCCCCATATCCCCATAGTAACCGCAATTAAAAGAACCGCCAAAACTTGTCAACACCGGACTAAGGCACGCGCGATGCTGACGAGCACCGCCCACAAATTTGTTTTCATTTGTTTAATAATTCAGCCGTTAAAGGCCGAACTGCCAAGTAACTTCTTCTTTTGATTGATTGGAACCGTTTTCATCCCATAAATCGCACAAGTTCAGCCACACCCGTGTATTTTGATCAATATTTTGTTTATATAGGTTAGTTTGATAATTCTATTTTTATCGTCTGTGTTGTCGACTGATTTGTGTAATTTAAATATAAACTATCAATTCTTTATGCTAAAAATTGCAATAAAACGAAAACCATGCTAGCCAAACTTCTATACTTAAAACCCTACTTTCGCCTTGCGTGATAAACAGGATGTTTCATCAATACTGGGACAAAATCTAGAACGAGGTTCCCTGCTTCAAGATAAGGCAAAATATTTGCTAAGGTTTAGAGTATAAACGTTATACTTTTGTTTTTTTATTGAATATATAAAAGTTAATCTTTGCTATATTCCCTTTGACGAAAATGATAGTGGGATGTCTTTTTCACTAACAAACTTAATAAAATGACTTTACAAAAGATTGAAACTAGTGCGGTGCCCTGTGTAAGTTAACTTAACTTAAGCTAGGATGCCATTCAAATATTATTTTGTAAAAACAAAAATAAGTTATTCGTAATTTTTCGGTATCCTGAATTTGTTCGCATTATCAATTAAACACGGTATAGATAGAGAAAGATTTGTTTTCGATTATTCACGAAGTGATATTTTATTTAGAACAAAAGTTGGCTCTTTCTTTGCTTTTTCTCCTCCTATTTACCAAGCTTTTATGTTTTTCGGACGAAACTCGTGTGTCAAACGATCGATTAATATCAGAGGGTTCACTAATCTCAAGTTCAATTCTTAGTTTGGCGTGGCAAGTGTTTACGATTATTTTATTGCTAGAAATGTATTGTTTTGACAACACGATGTAGGGTTTTTGTTTTTTAATAGAAGTATAGCTGTTTTCTTTACGATCTGCTCAAATGAAGTTCCGTGAATAAAATATATACCTTACAAAATGTATTTAAGTTAATAATGCTTTGTCGTTATTCGTTACGAAATTATTTATTTTCAATGTTTAGGAGCCGTCTGTGTTGTTAAAAAAACTTCCGTGGAAAATTTTTAGATATTTCGGACATGATCAGTTTGCAAACGAGTTCAGAAATTAACGTTGATCTAGTTTTCAGTCACTAAAAAAACAATGATCAATATTAGCATAATAAAATAGATGTCAGAAGGTTGTACGTTTTGTCACGTAAAATATTACACCAAGATTGAATTTGTTGAAGTTGGCCAACCGTATTTTATTCCATGTTTTCGACCAGACATAATTCGGAATCTCACACGGGACTGCGGCATGAATTGCAATCGAGAGTGTAACTCGATATAAGTTTTGAAGTTTCCCCAACAAACAACTTCTTAGGACCTCACTGTTGTGCTCGAACAAATAATAACGGTATTTTATCTCCATTCCGTTTTTGGATTTTCGACATTCATCGCGATTCATTTGACAAACAGCTCGGGAAAAATTCTTTAATTTTTATTTGTGTTTGCTCCATATATTTTTCGCAGTTGTATGTGGAACGGCATTATATTTCTATTGATAATTGTAATTAACCGCCATGCCATAACAACTTCCAGCAAAGTTAGTGTTACAAACTATGCAAATTTGGCATCTTCACCACTTCTTGGGCATCTATTGCATTTATGAAATCACAGTCAAGAACCGGAATGCACACCTTCTTACCATTTCTCGTCCGATTGTGCTCTTTTCTGGTATGGTCTGTTCATAGATATAAGAAAGTGACCAATTGCTTTTGAATGGGCTACTTAGTTTAAGTTTATTAGTAATCATTCTTATTTCGTGTGTAATACAGCGTGTGTTGAATCGTGTGCGAATTATGAAAAAGATGTGCGGGTCTTGACGACATTGACGAACATTCCAACATCAACTGTATGGAAAATTGTGAATAATCCCATTTCAGCGAGGAAAAAAAGAAGCGATGCTGACATTTTCTCGAGTGTGGATGAAAGTGATCAAGATATAATACGGCGTAAAATTTACCAGTTATACGAGTAACAAAGCGTGCCTGCATTAGATATCTTAATTACGAGGCTTGAAAAAGATGAAACCGGTGTTAAATGTGGCAGAACTAACTTATGGAAGTGTATTCAACACATGGGTTTTAGATTTAAAAAAATTGACACAAGGCAAATTTTAATGGAATCTTTTAGAATTCGGAAATGGCGACTCGAATATCTAGAAAAAATTAGGATTTACAGAGAACAACACAGGCCAATTATTTACTTGGATGAAATCTGGTTCGACACTTATGATACCTCTGAAAAGGGTTGGGTTGACTCAACTGATAAGTGTAAAACAAACGCGCTATCAAAAAGAGGTAAAAGAATAACTATTTTGCATGCTGGCTCTAAAGATGGTTGGATTCCAAATGGACTTTCTCTGTCTGCAAAAAATATTAACGATTCTAATCTGGATTGCCATGAAGACACCATCGCTGATTTATTTGAAAGTTGGTTTAAAAACAAACTAGTTCCAAACATTCCTCCTAATAGCGTAATTGTAATGGACAATGCAAGTTATCACAGTAGACAGTTGACTTCCTCATGTGACACAAAAGCAACAATCCAAAACTACATGTATAATAACGACATTTATTTTCACGAAGATTATACCAAAAAGCAATTAATTGAGGTTCTACAAAGCTTGAACCTACAAAAGGAATACGTCTGTGATAATTGTGCAGAAAAATCTAGGGCATATATACAGACAAAGCAGAACAATCGTATATCGATTAGAATCGATATATTATGTGAATAAGTTTAAGTAATTTAAGTAGGTAACAAAAATAATTTATAATTTTATTTCAGATTTAAACATAAATACATACATAAATAAATAAATATTGTTTAGTATCTTTCCTAACAAAACCCCAAATAATTAAATTCTAAGCAAAGTACGGATCTGTTCGACCATATTTCATTCTTACAGCTTGCGCGACTCTTTCCTTAATTCGTATCAGTTAGTCACTTTCTTATATCTATGCACAGACTTTACCTGCCCAAACATAGCTGCATACGACTTTGCCAGAACATAATAAAATTCGGATGGTGTGCTTCTAGTTCATATTTCCAAGTATCTTGAATTGTACTGGAGTCATAGCAATGTTTCTGTGAACTGTACGGTTCTTCTAGTAGCTCGGAGTCTATGGCGATATCTTAGACAAACGGGGATCTCAACACTTCATCACCAACACTTTTATCAATTTCGTAAAATTTTCTTCCACCCAAATTCATTTTAATATGTTCTTAAATGGCAGAAAAAATATTTGCTCTTAAATAACAGAAAATGATATTCAGCGATTGGGACAAAATTGTTATTAATTGTTGCACTTTACGAATCATAAAACCAGAAATTGTGTATAGAAATCTTGTTTTAACTCGGATTCATTTTTTTAAGTCACAGAGTATACATTTTAGACGTTTCTGCCTCTTTGTTATCCACTATCCACTTCGATAGTTGCAGTGCTCGAAACTGAACAGCTCGTTGATCAAGAGTTATTCAAATCAGTTTCCGAATGTGGTTTACTAGATAATACTAATTTTAATTCGACATGTCCGAAACACGTTCAGAGCGATTTCGAATATATAATGCGCATTCCCGTGTCGAAATGCTTTCGAAAGGGTTTAGGCAACATTTGTGAGTTAATTAAGCATTACGCATTGTATTTGACATTTACTTATCCTTCGCATGCCTGGTCACCTCGATTAGCGCAATTCATTTGAGATCGATTTGCCCCAATTTTACACTTAAACAATTCAAAAGCGACCTATTTTTGAAGTGATGGGAAAATATTTTGTATTTTTCATTCAAGGAATCAAATTCATATAAGCATAAGTTTTTTATATTGAAGACACCTTTGACGATTTCTTTGAAATTATAACATTAATTAATAATATTTGATTCCAATAAATGTTTATTAAAAAATTTTCTCGGATATTTTTAGGTCAAGAATAGTGTTTGGTACCATCACTGAAATTATAAATTTGAAAAATATATTTTACTTTGACACTGTAACATTTTACGGCACTTTATATGAACTTGACTTTGGTTAATTCCTTACAAAAAAAATTGCTAACGTCTATTAACTTGGCGTGACTTTTTAAGTAAGTTTAAAAAATAATAATCGGCGTTATGGAGGTAGGCCATTATAAAAAATGACACAGAAAATTATAAAGTCGATTAAAACCAATATTTCCAAGTGACAATGTAATGTTAATTAAATTCATCAAGTCAGTAACTCACTGACTTTTTTTAAAAATTTTGTTATTTTTTTTTGTTTCTTATTTATTAAATGAATTTTATTTTTGTTTTCGGATATTTCTCGTCCAATAGCGTGCCTTTGTGAAGTCATTGAAACTGATAATTTTCATCTAACTGGTGATAAATTGACAAATCATCCCTGTTCAGTAATGGCGAACTATATATATATATATATATATATATATATATATATATATATATATATATATATATATATATATATATATATATATTCTCACGTATTGATTCACGGATGGAAAAATGTGATGACACTATATTCCGGGATATCATCCGTTCGCTCGCTGAACTCCGACCGGAATCCTGCATCCGACTGGAATCCTGCAAATCCTGCATCCGACTGGAATCCTGCAGACGTTTCGCCAAAATCTCACTTGGCATCTTCAATGCTCGCGCTCCTAAAACACTTCGAATATATATATATATATATATATATATATATATATATATATATATATATATATATATATATATATATATATATATATATATATATATATATATATATATATATATATATAATAGGTGTG